GGTGGTCCCCCACCCTGGTACTAACCGAGCGCTCTCCTAGTTGACTTCGCGGATCAGACGGGACGCGGTACTTTGAGGAGGCTATGGCCGTCGATATCAGACATGCCTGATGGCCTGCTCTGTCGACAAAGATCGTCTTACTATGATATGGTACAGAATCTACGATAATTGGAATGGTAACGCCCGACCCCCGCTGTCGATATGGTGATCAGAAAGAAGTCGCGGGACATGGATGATCTGGTGTCGCAGACTGTGAGGGATATGGCGACTAGTGGGATGAGGGATGCCCAAGGTCATTGTATCGCGCTCATCGGCATATGACTGTAATAACATACAAAGCTTCGGTCAACAGTTGAAAGGCCTTTTCCGAAAACCTCGCAACACTGACAACTCCTAGGACCCTTATAGCCTTCATACCCAATAATCTCTCCCCACCAGTTTCTTAAGTACTGATCGAATTCTTCGTATGGCTGTATTCGGGCATCTAAGTAGATATCGAGATAGCTCAGACACGCAGACATGCTGGAGCACAGTACCGAAAGAGTCGTGCTCGACCCGTGGGTAGCTGTAGTCGGCACGAAAGATGAGTCAAGCTTGCACCCAGGGAGAGGTGGGTGACGGAGAAGAAGAGGGGATCTGTCATCCGAGTAGAGTTGACACATCTGCGGAAGATACCTGCAACAGGCTCCTTTTGTGGCAGCTTTCTGAATCGCGGCATTGCAGATCTTCATCTCGTCAAAGATGATCAAGCTGACGAAGTAGAGCCTGCGGCACTGTCGTATGAGATGGAGCTTGCGAATGGAGGGGTGGAGTCCGAAAGGGATGACAGAGAAGTACTTGTACTCCTCATAGGGAACGCTGGTGCCGCACAAGTGGGCGGGTCGTGCTACAGGAAACATCGGAGGCAAATAAAACTCCATCTGCGCCAAAAGGTCTCAAGCCCTGTCGGAGAATAGTCTCTGCCAGTTTCGCGAAACATCCAAGAAGGGCACGGGGGCACGCTCCCATCAAAATGCCCTTCGGACCATAATCCTCGAAAGAATGTCGCACAATTCTGATCATTGAGCTCCACCACTTCATACAATCTTTAAGCATTTAACGAATACAGCTTTTTGGAGAGAGTAATGAGATTGAGAAAGCGGCTTCTGCTCTCGAGGGGACCTTGGGCGAGATAGTGGGAGTAGATGAGGGAGATGATTTCGGAGGGCAAAGGGGAGAGGGTTAGTGATGTCGGGTGGTGGGGGTGTACCTTGATGAGATTCGGACATGAGCGACGGTCTGGAGAGGGGAGTAGTTGGCTGTGTAGGCTGTATGTGCAACAGGGAGAATGCGATCAAAAAAGAGAATAATCAGCCGCTTCATCTTGGCCTCGATTATTTGTTCCAGGCGATCGGAACTAGCCTCAAAGGCAAACAGCAAAAAAGATATACACCGTAAGGGAATCGAACCCTTGCCGCAACTATGGCAAAGTTGCATGATACCATTTCACCAACGGTGTTGATACAAGTGGAATAGATCAACTTGGATATATGCAGGCTAAACCGGACAATCTAATGTAAATAGGAACGACTGAGTCCCTCAGTTGATATGTTGACAAGCAACGCATATTACTCGTATGGTGTGCCCATCTCTTCTTTTCACTCTTTTCTTCCTCCGTCAAGTGGGAACTAAAAGGTCACTTCGAGTACGTGACACTGCTGTATCACCTCATAAAGTCATGCCATACCATCATCTGGCTCGACATGATTCCCCAGCGCCAACGACCGAGTCCTATTCGTACTGCAAGCTTGTCCTCCATCGACGGCCATAGCCTCTTCAAAGTACCGCGTCCCGTCTGATCCGCGAAGTCAACTAGGAGAGCGCTCGGTTAGTACCAGGGTGGGGGACCACCTGGGAATCCCGGGTGCCGTCGTTTTTGTTCTTTTTGCCTTTGGCTTATTCCTTTGCCCCTTCCATGGTTGTCAGAAAACGAGCGCGAAAAAGTTTGCAAAGCAGCAGTATTCATCCCGATACAAGTGATACCCCAAAATATATTCACAACGTTTTACTTCTTTTTCTTTTTTGTTATTCTATCTCACAGACAAGCGCCGCGCGATCTTCTTAGGCCTTCTGCTCCTTCTTGGAAGGGTCCGAGGTAAATCGGAGGTAAGGCTGTGGTATATCAGTACAAGCAAAAAGGTGAAAGGGGTGGGACTCACGTAGACGGTCTCGACGTCGTCGCCAAAGAGCTCCTTGACCTTTTCACCCTGGACAGAGGGGTGGACAATGACCTTGTCGACCTCCTTGCCGTCCTTGGTAGGAACGTGCCAGTTCTATAGTCAAATCAGTATTGGACCAGGGCGGAGGGAAGAGAGGCGTACAGCAGGGGTGGTGATCTTGTACTTGTCACCGAGCTGGAGAGAGTCCACTACACGGAGGATCTCAGGGAAATTTCGGCCAGTGGAAGCTGGGTAGGCGAGGGTGAGACGGATCTGCTTGTTAGGGTCGACTATGACAGCTATCAGCGCAATTCCAAGAGGGAGATAAGAGACGTACTGATAAAGACAGTTCGGACGGTGAATGGGATACCCTTCTTGTCGACATTGGTCTTGTCAAGGCGGTCGAGCATACCATACAGCTCGGCTACATTACGGTCCTCATCGCCAATGATGGGGAACTCGACGTTGGCGCCATCCTTGCTGAGGGCATCAATATCCTTGATCCACCCCTCGTGGGAGTCAATGTTGTTGGCCGAGAGGCCGATAAGCTTGACGCCGCGGGAAGCAAAGTCGGCGTAGGAGAGGGCGACGGCGGAGAGCTCTGTGGTGCAGACGGGGGTGTAGTCGTCGGGGTGGGAGAAGAGGATGGCCCAGGAGCCGGCGAGCCACTCGTGGAACTGATAAGGGAGTTAGTAAGGGGGACGTGGGCGGGACGGGTGGACGGACGTTGATCTTGCCCTTTGTGGTCTGGGCGTCGAAGTTGGGGGCGATGTCACCGAGTCGGAGGGCCATTGTGGATGTTCTTTGTATGGATGGGAGGCTGGCTGGCTGGATTATATAGCTGTGGATAGTCTGGGGGAATTCGGAGACTCTATGGTGAGCTGCCTCGTGACAAGATGCAGACAGATGGCGCCATATTGCAAACCCATCTACTGTTATTTGGTTCCGTACAGCGGCACTCCCCGCCCGGCACGCCGAGGGTGTCCATCTCCATCTCCTTTCTCTTTTACGTTGCCACGCTCTTGTACTCCAGGAATATTACCGCTCACCATCCCCACTCACCGGAATACACCCCTTCTATCCTCTAGCAAGCAAGCCCACGACCTATGCTCCGACGCACCGACGCACCCTCCAAGGCCCGAGCTCAGCCATCACGATCACCAGCATTCAGTATCATTTCACCCCATCATCCAGAAACATACATACTCGGCGGTAACTCACTCATGGACAAGTCTTTCCTTCCGATGTCCAAGGGTCATATTCATCCCTCAACGACTGATCGCCCAAGCCACGCGCCGTATATAACGCTCGACCGGATCTCGTCCTGCCTATCATCCAGCATGATTCTCCTCTCGTATTGTCCCCTATATCTCCTGTAAACTGGCCATGGCGGACAATGAGACGATGGGAGATATCTGCTTATCAGTTATCCTACTCGCCTCGCTGGGCGGGACGAGCCGCCCCCGGGACGCCGAGCTGGCATTTTTTGCTCCCGTCCCAGCCTCACTGACTGGCAAAGTGTGAGGGTGTTTCAAATTGTTTGGTTTCTCCCACCAAAAACAAAGAAACCGCGTACAGTGGGCATAACGCGAGCCATCTCAAAAAACTCCCTGGCGATGCCCCCAGAGGCCACCATGACCTCGTCATCACCCATGTACGTCCCTCCTCTCGATCCATGAACTCGCGATCTCCGATCCCCGCCTATCGCACCAACCGGGCTCACCATCCTTGACCAGCACCTTTGACTTTTACAACAACCCCCACGGCGCTATCGGACAACCCTCACCCAGTATCGCGAACGATTCGTCCCTCCCGCAAGTCGACTATACGTCTATGGCAACACACCCACAAGGCGTGTGGCACACGCATCATCCCCAGTTGCCTCCTAAAACACCCGCCCATGGCGAGCGCGGTGACGTTAGCCATCCCAGACCTGAAGACGAAGCATGGGACAGGATAACGCTCTCTGCGCATGTTCACAGCCAGGGGTGGGGCGGCAGTCCTAACCCGGTTATGGTGGATAGACCAAAGACGGGGGCGATACCTGGATACCAGCCTTTCATCGATAATGTTGCCTCGCCACTCTCCACACCAGCGTACAGGGCGCCTCAAGGCGCGTTCTATATCCCATCACCCAAACAAGCGCCCCCCACACCGACTCAACAGCCTGCGCGGACTGCGAACGATACCGTCATGGATGTCGCTCGCCACCTCGACTCTCTCCGCGGCCTTCTTGGACCGCTCATAAGCGAAGCCGATCAAGTAGAGAAGCTGAAGAAGGAGGTGGAGATGTGGAAGGGCGAGTGGAGTAAAGGGGAGAAGGATAGGAGGGGGTTGGAAGAGAGGATAGGCGTGTTGGAGGTGGAGAAGAGTGCTAAAAAGGTGAGTCGACTCGTTACTATGGCGTGGCTGACGCGGGTAGCCTGTTGGACCGATGTTTACTGCAGTGTTGATCGATGGCGATGGGCTCATTGTGAGTCCCCCTGTCTCAAATCGGCCTCCTATACTTACAATGAGCTAGTTTCGAGACTCGTACCAACAAAGCGGATTCGCAGGAGGCCAACTCGCCGCACGCCACCTCCTCACTTCCATCCCCAACCTATCCTCCCCAACTTCCTCCGACTCTGCCGAAGAGGTCACGCTCGATATCAACGGTCTACGTATCGGGGACAGTGATACCAAGGCGGGCGGACAAGATGGTGTGGAGGATGATATGGGCGTGAAAGAGTTGAAAAGTATAGTCGTGCAGGTGTTTTTGAACAAGGCCGGGCTCGGCGGGGCTTTGTTGAAGGTGAGTCCTCCTACACTGTGAATGGGCACTGACACGGCAAAAGGCCGGTATCATACCCAGCTGGACAGTATATGAACAGTTCTGGCAAGGTTTCTCGTCATCGCACGAACTTTTCACCGTCTGTGACGTTGGGCCCGGTAAGGAGGGCTCTGACGCCAAGATTCGAGGTACGTCCAGATCATCTTCAAAACTGGAATGTGGACTGAGCGATAGTAGAGTATCTCAAGCTGTACTCTAGAAACGCGCAATGCGAGTCTATCATCCTCGGTGCATCGCACGATAATGGCTATGCCAACGTCCTCTCTTCGTAAGCCTGCCTACAATTATACGTCCAGAGGTTAATGTCGGCATAGACTGAACACTGAATCACGCCTCTCAAACCTCCTCCTCCTCAAGGGCTACAACACCCTCGCCCATCAACTCCGGGCTTATTCCAGCCGGGTCGTCTCGATTCCTGATCTGTTCAGGCAGGAAAAGGTGCCGTACGTGCATGGAGTTGCGCCAAAGGAAAAGGAAAAGGAAAAGGAAAAGGAAAAGGAAAAGGAAAAGGCGGAGAAGGAACCTATTCAGATAGTCGAGAAGAAGGTTGTACCAGGATCCACATCCTTCTCCTCTATCGTCGCTGCTTCCAGCAAGCCCTCACCCTCCTCCCAGCCCACAAAACCCACCAAAAAAGCTCCTGTAGCCACCCCCATACCCGGCCCGCCCTCTCCTTCATACTCGAGCGAGTCGGAGGATGCGGAACTAGAAGTGTATCACTGGGGCTCTGGGGTGCAGTCACGAGGTGCGGATGGTTCAGAGACGAGCAATTCGCCAGAGAAGGCGGTTTCGGCAAAGGTGCAGCCACCTTGGAAGAAGAAGCAAGACGATCTCAAGTCTTTGCTCTCCAAACCTGCAACCCCTACCACTACACAAAGCAACAACAAAAAGTACACTGCCGTCCCTGACAGTGGGTCCTCAGCAGGTGGGTGGGAGAAGGTTGTCAAAAAGCAAGCAGGGGCAAAGCCTGGGAAAGTGGGAGTGAAGGGAGAAGAGGTGGAGAGTTCGAAGAAGGCTATAAAGAACAAGAGGGAGGCGCAGGAATATGTTAGGAGTCTTCATCCTCGGCCTTGCCATACGTACGTCCCCTTATGTCTCCTGCTGGTCCCCGCTGATATCGAAATCTAGGCACTTTCTCGGCGCCAAAGGCTGCACCAACGATAACTGCCACTACAGCCACGCTTACTCTCTCAGCTCGCTCCACCTCGAAGAACTTGCGCGACTGGCAAAGTGCATCATGTGCCCGTATGTGAAGAGTGGCAAGTGCAAGTATGGAGATGCGGCGTGCGTTTATGGGCATCGGTGCCCGAACCCGGAAGCTTGTGTCTTGTGAGTCTGCATGGATGGCGGGACGGGAGCTGATATTGCGGTAGCGGCGATACCTGTCGTTTCTATGAGCTTCCCAATGGTCATGGCGAACTGGATTAAAAAGCATCCATAACCTCGCATAACGAGGTACCCATTTCGAAAATAAAAGAGAAGGAGCAGAGCTGCCTCTCCAGATATATAACATTGCGACATTTTGAATCATCATCATGGTATTGTGAATAGATGACTACATGTTCCCTGGCGCTTCCACACATAAAGGAAAACCGCGTTCATAGCATACGATATGCGGCAGGGAATATCCCATGCATGTGCGCATACATCGAATGGTATGACTCGGTGGGGTACTTCAACATCGTACAAGAATTCCACAGTGGCATTAATACATAATTCGCTTTTCATCTCGCCCATGGTGCTTTTGTCCCCGCATCACCTCCTTGCTTCTTGACACTGCTATCTCCCACTCCAACAACCTCCGGCACCCCTTCGCCCCACGCCCACCCCCCAACCCAAACCCCCTGCACAACAACCCTCTTCCCCACCACCTCGCCCAAAAACATCTTTCTCAGCCCTCCATGCGGCTTTATCCAGTTTGGCATTTGACACAATGAGAAGAGGAGGGGGGAGTGTTCGGAGAAGGCGGCTCCGGATTTGAAGAGGGTGAGGTGGTGGAGGGAGAGGGTGAAGAGATCTGTTATGGGAGTGGGAGGAGATGATGGGGTGGAGGGATGGTGGGACTGAGCGAGAGAGAGGGATTCTGAAGGGGTCGTTGATGAGCCTGTAGATGATCAGCTGTGATTCTTTGTGACGTGTACCACATACCCAGTAGCTGAGCGGAACCAAACAAATATGGCAAGAAACAGTAATCGTCTAGTCCCCAAACGCCATGCGAGCCAGCAGGTTCCAGCTTGTACGTCTTTTGCAGCAGTGTCGTCAGCTCCAAATACCTTCCTTTAGTCAGCATATACATCCCGGCGCTTGACCACCGTGCTCACCGCGTAAATACCCGCAGCACAAGCTCGTCCTCTTCATCTTCTTTCTCGCCTTCGCCTCCGATCCAACCAGGGACAACACAGCACCAGAGACCAAGTACAAATGAAAGCTCGTGTCCTGTGCCATAGTCGAGACGTGTGGGGTGGCCAAAGGCGTGGGAATTGAGAAGGAGGGGTTGAAGCTGGGATTTGAGATGCGGTGGTAGTGACCAGGAGGCCAGCAGGGGAGGGATTCGCTATGAATGGGTCAGGACTGAGAAAGTAGAGGCTGGGAGCCTTCTTACCTCTTGCAAGAGCTTGCTGTACCGCCTAAAGGCGAGGTTGCCAAACCTTTGATTTGACTGGGGCTCCGGAGGCGCCTCTTCGACCCATTTTGTCATATTCTCGAGCAAGTCCATCCAGCACCGTATACCCTGCAGTCTGTGAGCTAAGCACCATTTGTACACCTCGGGCCACTTACTTGGCTGCTTTCACTATAATCTCCCCTGACGATCTCCTTGCCCTTGATCCTGTCGCACCTCCTCCTGACCCACGCCCAGAAACATTGAAAGCCCGGTGCGTGCTGCCACCTGGCCACCATGTCGTCTGTGGTGATGCATGGCCTGGGGGCTGTTGGATTTGACGGGAGGGCGACTTCGTCCATGGCTGTTGCTGTTGCAGAATAAAGTCGGAGAATGACTCTTGCATCGTCATTTGAATCTTGTAAACAACAAGGCGGCGATGCCCGCTCGTCTGTCGACGTTCGGCTTTCGCAAAAATGTTTACACCTGCAACGCGAGCTAGATAACCCAAAACACCCCCAACTCGTTCACAATGCCGCAGTATCTCCTGCGTATGGTCCTAGACCACCTGTCCTTCCGACTTCCCTCGCTTCTCTCCGTGTCCCAGGTCTTTGGCTTCCCTATCCGCTTCGTGTCGGAAGACAAATCCAGAGGTCTGCTGGTGATTGAGCTGGAGAAGGAGGAGCACTTGCAGCACATCTTAGATAGAGACACTCTGGTCCAGTGAGTTTCAAATATATTGCATATTGATCACAGCTGACAGACAATACAGGTCAGCTTCCGAGCTCTACGCCGAAGGAGCGAGCTATGATGATCTGCACAAGCAGCTCAAGGGGAGGCTCGAAGTGTTCGAACCATATATGGACTCGACATTCAAGTTCAAGATTGACAGTACCCACCACAAAATACCGGATACCCGACAAGTGTCAGTGTGTGCCGAATGACGGTCCTGCAGCGGCTAACGAAACACAGTCAGATCATTGAAGGCTTTGCCTACACTGCGCTGCGAGGTGGTATCAATTTGAAGACACCGGATGTGGAATTCTTTGTCTGCGAAGACTGTAAGTTGTGTCCCAAGTGCAGGCCTCTGCTGACTTTTCTCAGACGACTGGATAGCTGCCAACGACGATGGACAGCAAGAAGCGCGAGACGGGCAATTCAGATGGGTCTACTTTGGAAGATATGTATGTCGAAATATGAATCGTACGGGCGTGGCTGATCGAGTGGCAGATTGCGCAAGGTCGCGCTCGTCAACTGATCGTTTCCCACTCTGTCAAAACTCGGGCATACTACGGCAACACCTCCATGGAAGCCCAGATGGGTTTCTTGATGGCGAACCAAGCTCTTGTACGTCACCTATTTCCCAAGAGTCTTTGTGTCTGACCGTCCACAGCCCGCCCCTGGCAAACTCATCTACGACCCTTTCGTCGGTACGGGCTCCATGCTCTATTCTGTAGCCCAATTCGGCGCCATGGTCTTCGGGTCCGATATCGACGGTAGACAGATCCGGGGCAAAGCAAAAGGGAAGGGACTGTCACCCGGTATTATCCGTTCTGCTGAGCAGTATGGTATCCGGGATCAGTTCTTGGACTTTTTCACTTTTGATGTCACTAAAAGTCCGCTGAGACAAGGTGGATGGGTGGACGCTATCATCACGGATCCTCCTTGTAAGCACACTTTCAAAGTATTAATTGCCAGGCTAATGTCTCGTAGATGGTGTTAGAGCTGGTGCGAAGAGATTAGGCCGAAAAGGTGGCAAGAAGCCACTGAGAGATGAACCTTATCAGATGCCCGACGGCTCTTTCTCTCACAAGTATGTACCGTACATCCTTTTCTCTCAAGCGCTTGCTGACGTCTTGGCCAGACGCCCAGACTACCTCCCTCCTTGCCGTCCATACGAACTCGCCAATCTCACTCTCGACCTTATACAGCTTGCCCGCTGGCTTCTCGTGCCCAAAGGCCGACTGGTCTTCTTCTTGCCGACAGTAACGGAGGACTATGACGAGATCGATATTCCAAAAGTGGAGGGGATGAGGGAGCTCAAGATAGGAGAGGGGAGCGTGCAAGATTTCGGCAAGTGGGGCAGACGAGTGAGTCTATCTATTGATCATACTATGCAAGTGCTGAACTCAATAATAGTTGATTACAATGGAGAAGACGGCTACGGATGATGGAGAGAGACCGACGTTCGAAGATCACGAAGAATTCGGAGAAGATGCCGAGCACCTTCCGGGGCACTACGGTTTCAACAAGAGAGTAGGTCACGCTTGAGGTGCTTCATCGGACAAAGCTGACGCGGAATTGCAGTATCTTGCAGGGTTCAGAGACTCTGAATCTGGATCAACATCCCCCATCCCTCGCTCTGGCGCCGAATCCAAAGCTCCCACTCCTGTCCCTGCCACTCCATCTGAATGATCGGTCATCACTTTCATATCGACATCATGCATGTGTACACTATGTACCCTTATACCAACTCACATTGACGATAGCGCTAGAAAGGCTGGACAGAGACCATACGAGCATGGATCGGGACGAGGACACCATCAGGAAACTATCGCTGGTTCAGTCATTGTATCACATTGGCCTTGAAATGCTCACCATAGTCCCAGGCGGAAAGTATGCGCCCCATTTGAGGACTGTATGACTAGCACCCCTTTATCAGCACCTCATATATCTAGCAGAAAGTCGGACAAGTGGGGACGTACTTTGGCATAGCAGCGCCCAAGGTAAACATGCTCCCTGCGGGTACGACATACTCTCCAAAACCCGTACCGGTATCATTCAACGCAGTATTGCCATCCTATCCTCCATCATCAGCTTTCACTCGATACGCAGCAAATGAGCGATCACAAATTTGGGCTTGGGCCATACGGTCTCGACGTCACTACCGCCTGCGCCTTTGGAGTTGGCGGCGTTCTGTTTGAGAATGTTGACCTCGGACGGCGCAGGTTGGGCTTGAGACATGTCTAGCAAATGTAAGTACAGGACAACGCACTGGGTTGAGAACTGGATATAAGACGCTGTCCCAGTGCTACCTGAGGCTGACCACCATTCATCTTCTTAGCCAGGACCTTCTCTTGAATATGGACAAAAGAATGTGACCGCCCGGGTCTGCGGCATTTTAGACAACGACTTGGTGGAACCAATCATACGCTTGATTTCTTGCCATCTCTTGCGGTCAAACGAGCTTTAGGGTGATCCTACCCTTTGCGAGAAGAAAGGAATGTCGGATGGCGGATGAGGCTTTTCCGGTCAACAAGAGGATTCTGTGGTCGTACGTCCCTGGGCGGTACGAACAACGGATTGCTCGCCAAAAAAGGGAGCTAGCGATTTGTAGAGTATAGTACATAAGCAAGCGGCACTTTATCCTAGGATGACACTTTCGCGACGCCTGTCCATCCCAGCAAAGTATCATCTTCAACCACTCCCTCTTTCTTATCTTTCCTATGGCGCCATCGATGGATGGGCTGCTCACATGATGGTGCACACGGGCTCGCTCGCCGCACCACCAGACGGCTCAAAGGTTTGTAGAGGCTGTACTGAGACCATTCGGGCGTGTATCGGTACCAGAACGCCATCGGGGAACTATTGTAAGATGTCAAGTCAACTCTACATGACCTCCGAATTGAGGACTGGGATCACTCGCCATTGTACCTGGAGGGAAGTAGGCACCCCATTTCAAGACCGTGTGACTACACGTGCGTACAGTCAGCGAGTGACCAACACAAGTGCCATCTCAAGCCTCTCAGCCGAGGTGGCGCTGGTTGAAACACTCACTTTGGTAATGCTGCGCCCAACGAGAACATACTACCTGCTGGGACTATGTACTCGGCTCTCGTCTTTGTTTCTTTGGTGATGTTATCAATCTCGGTGCTCGCACCCTGGCTTCTACATCAGTTTTTGTCCGTTTATATCTGTCATCGGCAGCCCATGCTTCGCTCGTGAAGCTCGTGGACTTACGAATTCCACTTTGGGCCAAGTTGTCTCAACGCTGTCGGAACCGGCACCTTTCTTATTGGCAGCCTTGCTTTTCAAGATATCGACCTCAGAGGCCATGGGAGGTGCTTTCGACATGTTGCTTGCACCTTATGATGTCTGCGAGTGAGACTGTTTGGACTTGATGCGGCTAGCGAGAGTACGCTCAATGACTGCTCAGCAGCACGATGCTCGTAATGGTGTTTCGGATGTGCTGTCAGGCGGCGACACGATTGACCTGTGTCCACTGTCCAATGATATATGCCTCATTGCAATCTATGGCCTCGGTCGTTTCACTGCACACAAATGTACCATCCATTGTCGTGTCCACCAACCGTTCGGGGCAACGTTGACAAAGGATGTTCCCGCCACGGCCGTACCATTATCACAAGCGCAAGTACCTATATCTTCTTGATGTATAACACCAAGCAACAAGAGCAAAATAGCAAAAAACGACGGCACCCGGGATTCCCAGGTGGTCCCCCACCCTGGTACTAACCGAGCGCTCTCCTAGTTGACTTCGCGGATCAGACGGGACGCGGTACTTTGAGGAGGCTATGGCCGTCGATGTGGACTTGTATATGTGTATGTATGTACTCGTACTGGACAAACGTAATGTCTCGGATAGCCGACCTGCGAGGACCAGCGGTGCTGCAAAAGCTAGGTCTACGGCAGTCCGTGACTGGCGACTTCTTGCGCGACGTTGTGGGTTTTGGGGGATCCGTGATCCCAGATGAGCTCTTGAGTCTCATCGCGGAGAAGTTGAACGGATGGGCGGACTGCAACATCCTAAAGTAACAGTGAGTCAGTGACTCAATGATATCTACTCTCGTTCTAGAGCAAAGACTGATGATTGCTTCGCTTCACAGATAGGGGGTGGATGCGTCAGACACGAGACGGGAAGGAGTCAGAACAAGTCCATGTTTGGCGAAGTGTGTGGGTGAGTTGCGCGTCTTGTAGCGGTGAACCAGAGAGCTGCACTGACTATACTTTTGCCAGGATCATTCTTGCTTGACGGCGGAAGGGTGGAAGATGAGCGGGCCTGCTGTGTCTTTGTATGTCCTTAGAGTCGTATTATTATCTGTTCCATGTATCATACATTTGAACTACAGCTGCAGTATACCAAGCTACTTGTACAAAGAGAAGCGGGAAGGTGTTGTTCGTTGACAGATAGGACTATGTATCTAACAGGGGCATATGGCATCTGGGTGTTATGTATCCTAGTTGGCTGTTATGTATCATGTTGACACGGCACGGCTGGTGGTTAGCGAGGGTTAGATAATACATAAGGGTAAGTCCGGATTTCAGCCTCGACCCTGAGAAGGCAGTCCTACGCGTAGACCACTTTCTAGCATGCCTTCGGCACATTTGGCTACATGAATCTGTAGCTGTGGAAGGCGCGCCATATGCGTAGAACAATCAACACCATGCATGCTTTGTCAGAATTGTTATGGGCGAAAGAGACGCGTTCACTGTCTCCCCCTTTTTCTCCCAAATCATCTCCCTCATCTACTCTCACTATCTCGCCCAAAACCCCATCGAGAACAGAAGCCAGCTTCTAAATCTCATCACGCTCCCCAAAGCATCTATTCTGAGAACGCTTGGAGGCTTATGAAGCTGTGGGGCTTGACGATGAGAACTACGAGGCCTTCTTTCGAGGGTGATGGAGGCAGACGGAGGCAGAGCGTGTGGGTAATAAGCTTAATGATACACCTCCCCGCGAAGGCATGGGTCTATGTGATCATCAAGTATTGTCTGCTGGTTATGGATTCGGCTCGAGGAATACGGTTGTACCAACAAGAGTTCTCCGATCTGAGGCGCCTCTTCCGGCCGTCGGTAAAGTCGAGTGTTGGTGTACTGTTCTTGGTACTGGTCGAGACTTGCGTATCCATAGAGCGGCTGGGTGGGCAAAGTTCTCGCGAGATCCCAGCTATGACCGACCTCCAAGCCTTCCGTGGTGGGTTCCAAAACAAAGTCATTTGGATATCTGCTGTAGTCGTCGTCATCCAGGCTTGATGAGACTATCCACTCTGCAGGGGCCGGATATGCGACATGTTGCTCAAACGAAGCCTCGCTGTTTTTTGTTGGTTCTATGACTGCGAGTAGTACATCAGTGAAGGTCAAAGCCAAAGGGCTGTGGGATAGTCACCGTCTTGGCTGGCCTCGCGAGGGTTCGTAGTCGAACAAGACGCTTCTCGAGTATCTTGCCGAAGCTCTGCTTGCCCGGTCTGGTCGTCTTCTCTTCGCCGCCGCCTTTTAGTGGCCAAAGGATTAACTACAACCAGCCCTTTCCTATTCTCTGGAAGGATGCTGTCATATACAGCTTGCGTGAGGCCGTTCGAAGCTGCGCTCCACTGGCAGCAGCGATTATTGTTATCTATACATTGAGTGCAAGGTTTTGCGCCGAAGGGGGTGGCGCCTTTACACTGAGATTAATGTCAGTCTATCTTCAGTGTGGGAGGTGGCATTGGGTGTCACCTACCCCACGTCGATTTTTCCGACAATAATCGCAAGCAATGGCCTTTCGGGTACCGCGTTTGGTTCCAGTACCAATCATGGATGACTTCGTATTTTTAGACTTGTTCCTCTTTACCATTTTGGCGATTTCGGCTGGGTATATAGATGGATATGAGACGTCAGAAATCGCTCGAGCCGAAAGTGCTGTCTAATATGCGAGTGCCCAGAGGTGATAGTGGCGAAGATCGGCGGTCGTACGTCGTAGTAGCTTGGGTGTGTATGAATGTTTTGGGGAGTATGTAACAATGTGAAACACACTTGTGCAGTAGATATACACCGACTCCATGCATCGGCAGCCTTGTTTCCTCATCTACGGAAGTGGAAAGAAAGAAAGTCAGGTTCTGAAGCGGAAACATCGATGAATGACGAGAGTGTGCGGAAAAGCGTCGAACACGTCGTTGTTGACTCTTCTGATAATCTCATTCACTGCATCCACTACTCTACTGCACAACTGTCACGCCAAAGCAGTCAACCCAGCTGCCTACCACTATACTTCGACTATACGCCCCAAAAGTCCGAACCCACTATAGCCCAAAAGACACGACTGGCCGACGATGAAGAGAAGGTGGAAGAAAAGGAATAGTGGAGAGAAAAAGAGTCCGCGAGGGGGCCAGTTTGAAAAAGAGGCAATGTAAGAGAAATAGAAATGAGATGGGACCAGATGAAGCATCAGGATTCGATGCTATGCTGATGACAAAGGGAGTATAACGATGATGGGTATATATCTATATGCGAGCAGAATGTAAAGAGTAGAGTAGATAACGAAACATGAAGATGTAAAATTGAAACAAACACTTCCCAAATCCCTGCTTCTCCATGGCGCTCGAGTGCGAGCTCTGAATTGTGTTCTGGCCCGCAAGCCCTGGGTGGCGCTGTTGCCGCCTCTCCCTGTCTTCCTCTCGTGTCTCCGGCACGGTGCGCTGCCTCTCCACGTTCTTATTGGATTCTTCGGTAGAAGAGGAGATAAGCACACTTTTCCCTTCCGCCCACAAGCCCACACCTTCCCTCCTCCACTTCATCCTTACTGACGACGACCTCTTCCTCCTTCACTTCCCTCACTTGCTCATCGTCAAAGTGGATCCACGGTCGCTCGTCCTTCTTCTGCGCAGGGATCTGACCTGGAATGGCAGATTGTGGGACAGGTGCGGGAGGGGCTGGCGGTTTGGAAACGGCAACGGTGTAATGACCGCCAGATGCCGAGGAGCCGTGGTGGTAGACGACACCGAAGAGGGCGTACTTTGTGGGGGTAGGTGATCGTTTGGATGGGGATATTATTTCTATAAAAGGTCAGTAATGCCTTTCCGTGAGGAGAAGTGTGCTTACCCTGGGGAACAACCAACTCGCTTCCATAGGCCACCGCCTTTCCTCGCTTCACGACACCGCCCTCCTTTGCATCATACACAAACCTCTTCAAATGGCAGATCAATACTCTCGGCCACTCCTCTACATACACCGTCTTGGTCGCATCCACGTTCTCCTTCCTGCTCGCGCTCCAAACACCGGGGACGATCTCCGGGGTTGAGAGTGCGAGGAGAGCGTCGTTGATGGATGTTATTTGGGGGGCCTGGATATCGAGCTGCAGGGGTTGGTAGGGCTCGACAGTTACACTGTCTTTCTGCCCAGGAGTATGCAGCACAGATCGCAGCTTGCCGCCAAACAATCTGGAGACCGCCGAATCCTTCGACCCAGTGTTGCGGACAACATGTGTCTTTTGCTTCTTGCCAACCTCGAGCCAGCCGTCGACGCCTTCACCAAGAGGGCTTGTGGCCTGCTCGACCTCTTCGTTGGCAGCAGGGGAAGTCGGCTTGGGCGGTTGGGCACGGGAGAGGAGGTAGAGGATCTCCTCGTGAATAGTGTCGAGGAAGAAGCCGAGGTATTCTTCGGCGTCTTCTTGGTGACCACGCTACAGGAACGTCAGCGCGTTGGACATATCACATCATGAAGTTGACTTACTCGCATGGTATCAAACCTCTTGTTCTCCTTCATAGCATCGTAAACGTTCTCGGGAATGAATGCCTCCTTCTGCTTGTTCATCTCCTTGCCCTTACCCTTGGGCTTGGGCGCGTCCGCGGGAGTGGGGGCCACAAGGAACTCTCGAAGGAAGACGATCCTATATATGATGTCAGCGTCGGCTTATTGTTACTGGCAAAAGTACCCACATAGCTTCCAGCAAAGGTGTCTTCCTCGCCAGATCTGCCTGAAGTCTTTTGCCGAATTCTTCAAACAGCTCGGTAAATGGTGGGCAATAGACCAAGACTTGCAGGATCTGTTCATTTCGTCAGCTCATCCCTTTCGCCTAGGTATCTACTCACAGTGTTGGCAAAGCACATGTTGCCAGTGTTGATAAGACCTCTCGGTACCAATGCTCCTTCTCTCTTGCCTCCCTTACTCGGTACTCCCTCGCTCAAAAGTTTGATAAGCATCTCGTGAGGCGACGGGATACTCGACGAAGCAGCGCCCGCATAGCTAAACTTGGGCGCCGCCGGCTGAGCTGGCTGTGGACCAGCCGGGGCCGGGCCGTCATTAGGCGAAGGAGCTTTGGACGGGGAAGTGGTTTTAGAGGGTGTTGTAGAGGCGGAAGGTGTGGAAGGTTGGAGGAGTGCAGCCCAAGATCTGGGCTTGGGAGGGGCAACGGGAGTAGAGGCAGGGGCAGGGGTAGCGGCTGTAGGAGGAGTAGGGGCGACTTCAGGCTCTGACTTCTCGACAGTTTTAGTCTGGGGCTCCGCGATAGGTGCCGGCGCCTGGACGGGTTTTTCCTCGACCTCTTCAACCTCCACTGTCTCCGGCTCCTTGGCTGACTCAACCTTTGTCTCGGTCTTCACCTCCGGCACAGCCTTTACTGCCTCCTCCTTCTTCTCCGGATCGATCTCCCCGAATGAAAGCTCGGGTGTTCTATCGCCCTGTGTCTCCGTGCTCCACAACGCCTTGGTCTCCGTCTTTGCTCCCCTCACGGCCCGCTTGAGCACTTTCCTGCCGCTCCCATCCTTCAACACTCGCGCCCAGGTATTGCCCTCGCTCTGCACACTAGGTCTCGCATCGACCAGCGTGGGCTCTTCCATCTTGGATTGTTCTGCGGGAGGCGGGGAAAGAGAAGATGTAAGAAAGTTCAAGGAAGCGGGCCCAGCGGGTGTCGCCGAAGAAGCCGCGGGTGGAAGAAGGGGGTCCGTGCGCGCTCCGTCAACCTGCTTGATCTCCTCGCTCTTTTCTTTTTCTTTTTCTTCTACGGGTGGCGGTGGCAAAGTGGCGGGTGGTACAGAAGGGGGTGCAGGTGCAGAGGAGACTTCAGAGGGAGGAGCCGTGACCACTGGGGATGCTGACGGAGTCGCCTGAGTAGGTGGTCTTGGGCCTTTCCCGTACCCATTGGGCAACCCCGCATTCCCAAACGTGGGTCCGTTGTGGTGGTTCGGCCGGATTTGCCTCTCCCCATTCCCGTTCATGTGGTTGAAGCGCTGGTACTTGAACCCCGCTGCGGCAGGATTCAGCTTGCCTCCTCCCTGCCCTTGCCCCTGGGCAAGACCCGAGGGTAAGGGCGCATAAGACTCATTATAAGGGTAGTATGGCGCCTGGTGGGGGTGGGGAGGCTGTTGCGGGTGTTGGGGATGGGGCCGGAAAGTGGGTATATGTGCAGGGTGTTGCTGATAGCCTACGCCTCCGCCGAAAGCGTAAGGATGGTTGGCAGGGTAGGGAGGGAACTGTTGAGCCGGAATGGGGCCCATGTTGGGTATCGCCTGGGGCGGTTGAGGAGTGGAACCAGGAGGGACAGGTGTCTCGGGAAACGGTATCGAATGCTCACTGCCCTCGTCCCCGTTCATCGGCGACCCATTTCCTGGCTGCTGCTGCTGCCTCATTGGAGGAGGCGCATACTCGGGATATCCCCCGTACCCTCCATATACCATCCCATACTCTCCATACGCTGCGTAACCATTCTGCATGGTCGCTGGCCCGGGACCGCCCGCTCCCATAGGCATGTAGCCGTAACCCCCGGCTCCAGGGTATCCATTATAACCCGGATACTCTTGCGGATAACGATTGTAGTATGGCTGTTGTTGTTGGGGATGGGCTGGCTGACGATAGTAGTTGTTGGGAGAGTGGCTGTAAGGATGGGCGTGATTGTAGGCAACCGGGGGGTTTATGGAGGGGTATGGAATGTTTTGGAGGGGAGAAGAAGGGGCAGGGTAGGGGGAGGACATCTGGTGGGGGTCAGCTTCCGTACTGAGGCTGGCGAACCGTTGCTCACAATTTTAATCGTCTCCCGGTATCGCTGGTGCTGCTCACTGGCGCTGTAGGGTGACCTGTTTAGAAATTGACTTGACTCGCAAGAAATGACGCACGGGCCTCCTTTGACTGGTTCATTTCGCATCAGATGGTGTCCTTGTTTCCATTTGATCCCGCTTTTTTTGGAACCCCATTTATCGACTTTCTCCGGACAAGTGGCAGCGATGTCCATCACTGTGTATCTTGGGGTTTTGTCCCAGCCCTGGACTGTGGACTGAGGGGTGCATGTGTGTTGACGAGGATTGATCGATGGGACAGTCTACATATATGGCAATCTACATCGGCATATGATAGCTGGCGCATCTGTGTGCCGAGCTTTATAGACGAGGGTATCGTATCGAAGGAAATCCTTCTTGAAGTCAGCAGAAGCAACATAGTGCTCCAGTATTGAGAAGGATACCCTTGTTTACATATGTATAGTGGGAGAGATATCAAACCTCGAGTGATCACTCAACATATGCCGTAGTCATTGTAATTGTATAGCGCGAAGAGACTAAGTTGAAGGCATATTCTATGCTATACAACGTCTATCTATGTATGACTTGACGAATGATTGAAATGAGCTCTGATTCGCCTAAGCCATGATGGGATTACAAACGCCAGAGACTGATGCGAGCGAGCCATTGGGGCGACAGATGCCACGGGGTAATTTTACCGAAACGAACGTATGACCGCGCTCGACGTGTCATACGCTTCTGGCAATTGCTACAGATATGCATCCAATCGTCCCAGTGAACTACCCCAAGAGGCCAAGTTGAATGATGTGAATAAACGGTATACGCATTTCGCGCATTAATCCCAGTCACGTGACCGAAACAAGATTTCTCTTCATCTCTTTCCAAAACTGTCCCTTCGCTACTCTCTATAACAAAAACATCCATCCATCCCCCTCTTTCCCCCTCCCCCCTTCAACTTTACCCTCAAAACAACAACAATGGCTTTCGGTGACAGAGGCGGTCGTGGCGGCGGTGGTCGTGGCGGCGGTCGAGGTGGTTTCGGTGGTGACAGGGGTGGCAGGGGCGGTGGTCGAGGTGGTGGTCGAGGCGGTTCTTTCGGTGGCGACAGGGGTGGTAGGGGTGGTGCCCGAGGTGGTGCCGGTGGTCGAGGTAAGCAGCGTTCGCATCTCTGCCTTTGCACGCTAACGCTCAAATAGGACGAGGTGCTCCCCGTGGTCGAGGTGGCCCCGGAGGCGGTCGAGGTGGCAAGCCCGGTATGGGCCGAGCTGGTCCCGGTGCCGTCACTCTCGAGCCCCACAAGCACGAAGGTGTCTACATTGCCAAGGGCAAGGAGCACTTGCTTGTCACCCGAAACATGACCCCCGGCGAGTCAGTGTACGGCGAGAAGCGAGTCTCTATTGCGACCACCAACGCTGAGGGCGAGGAGGAGAAGATTGAGTACAGGGTCTGGAACCCCTTCAGGAGTAAGCTTGCCGCTGGTATCTTGGGTGGTTTGGACAACATCCACGTGAGTTTTCTGTATCATAGGATGGGGTCAAATCTTACTTGGAGCAGATCAAACCTGGAGCCAAGGTTCTCTACCTCGGTGCTGCTTCCGGTTCTTCCGTCTCCCACGTCTCAGACATTGTCGGCCCCGAGGGTGTCGTCTACGCTGTCGAGTTCTCTCACCGACCCGGACGAGAGTTGATCGGTATGGCCAAGAAGAGGACCAACGTTGTCCGTAAGTTACCCCGCCTCCTGTATCCTCTTCTCCACTCACACTTTTACAGCCATCGTTGACGACGCTCGTCACCCCCAAAAATACCGAATGCTCGTGCAAATGGTCGATGTCATCTTTGCCGATGTCGCCCAGCCCGACCAGGCCCGTATCATTGCCCTCAACGCCCACCACTTCCTCCGTAACGGCGGTGCCATCGTCATCTCCATCAAGGCCAACTGTATCGACTCTACGGCGCCCGCGGCTCAGGTGTTTGCTTCCGAGGTTAACCTGATGAGGAAGGAGGGTATCAAGCCTAAGGGTGAGTTGTCGTGCAAATCGCGCAGGAGATTCGAGCTGACTTGATGATAGAACAACTTACTCTTGAACCTTATGAGCGAGACCACGCCATCGTTGTCGGTATCTACAACCGTCACGAGTAATCTCCCCTCAATCCTTAATCTCCCATCCTCAATCGCATAACTCCCCGCGCATCGTCACGACCTTGACAAAATTGTACACTCCCCCCAATCTACCCAAAACGGCGTTTTAGAAGTTGAAGAAGAAAAGACTGTCTAGGAGGATTTCTCTATAGACGTCTTTATATATGTGCTTTCTTCGTTTTCCTCTTTCTTGTTTCTCTCTTCATTTCGGCTTTTCCTATCTCTCTTTGCATGTATGAGAAAACATATCTTCTGGAATTTCTGCACGGTTCGTTCTACATGCTGACATTGTACAGTGCTATATGTGCCAAGATGTTACAAGCTGGATGTGTCTACAAGTATCCTCATTGATTGATTCCAAAATGCCCTTGACCAGTCTACACGATTCGCCCCAAGAAAGATCCACTCTTGCCTCACGATCGACCATCTCACCAATCAACATCCCACTCTGCCACACTCTCAAGCTCCCTCGGCACCCTCCACCGCCACTCCAACCCCCTCTCCTCCCAACTCTCTTTCACCTCATCAACGACATTCTTGAATTGCGCCCCATTCTTGAGTTGATGTACCCCAACAGACCCTCGACGGCCCGGGATGGGCAGGGCGATGAGGGGGTTGGCACGATAGTTGCCCAAACGGGTGGATAGGTCGAGTCTGTGTAGGCCTGTACAAGGGTCGATGGCTGATGATGCTGATGCCGGAGTACGGGCACAGTCTGATGGGGCGGAAGAAGAGGGGGGCAGGGAGAACTTTGGATGGAAATCAATGATGGACCTGGCTTGATGGGAGAATGCGTACCATGAGATATCCCATGTGGGCGTCTTCATCCCACTCTCTATTCCTGTCTTCCCTCGAGACGTTTGCTGCAGCAAGCGCCTTCACCTGGAAATAGCATCAGCGGCTGTGAGTAAGGGCAAATATGGGACTTACCACAGGCCAGCTGAAGCCGTACATCATGCCCTCAAAGTAAAAGTGATACCCCGGCCAACGTCCAAAGGACGTACCGACGTATGATGGTGCACCTGGAGAGTGGGCGAGGAGATAAGGGAGGAGGTTTGGGAGGATGGGAAATGTCTGCAAGTTTATCAGTCAACGCGCATGCTATAAAAGAGGGTCTCACATCATCATCACATTTCATCACCCACCACGCTTCTCTCCCGCCCTCTTTACCGACTTGTCGCAACCACTCCCAAGTCTTTCCCAGGTTCATATTATCTCCCGCCTCAAGGTCTTCCAGAATGAACAGATCCTTTTCCCTCTTCTGTTCTGCCTCAATCTCGCGCGATTCATTATCGTCGTACAACGCGTGCCCGGGACTGTATCGCCCCATGATAAACTTGATCTCCACCAGATGTCTGTACGGCGGAGGGATCGCCGAAAAATAGTCGATCGACCGTATCAGCTCCCGCCTCTCCCTTGAGGCCGGCGAAGGCATCGAAAAGATATGGAGCATCAACACCGCCGGGCTCGTCAGCTCCCCGTCAAGTCCTTCCACCGGCAACGACAGTCTAGGCGCACTGTACTCTTCCATCGACCGGCCTTCTCTCAGACCATGTACCATGTTTGGTCGAGGCATGCCTTTTGTCTCCGGAAGCCCTTTCAGTGCGTCTACCAGGGGGTGCGCCCAGGCAGGCGACTTGGCGAGGAGCAAGTTGTATTGCTGATGCCTCGGAAAGTTTTTGTATGTCCCCAGGAAAGAATGGGCCGAGTATACGACCGGGGCGAAGAGGAAAGCGAGGGCGCAGAGGAGGAAGAGGAGAGGCCGGCGCCGTGTCGGGAAATGGAAGCGGTGGGAGCTGGGGGAGCGGGGAGTGTGGGGGCGGTGAGGGTGAGGAGGGTGCAAGAGCATTGTGCAGTGTTAGTTGACAGATGAATAGAGTCTCCATGTTCCGTGAATTCGACGGTGACAGCCAGAGCACAATTTCGAAACGCCAAGGAGATCGAGATTGCACGCGCCAGACACACAGCGAATCGAGGGCCCAAGGAACAGTGTGGTGTTGCCGTGCGGGGGCATGCTGCGGTGTTCTGTACATGTGCGGCTTATATACACCAGATCTTGTGTCTTCGAATCTCTTCTCAATCATGGCATTGATTTCTTATCGTTGAACTCTACGGCTTCGTAAGCCTCCAAGCATTCTCGGAATAGATTTCTTTGGAGAGCGTGATGAGGTTGAGAAAATAGTTTCTGTTCTCGATGGGGTTTTGGGCGAGATAGTGGGAGTAGATGTGGGCGATGATTTCGGAGGGGAAAGGTGAGAGAGTGAAGGCGTCAGAGGCGCTCTCAGTATGTCTGTGGACATGTTCTTGCGTTCGGGGATACCGATAGTGGGATGTTGGGTAAGTATGCAATTGGATAGGAAGAAGTTGACATGACTGATACATTTGACCCCCCGTGCGCGAGATTCCGGCCTCTAAGCATATACCATCGGCTTTACCTTCATCGACGGCCATAGCCTCCTCAAAGTACCGCGTCCCGTCTGATCCGCGAAGTCAACTAGGAGAGCGCTCGGTTAGTACCAGGGTGGGGGACCACCTGGGAATCCCGGGTGCCGTCGTTTTTTGTTCTTTTGCTTTTTGCTCCTATTTTGCCTTTTATCCTCTGCTTGTTGTCCTCCTGCCCCTTGTTCACGGCACCCTTACCCCAGCCTTACAGCGGAGGTTGCTATGGCAGAGATAGGTGGGTGGGTGCCTTCGTCACTAATCCTTTGATTCTATAGCAAAACGTGCTGCCCTTGTCGTGGCATTCTTTCAGTCAACTCTATGCTCACACAAATGAAGGGGCGGGGCCACATGAAAGTTGATCGCCAAGTGATTACATGCATGAAAAGGATGTTGCGCGCGTTACTTTACGCATGATATGCCTCTCTTTATGAGGTTAATGGTTTTAGACGTCATGTTCCAACGATGGGAATGTAAAAAGAGCTGTGAATTGAAAAAGAATAATATCGACACCGATAGCACGAGGGACCTCGTCTATCCCATTGAGCCCCTTTCAGAACGACTAGACAATACTACCAAGTATGAAAAACTGAAAGACATGAGATGACTGCTCTACTTGGTGGTGGTGATCAACATGGTACCAAACACATAGTCCCAGACCTTGCTGGTAACACCGAAACCAAGCTCAAAGTTCTTGTAGTGATGAGCGAGGTGGTATCGCTTCATCTCGGCAAGGTAGGCGGGGAGCTTTGTGTGGTGGAGGGCGTAGTGACCTGTGACGGCGTTAACTTCTGACAACCGATGGACAGTATAAAGTACTCACCGAGGTCATACACCACATACATCGCAAAGGCGCCGCTGATGATACCGTTCGCGACAGCCATGGGGAAGAGGGTATGCGCCAACTTTGTGAATGGTGTCTGCAAGACAAAGAACAGGAGAGGAGGCATGACGAGCCTCAGCCTGTCCATGGGCAAGTAGTGGTGCACACCATGGAGAAGGAAGTGAAGCGTGATGGCCCACTGAGCGTCGGGAAGGTAGTAGTCGAGGTGGAAGAGGAATCGGTGCAAGACGTATTCGAGGACGGTCCAGATAAAGACACCGAAAGCAAAGCAAGCGGTGAAGGCGGCAAGGGCAGCGGCTGTGGGGACAGGGAGAGAGGTGATGGCAGGAGGAGGATAGGTAAGGAGGGACTTGGATGTGATGCCACTATGAAGCGTCAGTTGATAGTCACGCTGAAACCCATCGGACGTACCTCTGAGAGAATTGCAAGATCGACAGTACACCAAGGAAAGCAGCGATGGGCCACCAGATGATGGGCACCACATACCATTGCGTCCTGGTGAAAGGCTCCAGCAGGTCACTGCCAAACATCCTTGCGCTTTCCTTCAAGTGCCTCGGCTCGTGAACCTGAGCGAGATAGTACTCTTTGGTCCAAGGAGCGTTCCAGACTTGCATTAAGAGAGGCTTCTCCAGGTCGATAAACTTGTTGAGGTTGTAGTCGGAAAGACAGTCTGTGGCATCCGGGTGGAAGTTTTCGTCGGGGACCCAATCTATAGAGGGTCAGCCAAGATACAAAATGTACAACCCGACTCACCTTCAGACACGATCTTTTCGCCACCACCGAGCTCTCCCACTTGGAACTCCTCCAACATTTCATACGCCGCTCTCGAGTGCACATGGACATCTTCATCGCCCATCACTTTTCCAATGTCTTGGCCAGAATAGGCAAGGATAATGTCATCTCCTCCGGGGTGGTCGGGCAAAAACTCGGTGAGATCGTAGACCTTGCCAGAGTAGGTGACGAGGGAAGACACGCGTGTAGTGTCTGGGATTTCGTCAGCCGAATATCATTTTCGCATGAACACTCACGCTTGGCTACCTCAGAAGCGCTGTAGATGGAGCCTCGGGGGTGAGGGAGGGTCTTGCTCATGTTGAATAATCCGAAATCGGCAGAGGTAGTTTTGGCGCGGTGGAGGTGGGACGATAGACGGGTGGCGAATGGATAACGAGCGACAGGCGTGGGTGGTAGGGGAAGGCAAGGGGCGAGCGGAGGGAGGCGACTAGGTGTGGAGGGAGGAGATTGTTGAGATGCAAACGAGAAATGTTTCTGAATGACGGACGGTTACCCACGCATGCCACGGCCACGCCAAAATTCGTTCGTTCGGATCGGAGCGCGCAGGAAATTGATTCCGAAAAAAACAACAACGAGAGGCGGCGAGCGGCGAGCGGAGTCCGTCAGCAAGACCCCGCACTCGCCCAAAGGCCGCCGCTGACTGGACAGGTATGTTGGACGTGGCACATTAATACATGCATAGCCAGGCGATGTATATAGAGTAGGCCTGGGTATGTGGGACAAATCACAACTGGACGAGTACATATATCACGGCGCATCATTGCGCTTTGCGTCAACCACGCAACCCTCGGAGAGAACGACAACGCAAACTACGCAGACATGGACGCAGAGGAGGATGTCATATGGCTCAGTCCTCCAAACTGGGACAGTGCACCATCGAAGTGGTACTCCGGAGTGGACAGTAGTATGTTGCCAGAATTCCTTCGGCTAAAAAGCTCTCGATGAGCATGCTGGTATGAAATTGAGGGCTGCTGAGTAGGCATCATTCTGGGCGGCTGATGACCAAGAGCATGGCCATACGGTATGGGGTAAAAGTCTCTGATCACTGGCAGATGCAAGCCTTGATGGTTATAGAGCAAGCCGGCGAGAGGGGACGGGGACTCCGAGAGAAGAGAAAGGTTCGGAGCCGGGGGCGTAGGAAGGGCAGGAAGAAGGGTTTGGGGTTGGTATCCGAAGGCATAAGGAGGTGGACGTTGAGGGGCGGAGTCGTGTCCCAGAGGTGGGAGTCGGACGTCGATATCGTCGCTTGCGGGCTGAAGGTGTGTCTCGCCGATCTCATGGCCTTCGTCTTCCTCCTCAAAGTATTCTTCTCCCTCTCCATCCTCGGACCCTCCCTCTTGCCCGTAATCCTTGTCTTCTTGGTCCTCGCCTGCGTCCTTTTCATCCTGGCCACCATCCTGATTATCACCCTGACCATCACCCTGACCATCACCCTGACCATCATCCTCGACATTCTCCTCACCATCCTCTCGACCCTCAGCAGCTTTGGTCTCGGCTTCCTCAGCTGCTATCTGATTTTCGCCCTTCATGTCTAAAACATCCTTCGACACTCTGCCCTCCTTCACCATAGCCTCCAGCTTCATACGGATCGAAGGCTGCCACCCATCAGGGGGCGGCCCCCAAACACAAGGCTTTCCCTTGCTGCGGCATTCCTCACAATCAACCTCAAACAGAGATCCACCGGCACACTACAAGTTCGCTTTAGCATTGCCGCTATACAATAGAGATAATTTGGAGATGGAGCGAAACGTACCTTGCGCTTGCTAACTCGGCACGGACCGCAGCCCAGCGTTTCTCGCGTCCTTCTGGGTGGTTTGCGCTTCTTGGTCGGGCTACCACCGCCGGCGCTCCCACTGCTTCTCTTCTTCTTTCCGCTTCCACCGGCCGAAGCCTTCTTGTGAGACAACTCTCCACTTTTTGGTACCGGTGCCATTTTGTATGTGGGTTCTATTGCTGGGTGAGAGAAGGGGGTATGTTGAATGATGAGGCTGATACGGTGGTGGTGTATTAGGGAACGTCGATGGGAAGATGAGAAAGTGGAATAAACCTGGGGCACTGTGAGTTCTTATATCCCATGCTTGCAGATGTATACGCAATCCCAGGGCTGGGCAAAAATGAAGTGAGGAAAAAAGACAAGCTGAGGAAAGACGGAGATGAGGAAAGATTGATATGTGGAAAGATTTAGCGTTGAAGCGTCATCATCATCTCATCAAACTAAATTTCGAGACGGACTTGAAGTGGGAGTATGAATGCAATTACGTCTTCAAGATCTCCGTTTCGAGAGCAAGTCTGAAAGGGGTCCAGTCCTGCGATGTAGGGGACAAGTCAAGCTTGCCACAACGATGGGCTGTCTTCGTAACATCTCTCGTCTGCACGTATCACGACAACAGTAGTACTACAACTTGTACATCAGCAGCACACCCATGAGGCAGTCTGGAAAGAGGAAGAACCTCGGACCCACCAAGAAGATCACGAAGAAAAGCAAAAAGCAAAAAGAGCAAAAAGACAAAAACGACGGCACCCGGGATTCCCAGGTGGTCCCCCACCCTGGTACTAACCGAGCGCTCTCCTAGTTGACTTCGCGGATCAGACGGGACGCGGTACTTTGAGGAGGCTATGGCCGTCGATGAAGGTAAAGCCAATGCATTGCCTATTCTATGTTCATTTGGCTTCTGATCTTGATTTCATATCATTTGAGACGTTACGTAACTCAATCGGACCACCGGGCGCGAACAACTGCAGTAACCAGAGAGTGTCGAGATGAACTTTGATCTCTCATATAATTCCAGTATCAGCTTCGGATAACCCAACATGGCCACGGAATCCCGCCGGATGGCCATCTCTGACCCTCATGGGTCCATCCCGCCTCGGTTCATCGTGGGCGGGCAGCTCTCCCAGATGGTTTCGGGCGATATCAAGATGTACGAGTGGAGGCGGGAGGTGAGCATCTTGCTGAATTGCTGGATTTATCTGACCGGGAATTGTAGGAAGCAAAGATGGGAATGGTCGGACTGCAGACGGAGGTGGGACAGATCAAAGTGAGTACAGATGCGGTTGGAGAATAGTGTTGACATTCGACAGACATTGGCATGGTCTCCATCACCTGTACACAAGCATCTCATCGCCACGGGTCTATCTACTGGAAAGACTCTTCTTATAAACCTTTCGCCATCCACCCTCTCCCTTCCTGTTCAGCCCGCCAACTCTCCGTCCACCGTCGCTTCTCTTACTGTCAAGCACACTCGACCCGTAACAGCCATCTCATTCTCCCATATCGATCCGAATTATCTTGCGACAGGTTTGGACAGGCATCGATCTGATTCCTCCCTCTTGATCTGGGATGTTCATGACGCTATCTTGTCATCCAAGCTGGAGCCCGATGGCGACACATGGACTCGTCCTGAACCATACCTGAAGTCAACCACCACGACCAAACCCACTTCCTCCGAACCGCGACCTATCCAAGCGTACTGCCCTTCAGAAGCGATCCAAGCAGTGTCCTGGATCCCTTCGTCACCATACTCCTTGCTTGCATCTTCCTCAAATAAAGCAATCCGGTTGTATGATTTACGTGATCCGACACCTAAAGAGGGCGCGTCTGCAGGGACAGCCGGATCAGCCGCTCAATGGTCATCCCGTGCCGTTCACTTCCTTACTCCGAATCCCAAATACGAGCACTCGTTCGCTTCATATGAAGCACCTCCCGCTGGTGGTAGCTCTACAGTGCGGCTGTGGGATACTAGGAGGCCAGGCGCAGAGATATTGGGGTGGGAGATGCCGGGGAATGTTTGCGGAATGAGCTGGCTCGATGGAGGCAGGCTTGGAGTGGGGTCGAAAGAGGGTGGGGTGAGAGTATGGGATGTTGTGAGGGGTAAGCGAGAAGAAGGCGAGAACGTCAAAGAGTGGGTGACACTCGGGGGAATGAGGCAGAGTGAGTTCAGTACCCTATCTCCAGAACGAGGGCTGACCCAAGGCAAGTCGTAAAGCCGAGGCAGAATTTGCATTCGTTTGCATTCACTCCAACGGCTCAGAAGGGCAGTCCGGATGTGATGTATGTGCTGAGAGATGGTACCATCTCGATAGGCCCGGTTGGGCAGGCCCCACTTGTGAGTCGCTCCTTTCACAGATATACGTGAAACTAACGACCACTAGCTCACCTCTTCATCCCAAGGCGACATTGCCATAACCTCCTCTGCACTCATTCTCATCAATCCCGATAGCCCCTCTACTTCCCCAACCACTCAATCATTCCCTGTCGCCGAAAAGAAAGATAAGGACGAGAAAGACGAGCCCATATACCGTCGTAACAAATTCCAACTTGCCCCTGAACGAATCACTGCCATCCTCGCCGAACGTTCTAGCTCTCGTTCTGCGTCACCCTCATTCACCGGCAAAGCTTCATACTCCCAGGATCCCCTCTCTCGAAGCATCGTATCGGAATTTGAGCGGGACAAGGAGCGTGATTACTATGAGGCCGATGGGGAGGTAATCAATGAGAGGGATGAGATTGTCGGAGGGTATGAGGGGTGGAGGAAGGTGTTGAGCGGGGATGTGAGCGTTGTGATGAGACGGAGAGCCGGTGAAGGGTATGGGCTGGATGATCTGCTATTGAACGCTGCTGTCGCGAGCAGACATCCGGGAAAGTTCAAGCTGGCAGGTGTCTGGGAATTCATTGAACGTGCGTTTATCCACTTTACGAGAAACCAGACGCTTATCAACAAACAGATCTGACAAGAACGATGACGCCCTCACTATCATCATCAAGCGCATACAATCTCACACATCAAGGGATATACCCCATTTGGACTTCTCTTGGTACTCAAGACATTAGCCCTACCCCGCTCTCCCCCCACTTGGTAAATGAAAAGCTCAGTCTCGATAACAGAGGGAGACCAGAGAAAGAAGGAAAATTCCGGTTCCTTTCTGGTGGAGATGGTTCGCGCTCGGCTAGTATGTCGCGTACAAGTAGCCATACTGGTAGCGGCACCTTTACCCCTAAAGAGACGCGTGAACGAAAAGCATCAGATCGGCCAACTGGTACCACATCATACCTCTCTCCACCTAGTCAAGAATACCTCTCTGCGATCGCTTCCCTCAACGCGACCCGCTCGACGCTACACGACACCTCTTTGCACCCGGGAATCGTCAGGGCGTCTGTGGGAGGTGAGAGAACAGATCTGAGAAAGCTTATCTTGACGCTCTGTGGCGAGAACGGAGATGGGTGGGATGGAGGAAGGAGAGGGCGCGGTAAGGGAGAGGTGGAGAGATTGGTGAAACAAGGGGAGAGAAGTAAAGCTGCTTTTAGAGCTTTCTTCAAGGGAGACGAAGAGGGGACGATCAGCATTCTGATGTCAAGTGAAGGTGAGCGCTTCCATTGTGCATCACAGACCTAAAGCTTACGTGTATTCATAGACCAAAATGACAACCTCCTTGGTTCCACCATCGCCGGTTTCATGGCTCAATCTGCATCCGCCCGTGGCAGTGAATATTTCAACTCTCACTGGCGTAATCTCGTTCGAAGAGTAGACGACCCGCATATTCGAGCCATATTGTCTAGGATTGGTGGGGATGACTGGGAGAGTGTGTTGGAGGAGGAGAATATACCCCTCCTGGACAGGATGGCTGTTGCCGTGCAGCACTTGGATGACTACGAGGTGCGTTTCACATCAATCTGGCATCACCAATGCTGACTTGACACAGTTCTCAACATTCCTCAGAGGAAGGATGAACCGCTTCACCCGCTCCGCCTCCCTCCACATGCTTCCCCTTGCCGGTCTTGCCCCTCCTGCACTCTCCCTCCTGTCGCGCTTCCTGGCTCGTACAGGAGATATCCAAACTACCACCCTCCTTTCAGCTTTCTTTCCTCCAGGCAAGATGACAGGAGCAGAAAAGCATATGAGGGAGAGGTGGAGAGAAGCGTACCGGAGCATGTTGGATGGGTGGGGCATGTGGGGAGAGAGATGTGCTTTCGATGTAAAGTGGGGAGAGCTGCAGAGGGCACTCGGGGGCGAAGAGGAGGGAGAGAATAGGATGGGCGCCTGTCCTGTGTAAGTCGAGTCGTACAGGAAGCTAGACCGTTTACTAATTTACTCAGCTGTAATAACCCCATACCGAAAGATACAGAGTCACGGCTGCATCGCAAGAACGCTGTGCGTGGCACTCCCAATGTTGGGATACCTAGTGAGCGAACCACCGTCTGTGTGTACTGTCAAACACCTCTGCCAAGATGTGTCATCTGTTTGCTACACGTGGATCCCCATAGACCACCTGCAGAGGAGCACGATAAGCCTGCTCATATCAGTGGTGCGTCGTTCCCTATCCGAAATCGACAATTGCTGACGATACGAGCAGACACAATCGATGCCGCATATGTGTTCTGCCTGACGTGCAGACATGGTGGACATGCTTGTCATGTCCTTCCCTGGTTCGAAGGTGGCTTAGATGGTGGCATACCACATTCAGTCTGTCCTGTGGCAGGATGTGAATGTAATTGTGCAGACATTTGAGTGGACGGGAGTAGAGTAGATGGGAAATGTCAATCCTATAAGTGCTGCTCGAATGCATGTCTATCAATTGCTTTTTCAGACGTCTCTCATCTTCCCATTCTGACCACCAGCAATGCGCCTGTGGGCTACTTCCGCTTGATGGCGGCAGCCGCCGACACTTCATCGGCGCTGCAAAGAGTGACGGCATTGAGTATTTTCATCTTCATCCTGTCTTCATCTGCAGTCAATTCGAATCAATTCGAAAGTTATTCGCTGTAAAAGCTCCATTCGCTTGCGGAGCTCAGCAAATCCGGATCCTACACCCCCTCAAATTTAGCGCAAAGACGCCTGCCACGGATCGACATGCCTGCCGACTTTGCCTACGAAGAACCATCCACTTCCGCTCTTCTCATCTTCTCCACCTATATCTGGCTCCTCAATCTCGCCAGATGGATCGTCCAACGATATACAGGGGCCGGTCTCCTGGGAGAAATCGCCATAGGCATGGTGTTTGGATCTCCGCTTGCAGAGTGGTTGCAGATTGACTGGCAGGACACGATGGTGATAGTGGGGTACATCGGGTTGTTGGCTATTGTCCTCGAAGGTGGGCTCAGTAACGAAAAAGTACATGACACTAGCTGATGACACTTAGGTGGTATCACAACTAGCTTGCCCCTCTTGGTACCCCTCATCCCCATCTCTTTTGCGATTGCCGTGACGGGTGTTGTTGTCACCTTCGGACTATCATTCATCCTCATGCCAGCCTTTTCTTTTGCACCCCTCGCAGCGTTCTCAACAGGCTCTGCTATGTCTTCCACCTCCCTCGGCACTACTCTTGCCGTTCTTGCAGGGACCAAGGGCATCGGGTTCGATCTTCGCCAGACGAAAGTTGGTGTAGCGCTCGTCGGTGCTGCTGTCGCCGATGACGTATCAGCGTTCGTCTTTTCAGAGATCATCAAAATTGTAGGAGAGGGTAGCGGTGGAATTGGTGGGAAGATTGGAAGGACAGTCGGAGTCACCCTTGGACTAGGAGTCGTCCTGATCCCTCTTTCCATCTGGGTGTTCCGGCCGCTCATAACCTCGCGATGGGCCCTCAAACAGCTCGATAAAACGGGTCAGCTTGGATCCGTCATTCTCGTGTTATTCACGGCAGTGGGAATGGTCGCGGCAGCTGGCTATGCTGGCACCAGTCCTCTATACGGCATCTATGTAGGAGGCCTAGTCCTCTCCTATATCTCTGAAACTGCTCCCCGCGATGACCGCGAGTCAGACCTCGAGCTTGATCCCCTGCCTCGCACGAGTGCATGCGCCACTACCAACACGGCCGGTCCTCTCATCGATTCTCCCGCTTTGGCCTGGACCATGTCTCGAGCATCTTCAAACCTATACCGCGCCCAAACCCACCCAGGGACACTAGGCTACCACTTTGCCTCTCTCCCGGCCCCCAACCGCGCCCGCTCCCGCGCAGAGTCCTCAAACACCAATCACCCGCTTGATTTTGCCGAAGCGTACAACGCTTTCCTGTTTCCCATCGTTGAATATATCCTACTCCCCCTCTTCTTCGGTTCCATCGGCTACTCTATCCCCTTTGTCCGCTTGTGGCGAGGCGAGATCATCTGGAAAGGAATCGTCTATTCCATACTCATGCTCATCTCCAAGATGGCATGCGGTCTATGGATGTTCTGGCCGTCAAAGAGCAGAGGAGGGATGCTGGCGCAGGAGAAGGGGTTGCCAGTGACTGAGAATGAGCTGCGGGGAGAGTGGGGATGGAGAGATCGGGTGCCGGCGGTTTTGTTTTTGGGAAGCGCGATGGTAGCGCGTGGCGAGATTGGCCTTTTGTAAGTTCGAATATATCGCCTTGAGTCTCTGCTGATTCTTGATAGGATATCTCAAATTGCCCGTCACACCAACACCCCGCTCATCACCGAAGACGAATTTCTGATCGCTATCTGGGCTATTGTCTTGAATACCATCATTGGCCCCCTTGCTGTGTCTGCCACCTTGAAGCGGTTCAAATTGAAGGTCGTGGCTGGTGGATGGGAGTGAGATATACCCGGGCCCATGGTTAATAACATTGTCATTAAGATTCATCAAGGGGGAGGGTGATTCTGACGGACCCGGGTAATCTTGATCAGAGTATTTTGTAGATGCGATTGTATCTGACATAGAACCAATTGATGTAGCTATATGACTGATACCTCTGCGTTGATGCGGCTCAAGGAAACACCTGCCAATGGTCTTGGCAACTTGCTACCGATAGGCAGTGCCGTCTGCAGCCATATGCTCTTTGAGGCAGATCAGAGATGTCACATAAAAGATAGACCCCACAAATGAAACCGTATTACACCGCAGACAGAAAAGCTACGTATGGCGATATGTTGGAAATGTATGATAACAATGTACAAACAATGCTGATATTATATGTCAAAGCGTTACAAACGTTCCCCATTGCTAAGCTTCGTTCTTCATCCCGGTCATGTGAGATCGACAGAGTCAACATACACGACTTCTTCTTTACCACTCGATTCCGCCGTTGTACGCCATGCTCCCTGGGCTCCCCAAGATGACTCTTTTTCCTTGAGCCCCTTCGCCAAGGTCCACCTCCGTCCCCGCAGTGGTCGCCTTATTTTCCCCAACAACTACTACACCTGTGCTTCCCACTGTTCTTACGCTCTCCGGACTGCTATCCACCCCTTCTTCTCTCGCTCCATGACCTTCCGCCACCGCGGCTGCTCCATAAGGGTGAGGTGTCTCGATAACGAGATCAGGGGTCGGGAGATTGGAGGCGATAGAGAATTGCGAGGCGTCAAAGTACGTGTCAAACAAGTCTGAATCGTTCGGGTCCATGCCACCTGCCTGCAAAGGCGCGGAGGGCGCGGGGGCAGAAGCAGACAGCGGGGCTGCCGATGGGTTGGATTCAGAAGTAGGCAGGCCGGTCTCGAGATGAGAAGCGGCCTGGGATAAGCCCTGTTGATGTGCGCCATAGATAGCACCAAACATTTCCAAAGCTGAATCCACCGATTTACTCTCATCACCAAGTCCGGCAACAGACATCATCTCCTGCTGCTGGTCAAAGAAGCCCCTGTGCGCTTCAATCTCTGCCTTCCTAGCACTCTTTTCAGCCGTCAACTGAAGTTCAAGGCTATTGACTTGCGGGCCAGGCGCAGAGGGTTGAGGAGGTATGGCGGTTGAGACGATCGGCGACGGGAGCTCTGGCACATTGGCGTCTGTAGCCTTCTTCTTGCCCTTGCCACCCTTGTCACCCGTCGGTTGCCTCTTCCTCTTGTTGACTTTTTTGTCCTTGGGGCTATCACCGGTGGCACCGGGCGTTTTAAGCGCAGTCCCTTCAGGAGTGGCACCAGAAACGGCTGCAGCAGCAGGCGAACTACCGGGGCCGGCGGCGATGCCAGGCTTCTTGCCACCTCGCTTGGGCGCAGGAGGCTGTTTGAGATCTTCAACTCGCAAGCCCTTTTGACGGATTGCGTCCTGCATAGCAGACGGGCTATCCTTAAGAGCAATATTTTGCGAAGCAGATGGAGGAGCAAGACTGGATTGCGCAGCGGGTGCTTGCTGGAAAAGAGATTGAGTGGTTTGCTGGACCATATCTCGCATGTTTCCAAGGTTGAGTCCCAGTCCCAGACCATCCTGGCCCTGCCCCTGGGTTTGCATTTGACTCTGTGCTTGAGCCTGCTGTTGTTGTGTTTTCGCTAGCATGGCTGTCCGCACATTGTGGACAGACTCGACCATCGCCTTGATCCGCAGGCTTCCGCCTGGGCGTTCATTGATAAGCTTTGTGACCGTCTGCAAACGCCCGTTAAAACCACTCAGAGAGGTCTTGATACGCATGAGGTCTGCCGAAGCTAGGACGTAACGATTCTGCCGTTCAGCGGCGAGGAAGGCGTATTGGGGAGCGATGCACTACGTCTTGTGTCAGCTTTTAGTCGATAGTGAAGGAAGAGAGGACATACAGCATGTAGACACTGCATGACCAATTGTTGGTCAAAGCTTGTATCCGCATCGTTCATGAGCATCAACAAGATCGGGAGTCGCGTCTCGGCTTCCTTTGCTGACGGGATGATCGTTCGCAGATCATTGACGTAGCCTCGAGCATCGACGCCAGGTTGATTCGGCATTTTGTCTGTCATACGGTCAGCTGTGTCCCTAGCCCAGAATGAGATCCTGTACTTACCAAGATTGCCGCGAATCAACCCGTCGCTGACCTTGATAAGCTCCAACATTTTGAAAGCCATCTTGGTATAATTTTGCAAATCTTGAGGAGTAGGACCAGCAGCTTGCGATTGCTGCTGCCGTGACGCGTTGGCTTGCTGAGGCGCTTGCTGCTGCTGCTGCTGCTGCTGTTGTTGAGATTGCTGAGCAGCATGTAGAGCCTGCTGCTGCTGCCAAGCTTCGACAACACTTGGTCCTCCTCCAGAAGCTTTCGCCGCATCCAAAAACCTCTTTTGTTGCTCTGACAGCCCACCAGAGCCTTGAGTCTGCTGCTGCTGACCTTGCCCAATGGGAGCAGCCGAGCCCAGTAAAGGCGTCGCACCCGTTCCTCCCTTCTGCGCTTGCGGCTGCCCAGCCCTTGCGCCCATTCTGGCGCGTCGAGCGGCCATGAATGCTGTTTCCATAGGCTGCAGGACGGAGGCATAGATACTTCTGATCTGGCCGGCGATATGGGGGGAGGAGATGGGCGGTTGACCGGTTTCGGTAGAGGTATTGGTACCGGGATGGGCGAAACCGAGCTGCCCTGCTATGAATGTCCATCGCATGGCATCGATCTGCCCTAGTCAGCCCAATTCTTATAGCGATAGAGAGAACTCACATTTGCAAACCCGTTATTGCGAATCACAATCTGGAACAGCTTGTGCAGATTCACGGGCTTACCCTCTATCGACGGCACACCATTCTGCAACACTGGCATCGTGCCCTTGCGCATCATCGCACTCATCGAACTGTAGAAGGCATCCTCGGGAATGTCCTGGATCGCTTCCATCCCCGTCTGCCCGCTCTGTTGACCTTGCATTGGCGGCTGAGCGTTCCCTAGCAGAGGGGTGGCGTTGGGCATAGACTGCCCGGAAGGTTGCTGTGCCATGGGCGCCGACCCGGCTGATGCCTGTACTGGTGTGGGGAACTGTCCAGGGAGTTGACTGTTGTTCATCGTCGGCGTGACGAGCTCGATAGGGTTATTCTGAGACCCTCTCATCGGCTGTTGCTGCGATTGCTGCTGGCCCTGGAATCGTCGAGCTGCCAATTGCTGAGCCGACATCTGGTCCTGACCCTGAACTTGAGGCGCTTGACCAACGTTTTGCTGTTGCTGCTGCTGCGCCATCGTAGCTTGCCGTATTCGTTCGACATTCGCAAACGTCAACTTGGCAACCTCTTGGAGTTTGGCGGGTTCAACATTAAGCAAAGCTTCGCGATGATTTGCCATCGGCATCCTTGGTTTCAGGTCAGCTCAATGCCCTAGCCAATACTTGATCACACTCACAAAATACCGCCAACCGCCAAGACATCCTCAGGTATCATCATGCCACGCTTCTTGAGCTCTGCAAGCACCAGTAAAAGCTGAAACTTGGCGATACTCTCAGCAGGCGACCAAGGCCTACCCCCCGGCGCACCGCCAGCCGCACCAGCACCCTCATCTCTGGCTTGTCCTATCTTCTTTGACAAGCCTATCACCACTTGCAGGACTCTTTCGCTAGTCCATTGCCCCATGTTTGCCAGAGCACCCATGACTCCGGCCATCTGTGCTTGGGCAGGTTGAGGTTGGCGATTGTTTTGTGGTGGCGTGGGTTGAATTCGGGGAGGAGCGGGACGGGTTTGTGGTGGTTGAGGGTAGGTTTGCTGGTTGGTGGCGGTGTTGGCATTGTGGATCTGGGGCGAAGGCAGAACCTGCTGGTTCATCTGCGGCGTCTGCTTGAGCTGCTGCAGCTACTCCTACTTAGCTCGGTCTTTCAGCGATAAATCAACTCACCAGGTCCATTTGGTTCATGTTTCCGAACTGGTTCATGTTGAAGTTTTCACTGCCAACCCGCTGATGACCCTGTTGGGTCGCGTTCCCCTGTACAGGCTGCGTCACTGTACGTGGTGGCGCGACCTGGCCATTGATCCCGACCGGCACGCCAGCTCCTTGCCCTCGCAGAGCGACCATGACACGTCTGATCTCCTCCATTGCACCTGCTGAATTACTGGCGTGTTTTCGGAATATGGTTTGTACGATATCGGGGTGGCTTTGCAAGAGTTCTCGGACTTCTGGTGGGATAGCATTGTTGGTAGCCGGGGCAGTAGGTTGAGCTGGGGTGGAGTTGTTCTGCAACATACTACGAAGGTTTAGCGAATGATCACCGCACACAGCAGCCAACTTACTTTTGCAAAGCTGCTCGCCGCACATTGTCGTCCATCATCCCCTGGCCCTGCCCCGCGACTCCTAGACCTTGCTGCTGGGAAAGATTCGGGAGCTGAGACTGTGGCCTGTGGCCATTCTGCCCCAGTCCTTGCTGGTCTTGGTTCTGAGAAAAGCCAACCATACCGCCCATCCCCGGCAAACCTCCCATCCCTTGCATCCCAGCAACCCCCTGTACCCCAAGACTCTGCTGCTGCACCTGCTGTGAAGCCTGCTGCTGAGCGTGAGCCTGAGCATACGTCTGCGCTTGAGCCGACTGAGCTGCCTGGGCATTCTGATGGGCCTTGAGCTGCTCTGCAGCGACCTGCGCTTGCAATGCCGGGTTGGACACCGCTTGCAGCCTGGCTTGCTCGAGTCGGTCACGGTTCTGGGTCTGGAGCCGGTTGTACATTGGCATCATCATGTTTTGCATGGCCGAGACCTTGTCGTTTTGTTGAGCTGGGGGGCGTTGTGGCTGGTTGGGATTGGATTGGGAAGTTTGTTGTTGCATCTGCTGCAGTAGCTGAGGGGGAATACCTCGAAGGCCGCCCATGTTTTGAGCACCGACTTGGTTGTTACCAGGCTGGTTCGGCATCTGCATCCCTCCTAGCAGATTGGAAGCGGTGTTGGATGCCTGGGGTTGGTTCTGTTGCTGCTGCTGCTGCTGCATTTGACCAGTCAGCTGGGCAAAAAGCGCAGGGTTCAGCTGGTTGAGCTGGGCCATATTGAGGCCCCCGAATGGCTGCTGGTTGTTGCTCATGGCGGCGGTGATGAGACCCGGCAGGGGTATAGAGAGGACGCCGAGTGGCGAAGGATGAGTGGCGAAGGGCACAAAAAGAGAGCTGAATGCGAGAGAAGATAGAGGACATCCATCCATCTGACGGCAACGGGAGCAGATGTTGCCACCCTCGTCCCTACACGTTGTGGCACTTTTCCCACCGGCACGTTTTCTTCAGGGGCAGGCATTTTGGAGAGACGAAATTCCATTCGTACATACGGGCTACTCTGGCGCCTGAACCGGCCGGGAGGTGATCTCGACGTGTCAGATATGAAGCTACCGCTGCTACGGCCATCGGAATCACAAGCGACGGACATTCCAGATACAATGCAGCCAGAGAAGGTCACCTGCCCCAGTGCCTCCAGTGATGACACACTCTACCCGCTCGTCCAGCTGGATCCCTGTTGGCTCCCATATTCTATGGTGCAGCAGATCCATATATAGCACTCCGCATAGGCGGCTGTCCAGATTTGATCAACGTCAAGACGCTTTCGGAGGACGTTACCGTTCGAGTGGCTTCCATGCTCTAACGGTTGAGTGAGCCCGATATCTTTCTCATGAGTGTCCTTTGCTCATCATTTGGTCAGGCATGCGACTGCGTTTTGGCGCAAAGAACCTGATAGCAGCTTATGGCCCGCGCCAACCAGACTTGCTCATGTGGGGTTCTCAAGCAACAACAATCTTTGAACGGCTGGTGGATGAGTGTCTTGGCCAGTCGTTGGAAATGGTCACTGCTGCAGAGGCAAAGACCCGTGGAGAGGCTTGAACGCACGCTGCGTGTCAGCCATCGGAGACGCGTCAGGAGAAGAGACAAGTTGAGAGCTACAGGAGGACGAGGAAGAAGAGCAATTCCCTAATAGAGACGTAGCAGACTAGCATCTCGCGAGACGTGGTGGAAAGCATGCATTGCCGTTCCCCTTCAACGATACACAATTACAAGAAAATAAAAAGAGACAGAAGGATGAACAGCCCGTCCTAGAAGCTGAACTCCCTCCATCTTCCGTCTCGCCTCTTGTCACACCACCATCCCTCATTGTCCTTATTTGAAAAGCCCCGTGTCACGCGCCGGGTCACAACATGGTTGAAGGGGATGAGAAAGAAGGAGAGCGAGAACACGAGACGAAAGGGTCTGAAAATATTAAAGGAAGGGTTTGGGAAGAGCAAAAGGTCGTCGGAAAGAGATACTGGAAAGGCCGGAATGTCGTGAGGGCTGAGACCGAGAGATAGCGCATCAAGTCGAAAGATGGCAGGGAGACAGGTTAACAGTTGCACCCATAGTTTTGAGTGTTTTCAGAGTCAATCCTGATGGGGTCGGGATAGTCGGCATACCTGCATTCGGGATCAACTTGTCATTCTCCACGGACTCACGCAGGAAGCACTTACAACTCGGTCTCCGCTTCCTGGGCAAGCGCGTTTTTGGCAATGGTCTGGAAAGCCTGCTCGACGTTGATAGCCTCCTTGGCGGAAGTCTCGAAATAGGGAATGTTGCCCTTGGCTTGACACCATGTCATGGCACGTTTTTGAGAGACCTGTCCTTTATCAGCCTATTGAATCTCGCCAACTGTTACCAACATACCACTCTCTTGCTCTCTTCCATATCGATCTTGTTACCCAAAACGACGAACGGAAAGTTCTCGGGGTCGTGCGGAGAGGCCTGCACCAAGAATTCATCTCTCCAGCCGTCCAGTGCTTCGAAAGACTTGGTGGAGTTGACGTCGTAGACGAGGACACAGCAGTCGGCTCCGCGGTAGAAGGCGACGCCTAAGGATTGGAAACGTTCTTGACCGGCAGTGTCCCAGAGCTGCAGGGGTGTGTAAGCATGGCGCGACATTGGGGAGCAGATTATGGAACGCGGATAGGGCTACGTATCGGTGCACGACCCGTGCGACAACCGCAACTCGGCTCAATCACGTCCTCCCCTTCTTCCCATCCCTTGCTCCCGGCCTCGTAGCACTTTGGCAACAGCACTCACCTGCATAGTGACCACCCGGTCATCCACGACCAATTCTCTGGTCAAGAAATCCGCTCCGATCGTGGCCTTGTACTGGTTGGAGAATCGCTTGTTGACATACTGGTTCATGAGGGATGTCTTTCCGACACTACATGGCTCTTGTCAGTATGCATTCTTTCCACCGGCAGCTAAGGCCGGGATATAAGGGCGAGGACAAAGGGCGCGCCATGACCGCGTAACGTACCCCGAGTCACCAAGGATGATAACCTGCCGTCTGTCAGCCGCGGACTCTTCCCGTGTGCGCACTGCTTACCTTGAGGAGGTGCTTCTTCCTGTTGTTGTTGGAGGCCATGTTGGATGATGTTGAGAGAGATGAGAGAGATGTGTTAAGGTGGCAACGACGGATACGGAAGGTGTCCGGGACGGGAGTAATAGTAGGTGTCCGGACGGGACAGACGCGTCAATGTCCGGCCACGCGCATGCCCTCTATCATTACAGTGTGCTCTATCAAATGCAACCTTTCCTGCTATTCTCTTTTGTATAACATCTCACAGGGCCCTATAAGCTTCCCCTCATACTCCCAGCTACATTCGCCTCTCTCGATTAATCCGACCCGCTTCGAGCTTCACCCTCGGCCTAAACTCGATACCACCCGCTTCACGTCTAGAACACTTTTGGCCCGCTCCAATCGCGGCAGCTAGACACAATGTCCATCGGGCATCCAGAATGGCAAGCCCAAATCCGGCAACGTCTAGTCGACAACCAAGCCCACGCCGAAGGGTACCGCGAGATCATCCAGCAGTGTCAGTCTTCCCTCTTGGCCACTGATTGCATACTGACCTCCTTTTGTATAGATGGAAAGCTTGCCAAGTCTGCAAGAGATCTCAAGACGCGGAATAAGACGCTTATGAAGACTGGAGGTGGTGGTGGTGGCGAAGCGGACGGGTAACGCCTTTCATGGTTCGGCACGGTCCCTTGGCTAACGGCCGGATGCAGCTCGAATCCATTGTTAAAGTACCTGGACCAAGAACTTACATCGCTCCGGTCTGAAATATCAGAGCTGTACCGGTCGCAGGCTGCCACCCAGAACAAGCAGTTGGCCTCGGCGGAGCTTTTGCGGGAACGAGATGAAGAGGTCATGAACCTGCGAGATGAGATGCGGAATCTGCGAGATGCAAGGGACCGGTTAGAACGGAAAGATCAAGAGTGGGAGCAGCGATGGAAGGCCCGAGAGGTTGATATGGTGGTAAGTCTACCATACCCCACAGCGAACCAAGCTGACGTGGTGCAGACCCTATCTGACGAAGTCATGTCCCTCAACCTCGAAATCTCTGGCATATCCAAGCGCGAGAAAGCACTCATGGCCGATAACGCCAACCTCCTCCAGCGCTGGATCGACAAGATGAACTCGCAAGCCGACATGATGAATGAAGACTTTGAGCGGGAAAAGGGCGGGCTTGCTTTTGCAGAGTTGAAAGGTGATGGGGAGGAGGGAGATGCGTTCGAGTTTGTGAGCGCTGCGGGGAGTGAGACGGGGGATGATGAGACGACGCCTAGAAAGGAAAAGCCAAAGCCTAGGACTTCACGCCCGACTTCCGCGACTTCTACTACTTCTTCTCGGGCGCCACCGCCCAACGCAAAGGTTCCTGCTGCGCCAGCTGCCAAACCAACTACCACCCGCACATCCCTCGCGCCTACTGCTCCTCGCACTGCCCCACGAACATCCTCCACCTCCAAACCTCCCCTACCCCCCGTACCCGCCGAGAAACAATCAATCAAACGTTCTCTCACCCCTCGTTCCTCCCGCCCTTCCCTCGCGCCATCTCCAACCCCGAGTACCGCTAGTACGGCTACCACCGCCACCCAGCGCACGGTGCGCAAACCGTCCGGAGTGTCGGAAGTGCAGAAGAAAGAGGTGACGCCAAAGTCTACGCCAGACAAAGACAGTCCCCGCGCGCGCGTCACTTCGCAGACATCCCAAGTCGCCCGCCGGTCTCCGTCTTCCCATTCTCTCGGCGGTAAATCCGTCCGGGACAAGATTAAAGCTATGGAAGGTAGTGGGACATTGAAGCAGCCTTTGCCGTCACCTCCCAAGACGGGGTCTACCAGCCCGAGTAAGGGGAAGGAGAGGCAGGAGGTGCTCAGGGATTCGCCCAAGAAGGGCGAGGGTTTTCAGTAGGGCGGGAAGATGCTGGAAACATTTATATTCTCAATCATGTTGGCATGTTCGGTACAGAGGTTAATAAGGGTTATATACTCGGTAGCATCATGGAATGTGGTCACATGTATATGAGTAAAGTACTAGCAATGATCCCAGACCCTTGGCTTGGCTGATTGTGACAGTTGATGGATGATTTCGAGCTCGGCTATTTGATTCCGCAAAGTTGGTTGATTTCCGCCACCACATCGACGCGAGTTCTTTCCTCTGAACCGTTTCCGACACTCTGTTCTTCTATCCACTCAAGCATCTTTCCGGCACTACTAGTACCGATTCCTGAGAGTGGCAAAATGGGTATAGTATCCGCTGAACCCGATCAGGATGCATATAATTCTGCAATCCGCATCTCTCCCTTCTTGTTTTCTTTCCTCTTCCTGAATCCCTACTGATTGAAGACTTTCTGCGCCACCACATGCCCTAGAGTACTCAATCTTCCCTTCATTTCCCCCTAGCATATCCATTATACCTCCCGATACCCTCATACCTGTACTCTTCCTGAGATGCCCGCTGCGGAACGAAGACCCAAGGAAAACGTGAAATATATCGGCAGGTCTCGTCAGAAAATCTCCTGTGTTCCTTGCCGCAGAAGTAGACGACAGAAGGTATGTCCACTCCACATGCTGCAATAGTACTCATCGCTAATCTGAGGGCATAGTGCGGCGCCCATGTGTTTTCCCAAACGCCTTGTGCACCGTGCAAGCATAGCGGCACACCATGCACCTGGTGTCCCACCGGAAACGCAGGATGGGTCAAAACCGGCGTCTTGCCTTACCTCCAGCGACAAGTGGAGCGTGGATCTTTGAAAATGGAAGTGCTGCATATGAGTTTTCATATGGACGAGGTTGGGAAGAAGAGGGTGTATGATCATCCGGCTACTTATGAGGAGATGAGGGTACCTGGCGGGCCTGAGCTTGAGTCTTTTCCAGAGTTTATCTCTGGCACTGCTGCGAAAAAGGTCAAGAGTACTCCTCAGGCTGGTTCTTCTGCTATGGGAGCTCTTGAATCTCTTGGAGATCAACAGTACCACGCCGGCCCTTCTTCTCTCGGCGCATACTACCCCCCCAACCCCGTGCACCCTTATAACCAACCCGGACAGCCTCAACAACCACTCGCTGGTCCAAACTCGCACCACTGGACCAGCCTCCTCTACCCGTCAACTAGCGTGCACCCTCACACTGTACCTGCTATGCCTGCCCAGTCACCTGTTTTTGGCTACCATCGCCCGGTTCCAACACAAGCTCGTCAACAGCTGCCACCCTCCATGACCGGCGGTCATACTCTGCAACGAGCACAGTCTCATGGGCAACTCGACGCCAATCTCCCACCTGTTGTTTCGGCGGCGGCGGCACAGCATCAGATGATGGTACCTTCCGATTTCGAGGAGGGATTCGGAGGCCCGCGCACGAGACGGTTGTCTCGCCAAGAAGCAAGAGATAAGGACAGGCGCTTCAGCGAAAAGTACCAGCAAATGTCACAATTGCAGCAGCTATACCCTGATTTTACACCTGGTCAGCCAAGTTACAGCGGATTACCAAACCATATTCAACCTGGCTTTGGTAGCCGTCTCGTCGTTCACCAGGATCTATACGGTGCTGTCCAAGCTGGGAACATTCACGGCCCCTCCAATGCCAATCAACGTATCTACGGCGGCAGATCCGCCCAAGTCGGCAGCAACGACGCAGTTCATCTCAGCCAGGAAGGCTCCGCCCAAGCTGGAAGCAGTATCAATACAGCTTATGATCTTGAGACTCTCTATGACGGTAGTTTTGTCCATGCTGGAGGCAGCAACACTACAGATGATGCCGGCCAGGATCAGTACCTCGGCAGCAGCTATCCTCAAGTGAACCCATTTGCCAACCAGAATCTCCACAGGGGCAGCTCTTCTTCTCAAATTGGCATCAACAACAACGTACCTTTTGAGAGCCAGAGCCTCTATGGGGGTAGCGCTACCCATACTGGGAACGACAATACAGCTTCATACACTTTGCATGCCTTGCCTGGACCTTCGTCTGGAATGTGCCAACCTGCTCCAGGAGCCGAATACCAAGACATCTCGCCAATCACCAACTTCACATCCAATGTCGATTCAATCCCATCACCACCTCCTCTCACCCCTTCTTCTTCTTCCAGCGGAGCCAATATACCACAGCAACATCGAAACCTCACTCCGGAAGAGATGAGCAATTTACTGCGTTGTATCGACATGAGCCCTAGCGCTACCGCAGAAGAGATGTTCCAAACGATCGATAGTCCGGAGGTTTGTATGAACCCCAGAGCAGTTCAGCATAGCTACCCGTACGGTGTCGCACGTCCCAGTGTCAACTTTGGAATACAACATCCACCGGGTCTTCTCTCTGTCGCTCCGGCGGGGCATGATATCGTCCAGCAGAGGAATGTGCTGGAAGGTCATATTGACCCCAGGCTGGTTCAGCAGACTTGCGACATTATTGCACAAGGCATTTCCAACTTTGGATCACACCAGCCGAACTTACCCGATGCTACCGCAGGACAGCACCTTCCCCAACAACAGCCCATGGCCAACCCCGAGGGCTGCATGGACCCTAGAGACATGCACCTTAGCTACTCCGATGGCGTACACGGTGCTCCTGAGTTTGGACCACCTCCGTTTGACCTTGAGTCACTCGTCGTTCCACATGACGACGGTTGTCTCAAAGGAGATGATGAGGGGAGTTGTTCTGTTGCAGCTGACCCTGATGCTGGACTTCCGTTGTGGCAATGATAAGAGAAGAGTAGCAGGTGAGTTGAAAGGCGCATATCAGTCCTTTCCTTCCAGCTGACACCTTTCAAGGATCGTCACATCATTTTTTGAGCTTATCAGTACCATACACCTTGTTCCTTGCTACCAAGCATCACACTATTGTTGCGTGTAGAGCAGATCACTACGTATGATCGCACCAGTCCCATGTTCATGTATGACTCTATGCTACTCTGGATCGAAAGGACTACATATGTCGGTGGGAGCGGCGGGATCTCGGTTGTCACCGGGTGCGAGCCAAACAATACAATCGGCAGTGGAGTGGGTATCTTGCTCACCGTGTGATGTTTTGTGCGCCGGTGGGTGACCCATGCATCCCCCAAGACACGCCAGACAATCCCGCTCAGCAGCCCATCCATGCCGGCTTCCCATGCATCTCTTGTAGCTGGTCGGAACCAAAGACGGTGCGGAGTAGATGCCGGTGCCCCGCGGGTTTGGGTCTTTCTTATCACATTTCTTATCTCGGTATTTTCCAAGGTGTATTTTGTATTTTCCAAGCGCATGGATGTCCCTCGATACGCAGGCCGTATGCATACACGGTGGTGCGGCAGATTGGAAAACTCGCACCGTGCAGTCAGATGGCCAACGCAGCAGAGGGGCGCTGTCCCCATGACCGCTCGAAGGCATATATAGCCACACCTGCCAGTGACTCTTCACGAACTGACCCCCAGCCACATACACACAGCCATGACCATCGCTACAGAAAACGTCTGCCCCCGCGAGATCCCTCAGCCTTGGCGCGAGACCCCTCTCGTCGAGAGCCCTGCCTTATCACGTATCGCAGGATGGTGAGACGCCCTTTGCTACGGTGCGAGCAATGCTGATGCTCCACAGCCAGATTTACCTGAAGCTGGACAACCTCCAACCCAGTGGGAGCTTCAAGTCTCGGTAAGCTCTCCGGCGCGTCATCACAAGCTGCCCACTGACTCTCACGCAGAGGTATCGGAAACCTCGTGCGCTCCTCGATCCTTTCCAGCCCTCCCAACGCCCCCCTTCACTTCTACGCCCCGTCGGGCGGCAACGCCGGCCTCGCATGTGTCACATCAGCCCATTCCCTCGGGTATCCCTCCACCATCGTCGTCCCCACCACCACACCCCAGCTCATGATCGACCGCCTCCTCACCGCCGGTGCCACCCAAGTCATCCCGCACGGTGCAAACATCTACGAAGCAGATTTGTACCTCAAGCAAGAGCTCTTGGCGCACGACGACTATGGGGTCTATATCTCGCCTTTCGACCATCCTGATATCTGGGAAGGTGCAGAGAGCGTTGCGAACGAGGTCGTAGGGCAGTTGGGTGAGAAACCGGATGGGATCGTGTGTTCGGTCGGAGGCGGGGGTCTGATGATTGGTATCTCCCAAGGCTTCGACAAGATCTGGCTCAAGGGGCAGGAACCCAAAGGGACCAAGATCATCGCCGTCGAGACGCGAGGTGCAGACTCGTTGAACCAATCTCTCCTGCACAACACTCACCTTGCCTTGCCTGGTATCACGTCGATCGCCACATCCCTTGGCTGTGTCCGTGTTGCGTCGCGTGCGTTTGAATTGGCGACTACCAACCCCAACATTGCGAGTATGTTGGTGTCTGACAAGGAGGCTGTCGATGCCTGCTTGAGGTTTTTGGACGATGAGCGAATCTTGGTCGAGCCTGCTTGTGGGGCGACATTGGCATTGGTATATAGCGGGAGACTGGGGCAAGTCATGGATGTAGACCAAAACAAAAAGGTGGTGCTCGTTGTCTGTGGGGGGTCCAACATCAGCTTGGAGATGCTGGGCGTATTCAAAGAGAAATTCGGCTTGTGACTATACGCTAGTGAAATGTATGTACATAGTACCCCATTGCCATTATACTCTACAGACCCAGAAATTTACTGCCCGCCATGGCTGATGTAGTCCTCTCTCTCCGCCGCTTGGTACTCTTCCTGCATCTCCTGCACCACCCTTCTCGCATCGTCAAACTCGTCCAGCCCATCCGAAAACATGTCTTCCTTCTTGTACTGCTCCAAGAAGGCATTACGCTTGCGCAGCATATCGTATTGGTGGATCATCCTCTTGAAGAGCTACCCTATCCGTCAGTATGCGACTGGGCAGTGAACGATAAATCACTTACAGATCCCATACTCGTATGGTTCGCAATCATCACCCCGCTCACCCTATTACTCCCCGCCCCCATCCCCCTCTTCCTCGTCAACGCCACCTGTATACTCGCCGGGCCCCACGGAATGAAATTCGCCAGCTGCCTCTCCCTGATCCTCAACAGACTCTTGTGCACGTCGGTAGGGTCGACGTCGCCGGAAATAATGTTGAGGCAAGAGATGTAGGCGCTGGATTTGGTGGATGTTGTGGAGACCATACGGTTCTTGGGCTGGAGCAGGCGGCGCATGACGTCGAGGGTGGTGGTTTTGCGGATCGATTTGGCCTGTCCAAAGAGTCAGCGCGTGGAGGTTTGGGGAGAGGAGGGGCGTACGTTGTCAATTTCATCGCTGGTGAACGGGGTGTAGGATGTCATCAAGAAGTGGCATCGGGGTGTGGGGATCAGGCTCGCAATGATACCGACGAGGTCGTTGTTCATGTAACTGGGGTATCGCAGTGTCGTCGTCGAAGCAGCCATCACCGTTGAACACTGCACTGGATCAGCTCCAGGATCATACTCGACTTTCGAGACCTACCAGCTGGTTCGTCTGCGTGAAACTCGGGTCCTGGATATGCAGCCTATCCGCCGCGATCTTTGTCAAAGCCGCATTGTCCAAAACCACCACACTGTCCGCATTGTTCACCAGTCGTTTCGTGGCCAGTAATGAGTTGTACGGCTGTACGACGACGTCGGATGATTCGGGAAAAACCGAGTAGGTCTGGATGAGTTTTTTGGGGAAGCGGTCGTTCAGGCGTTCGAGGAGGTATGAACCTAGACCGGAGCCTGTACCACCTGCTATTGAGTGGAGAAGCATAAAGCCCTATACCAAGTCAGCGTTGAAGTACTATTCTGTGGGAGAGCTCACTTCCAGAGAGTCACTACCATCCGCTTCACGGTCAATCATCTCCATCAAATCATCATACACCCTCTCTCCCGCGCTATACCCTTGCGCCCAGTTGTTTCCCGCACCACCACCGTCTTTCGACACGTAGATGTTTTCCGGGTTATAGAGACCTTTGAAAGGCGATGTGAGCACTGAGTTGATCACCTGTTTATCTATCAGTATTCATTCCACTTGGGGCATGAGAAACTCACACGCGGCTCGAGATCAATCAAAATAGCTCTAGGGATATAATGCTCGTCGTCCGCCTGATAGAAAAACACATCCTTCCTGTCCCCTTGTGTCCCTTCCGCGGCCCAGTCTTCAAGTTCGCCTTGGGGGGAGATACCGTGCTCTGCACACAACTTTTGCCAGAATTGGGCGCCGATTTGATTACCAGCTTGACCGGCTTGGAGGGAGATGATTTCGCGGCCCATTGTCACTTGCTGACTGGTGAAGTGGGGTGCTGTATTGATGGGGCGAGGATCACTTAGTAGGGGATGGGGGCGAAAAGTAGTAAAGAGGGCGGGGATGTACGAGTATGAGATGTTTACACCAAGATGCGGCAAGAGATACGCGTCGACGCGACGTGAAATTTGGTCCCGTCTACAGTATCTCCAGTCTGCTCTGCCTTTCTCAAACTTCAGAACTGCTTCAGAGAGTATGCTGCTTTGGCTCGATGCCTTGATATGAGAAGCTTGACAAGGAGATAGGTGGCTCCTGTACATCGTACCGCCCGTCCGTGACCTTCTCTTCTGGAAGAAGCAGTAAGCAAAAAGCAAACAAAAAACGACGGCACCCGGGATTCCCAGGTGGTCCCCCACCCTGGTACTAACCGAGCGCTCTCCTAGTTGACTTCGCGGATCAGACGGGACGCGGTACTTTGAGGAGGCTATGGCCGTCGATGTTGACAAGGGAGTTGCAGTGATCTTATGGGAATACCTATATTACCAGGCCCTGTGTCTTCTTTCGATTGACTTTTCCCCTATTAGGTACCTTCCGTTATCCTTTCCTGAACGACTGCTTAACACCCGAGTTTCTAAGAATGCTTCCCTGCCTGACAATCTTGAGCAAGTGGACGAGTGGACGTTCAACGATATCTTATCTAGGCACATAGATAATCGGGCCGGGCTTGACGTCACCCATGTCCACTGCCTCCATTCGATTCCCAGCTCTGCCACCACGATCGGATGCATACTCCTCCCGCACGAACGTATAAACAATCACAGTTGCAGGGAACTCATCATCTCCTCTTCACCCCATAAAATCAAAAACAGACACCATGAGCGACCTCACCGACAAGCAAGGAAACGAAATCGAAGTTGGAGACACAGTGTTCATGAACTATCGAGCTGGAAAGATGGAGGGCAAGGTATGTCCTCTGATTGATCTGTGTACGGATCATTGACCCGCTATTCAGGTTGATGAAATTTTGTCTACCGAGGACGACGTTGCCAACTCGGATCTCAATGTCAAGAATCCGCCGAAGGTAGGTAAACTTCCTCAACTGCCCATGCAGAGACTGACGCAGTACTTAAGGTCGTGTTTACCAACCAGAACAACAAGCAGAGCGGGCACAACCCTGGTACTCTGACCGATCTCGATAAGGATTAGTATGCTCAAAAGCGAATGTGATATCAGAAGTCAATGCAACCATATTAGTCCTTGAGTCAGTGCACGAAACCTACAACACTATCTTATATTTAATCAATCTTTTGGGACTTCTTCGCCAAAAACACCCCCTCTCCTTCCCAAAGCCTTCTCAAAAACACGTCGTCTTGATCACGCCAGCCTGCCCCAACCGCGCGCTCCAGCTGTAGACCAGCAGCTTGCCCCAAGAACAGCGGACATTGAACACTCTTGGCTTCTTGGATCACTACAGCGAAATCATGGTGGAGAGATCGGAGGGTGTTCCAGACCTCGGGCTCGGGGTCCTGCAAACGGGACCATCCTAGAGAGTATAGTCAGCCATCCATCCTTTGAGACCCGAGCTTGACTCACGGTCGACCATGATGAAGGACCTCGCAGCGCCATTGGCTACAACCTGATAAACAGTGTCCAAGTCCATCCCCTTTTTGGCAGCCAGAGCAAACCCTTCGCAGAATACACTCAGATGGATAGCTTCCAGTAGCGAGTTGACGGCTTTGACTTTGGAAGCTGCTGTGACGTCTCCAGGGATGAAGTGAACCTTGTCGGACAGTGCAGAGAGGATAGGGTAGGCGGAGGATAGCTGACTTGGTGAAGAGGCGGATGCAAAGATTATGGGAGAGATGGGGTGAGTGATGGGAGCGTTGATCAGGTGAAGCCCACGAGAGGAGAGAGCGGCGGATAGCGTGTTTGCAAGAGACGATGGGATGGTTTGATTGACGATCACTGGAATAGACTGTTCGATGACTGGGCAGGCATCAGAAAAGGGGCAGGTCTGGGTCAAGAATCAAACGTACTTGAAGCAACCCCCAAGTAGCCCCTCGATCCCAGGAGGAGTTCCTCGGCACTCTGCTCCCCCGTGATCACGACACCCCCAATCCCTTTGATCCTCTCCTTGAGATCTTCGAGATGCGACGAGTACTCGTCTCCGCTCTTGGTCGCGAAGCCCTCTGCGATGGGGTCGAAAAGGATGACGGATCCTCCAGCCTTCTCCAGCTTTGCCGTGTAAAAGTCCCCACTCCCAATCAGGAGAATCTTTCCAATATTCCCTGTCTTCTCCACCTCGAGCAGCCTGGCTTTATCCTTCTCTTCTTCTTCTGTCCCTTGCTCGGGAATAGACCCCACGCCAAACTTTTCCCATAACAGTGATACGCGCGCGTCATCGACCTTGTCAAGGCCGGCTGCGGATGCGGCTGTGTAGAGGGTTTCGGCGGCGGAGCTGAGCGGGACTGGGAGGTGGGCTTTGCGAGCTTCAGACATGACGATACCGATGTCCTTGTTGATGATGCCCATGCCTGATTTGATCGTACCGTCTGGTCGGAACGACCATGGTCCTCGGGCCGTGACTAGGCAATATAAGCGCAGTTCATACGGGAGGTGAGCACACTCACACATAAAGCTCTCTCCGCTACTATGTGCGATGACATCCCAAGCCATCCTTACGTTCAGTCCCAATGCCTTTGCGAAAGCTAGACTTTCCCCAGTAGCGGCGATCTGTACAGCACAAAATACTTGGTTGATCATCTTGAAGTTGCTGGCTACTCCTACTTCGTTCCCGACGATCGAAAGTGCGCCTTGAGGCTTCTGAGTCAGGGCAGACAGGACAGGTTGGGCGTGGGCGATGTGTGCGGGAAGGCCGGAGGCCATGATGGCAAGCTGGCCCTGAGAAGCTCGAACGGAGCCTCCAGATACGGGAGAGTCTACAAGCTGAATAGTATCAGTAAAGCTCATCCGACCGAAGCAAATACTTACGCCGATGTTCATACCCCTGATCGCAAACTCGTCCCTCAATGCGTTATAGAAACTTGGTGGCACCGTTGAGAAGATGACCACTACTGACCCGTCTTTCAATGCCTCTGCAACTCCTTCTTTGCCAAAAAGCGTATCCCCGACTTGTGCCGCATTGACAACCATCAAGCACAAGATGTCGACACCCTGGGTGGCTTCAAGAGGGGAAGAGGCGGCTGTGACACCGGCGGCGGCAACATTGCCTAACGATGGTGGATAGACATCGTAGGCTTTGACAGAGAAGGCTTGGGAAGCGAGGCTCTACATGGAAGATCAGGCTCATACAGAAAGGAGTCATGGGCTAGGACGTACAGTTGCCATGCCACTACCCATCGCCCCGAGTCCGATCCATCCCACAGAGGGCTTGTCATTCTTTGGTGTGTCTTTGGACATGATCGATAGGTTCAAGATGTATGGGAATTCTACAGGTGGGTCTCGGATGCACCAGGGTTTATATCAGAGCCAGTCCCGGGTCCATTTGTGTGACGGCAACATTAGAAAGCCAGTAAAATCATCATATTTCGGCCCGGCGATCCGAACTTTCCTCGTCATTTGCGGGATCAATATTCGCTCGATCCAGAATGTCTGCTGTCATGCTTCAGTGTGTTCGAGTATGAAGATGCTGACCGCAGTAGGGACGTAGATCGAGTCAACGATGGACATGACGTTTCATAATACCGCTGAAACTGCTACACCTTTCTCTCCGCGTATTCCAGCACTCTCTCCAGATATCTTTCCAGCTTCTTCTTCCCATCCAAAGCTTCTCTGAGGGGCGAGTCTAGCGGCAGAGCAAAGAGCACATAGATATGAGACGCGATCAACGCATCCAAAGCCCCGGGGGCTTTCGCATCCAACATCCACTTCTCTTCTCCACTCTTTCCACCGACAATCCCTTCCAACGCATCGATCACCTCTACACCCTTCCGTATAACCTCCTCTCCATCTACCTCTCGCTCATCTCCCGTCAAGCTCGCCGGTAAGGGGGTGGTCAACCCAGCCCATAGGGGGGGTGGCGTGGGGAAGTAGAGGTACCAATTTGAAGGGCGAGAGGGAAGGGAGGCGAGGTATGCGGGTAGGAGCTGGTTGGTGATCAGGGTAGAGAGGGCGAGGGCAGAGTCGTATGCTGATTGAGAGGGGAGATTCTGCCAACTGCCGTGGTGTCAGCAATCATCCCGCGCGAGATCCAAAAGACGCACTCTTTGTTCTTGCCCTCTAAAGGGTACGTCGCTTCAAGCCATGGCCTGATTTCATCCGTACTCAACAACCTATCTTGCGATGGAAGATGCAGAGCCGGCAAAGTACTCTTTGGCGCCGAAGACTCGTTTGGCCATTCACGGAACACTACTCGAGGCTGAGCTGCCGTTTGTCGAAGCAGGAAAAGGAGTTGTGTCCGGACTGAAGCTGGATTGGACGAAAGCCATGAACGGTGATAAGGGTGGTTCGATGAGGAAGGATGGATCTAGTAAAAGTCAACCAAAGAGTTCGGGGAGAAGCCAAAACAACATACCCAAAGAACGGCTGCGTTTTCGCCTAGAGGCTTCGCGTGACTCTTCCACTCGAGCTCGTCGTCCTGGGGAAGGGTGACGAGGGGGAAGAGGTTGTAGAATGACTTGTACCAGGAAGGGGCAGTGAATGCTGTGCTGGTCATGTTGCTAGTAGGGTCGGGGAACGTAGACAGCGCGTCAAGAATGAAAATATCCAAAAGTCGAGAAACGCTCGAAATGATGACAGTGCAGCACTGATTGACATTACGTAATGACAATGTTGTTGGAAGTTGAATGATGCAATGAAACGATGACTTGCTGAGTCGTAAAATGCAAGCAAGCACGCGTCTAGATCACTCCAGATAGCCATGGCACACACTTTACACAGTAGCAATTCATTTGAGCGTCACTTCTTTTGACCTCTGTATGAAATGTCGCACGCGCATCTCTCTCAGTTCCGGCCATCGATGATCAGGACTTTCCCACCATGAGTGGTACATTTGCATGCGGTCACTAGTCATAGGTTATACACAGTATATGCACTGTGATATACTATATGGTCGTCAATCCGAAAGGTTTTTGATCGTTATTTGGGCTTGTGGACTGGAGCACGTCAGTATCGTTTCTCGGCTAAAGTAAGCGGATGATGCTCACTATCCTCGTGCAACAGTGTCTCTTCACTTGCACAATCTTCAACCCAGCTAGGCAAGACTATGTGTTTCATTTTGGGCCTAGCAATGCCATATCAGCAAAAAGGATCTGATATAAGAAGCACACTCACTTAGAAGTTTTCTTCGTAAGCTCCTCATATCTGCCGTTGTCATCTTCGTCCATGACGATATGTGTAAGTTTCGGATCATGAAGGTCAGTCGTGATACGCCCCCCGCCATCTTGAAGTAGCTTCTCCACTCGGGCTAGTCTGGACCACAGTCAGTACACGTCTAGCAGGTGATGACACCGACATACCTCTCCTTGATAGAGGTTGTAGGGGACGATGGGGCAAGGCCATTCAACTCCGCATTTTCAGAGGTGTCAAGGTAGAAGGCGAGGTGTCGGAAGATCTGACTCAAGTCAGTCGATGATGCTAGCTGGATAGTCGATACATACCTTCTCTTCGTCATACTTCATGGCATCAGATTCGTCACCCATTGTGGCTACACCTTGCACGTCCTGTGGCTGTTCAGTGTATATCTAAATGCAACATTAATGTCACTTACGTATTCGCTGAATGGTGTTGTCACCCCGACCGGCATTGTACGGAACTCGTCCTGTCCGTTTTCTTCTCCGTCAGAATCATGACTGTCGGCGGCCTTGTCGTCTTCATCACCGTCAAGCTCCTAGACGTGGAGTCAATAGACATCAAATGAATAGATGATTTAACTTACTCTTCCTCCATACTCATCTTCGGTGTCTTCATCTTCATCGTACTTGCCCCGATTATCTTCCTCATCGCTAGAGTCGCTACCCGGCTTGGGTACGTCTCTCATACCCCAGTCTGCTTCCAACTTTCTCTGCTCAGCTGTCTTTCGTTTCTCCCTCTGCTCCTGCTCCTCTCTCTCCTCTCTATCAGCCTTCTTCTTCTTGTACTTCATCTCACGAGCGGCATCGTCCTCCTCCTCCTCCGCCACTTCATTCAAGGGTTCGGCAACATTCTCCTCCTCCTCTTCTTCTTCCTCTTCGTCATCAGAGATGGCCTGTAGGTGTTCAAGCGTCCGGTTGTAATATCTGCTCGCCTTGCTTTCTGCGGACGCATGGACGAGGAACCTATGAATGGTCAGCAAACACCTGCGAACAACGGCCACGATACGTACTCTTTAATCAGAGGAAGGATGTAGTCTCTCTTGATGCACTGGAATAGCCACTCAGGCTTGATCACATCAACGCCCTTCCTGATTTGAGCTCGTACCGATGGGCCTGAGAATAAGTGAGCTCCAACATACTCATACACCATACGTCTGAACTTACTCTTCTCATCGGGCGAAATGACCTTGGCAGATAAGTTGGGCAGCTGGCCTTGGCTATAGAGACCACCGTGTTCGTGCACAAGAGCTTCAAGCTCCGCTTTCGGGTGAGCAGGAGTTCCCTTGGCGATGACTAGATAAGGGGTCAGAAAAGTTATCTGTGCTGAAAGTGACTTACAGAAAGTGACCCCGTCAAAGAGATCTCCCTTGACCCGATCTTGGGATAAGACTTGACCCATGGCACTGACCATGAATGGGTTCTTCTTTGGCCGGGTGACCTTTCGTTTCTTGTTTTGGCTGATGAGAGTCGTCAGCGTATGTACCCTTGTGTAATCAAAGCATTTACCCTTGAGATTCTTGATACTTCTTGACTGGGCCGTTCATCTGATCAAAGAAGGCTGATACGAGGTGAGCTCATCGTCCCTGATAGGTGAGTAGTACTCACTATTGACGGTCCACTAGACAACTTATATCAGCGCCATACCTCACATTAACGGAATAGGAGCTCACGCAGTGCCACATGTCTCGATGTTCAACCTTTTCTTCACGGGATTCTCTAAACTTGTCAAGGTCTCCACCAAAGACGTGAGTAGCTCGAGGAAATCTGAGGGTGTAACCGATACCATAGCCTCCAGCTGAACAAGATAATCAGTTTGACAAAGATTCTCCGCAAGAGGAGAGCGATTTACCGGCTGGGACGATCTCTGACGCTTTGACCTTGATTACAAACGAGCTATTCAACAATTCAGCTTTCTCTAAGAGAGATTTGGTATGAGCATGACATACTGTTCGGGCTCAATGTAGACATCGGCTACGAGGTTCGATCAGTGATGACCCCAAGCGGCCTTTGAAAGCTCACGTTTGTCGTCCAGCCCGATGCTTCCCATCTTCATCCACGGGGGTATGTTCTTCCGATCAAAGGGTTTGAAGTATTGTCCTCTAGTGTCCCTATTGCACCATCTGATCAGTAGCGACCACCAAGCTTAGTCCGAGTGAATACGCACATGGTCCAAGTGTAGTCACTATACCTGAGGCCAGTACCGATCGAGCAGAAAGTCTGGAAAGTCGGTCTTTCTCCGTCTTCTCCAATCTCCTCTTGTTCTCGCAGACCACAGAGCAGTGAAGACACTTTCCCGGACCGCCCGCCTTTACCCCACCAGCCTCCGAGAACCAAGAGGTCAAATGTCTGGCAGAGATGAGCTCTGTCCATGATTCCACGCGGATGAAGAACGTACCTCGCCCATCTGGTCAGAGTATTCTGGCTTGACTTTGACCCAATCGACATCTCTTGACCCGGTCGAGTATTTTGAATCGGGTTTCTTGACAACGATCCCTTCGCCACTGCATCCCGTCAGCGAGGCATTGAAGGGACAGATTCGTACTGCTCACCGAGTCTCCATGATCCTCTCCAGATACGATGTGATATCCTTGCCCGTCTTTCCGACCTTTTCCTCCACCAACTCAAACCTTCCGGTATACTTTTCGATATCTTTGAATATCCGACCGCCTCGCAATAGTCGCTTCCGTTCCGAAAGGCGTTTATCGATAAGACAGTTGTCATTTAGATATAAGATGTCGAAGACCTTGACTGGGTCCAAAGGTTAAGCGAGTTTTATACAAAACGAAGAGGAACGTACAGCAAGGACGAGGTTCGTTCGGGTCGGTGTTGTTCACTAGCAAATCGTCAGTGGAAGGCCGGGTTCAAGGTCAGGTGCACTTACTACTAGCAGCCGTTTTCAACGTTCCAAACGCGAGATACTTGCCCAACATGGGGTCCCAAACCATCATCTCACCATCGAGAATCACACTACCGCGCTATCAGCAAACATTTTGAATGTTTCAATATGACCTACTTTCTGACCTGATCCTGGAAGATGTCGGAGATGTACTTCGTCATACTGCCCTGGCCAGGGTGTGCCCCGTAGAGATAAGCTGCAAACCATCAGCTTCCACTCCTACACGTGAGCAAATACCCACTATAATCTTTCGCTTTTCTCGAACAGTAGAACCACTGTGCCCCATTCCCTCTCATATGCAGCTGGATCCTCTCTCCATCCAGTTTTTCTTCCATGATGAACTCCTTGTGCGGCGCACCCACCAGCTTGGCGATACTGTCGTGTGTGTGACCTTTGGCCATCGCACATAGCTGGGGACGAAATGGGTTGAAGAGCTCGAGTTGGATATCCTACACACAAGTCAGCAGACACCGCAGATTGCATGCAGTAAACTCACGTTGGTATTGAGACGCCTCTCGGGGTCCCACAACTCCCAGCAGACACGTTTGAGGTCCGAACACTTGTCGTACAGCTGCATAGCATCAGGATGGAAAGCTTGGAGGATACCCTTCTCTCTGATAGATATTTTGAGATCTGATACAAATCAGCATATTGCCGCATCTGGACATGGGGCGACAGACCTTTTAGGATGATGCGGATCAACCATTCTTGCTCCAGTGCCGTACAGTAAGTGTTGACTTGTCTCAAAATACGACTCTTGTCTTTCCTGGAGCATTCGTATTAGTACATGTCGAGGTAAGGTGAATACAAGACGACTCACTTGTCGGCTTTACTTTTTGTGAGCTCGTCCAGTGTGTGGTTGATGGCCTCTACGGACCATTGGCCGTTTTCCACAACACACCGAGGTTCGATTACTTTGAAGCATACTCTTGCGAAATCTCCACTCGAGTCCTGACGCCCCCCTGTTAGCTTCTGATGCTGGGGTACAAGAAACAGCACGCACCTCGCCGTCGACTGGTTGTTTCCAATGTATCATGCTGTCTCCAGCCTCGGAATGTTTCTCCAAGCCAAGTGCCTCGATATAAGCATTCGCAAGTGCCGCTTCTTTGAGATTGTAATTGGGGCGCTCCCTATCTTTCTTTAGACCTGGTCAGTTCGTCCATCATCAAGCGGCAAGGACTTACATCAGGAATCAATAGTCTGATTAGAGGGTACAGATCGTTGCCCACGTTCTGGCGCCAAAGGGCGAAGAGCCTCACCAGTGTCTGATGCTTGTCGTGCTGTTTCTGCTTGCGGATAGATTCCAAGGCAGAGACGACGACATAGAATGCCGGAGTGCTGTTCCGGTTGACGCACTCGGGCGGCCGTTCAAGGGTCATGGGCGGGGGCAGCTTGGAGTCATCTTGGGGCGGCGGGGGGTCGGGATGGTATCCTCTTGCCATCACTGCAGGTATGTATTGGGTGAAGATATGATAGTAAACAATACAATACATCGACGCTGCTGTATGGTGATGCGTGACCCGCGAGAGTGGAGGCAGGTGATGTCAACCGGCGGCCATCACCGCAACGTTGAGTCTGCATGATGATGTGCACCAGTTTTCTTGCCAAGTGCGCCTTGAGGGCACAAAATACTAAGAGGACAAGCAGTAAGCAAAAACAGCAAAAGACAAAAACGACGGCACCCGGGATTCCCAGGTGGTCCCCCACCCTGGTACTAACCGAGCGCTCTCCTAGTTGACTTCGCGGATCAGACGGGACGCGGTACTTTGAGGAGGCTATGGCCGTCGATGTGGACTTTTTGTCTTGTTTAACTATATCTTGACTTGACATCATAATATCGACAAGCGTGCCAAATACCCACCATACCATATGCTTACAGTGACTCTTTTGCCATTCTGCTGTAACAACGGCAGACTCTTCGACCCATGCTGCACCCATCATTACACTCAAGTACACACTTCGGAAGGCCGCACGATACCTCGCCGAGCTGTGATTGGACCGCATGGAAAGTGGAGGCTGATGGGCCGAGGCGGGTTTTGATCGATGAGTTACAAGTCCGGTCTCGTAAAATACAACAAAAATGTCCACAGGTGTATTCATCCATCACATCATCTTCAATCTTCGGGAAGCGATACCTAAAGCGCAATCGTGAAAGCCTTTCCGTTCGATACCCGTCGCTAGAGGAGGCGGCGGCGGAAGCTCTTCAATAATCTCCACATCCTCAAGATTACTCTCAAGATGACTCTTACACAACGCCAGCCCTCGCCCCGTCCAGCCTCATTGTCCATAGAGGAATATGACCTTTCCGATCACATTTCCGAGGCCGACACTCCTTCCGTCAAGACACATCCCACCGTACCATCTCGGACCCCTGTGCCCTACCTCAAGCTCTTCCCTCTCCTGGTTCAGCGATGGTCCGAGGGTATGACCTACGCCGTCATATTCCCATATATCAACGAGATGGTTCACTCCATGGGAGTGGAAGAGAAGCAAGTCGGTGTATGGTCTGCAATCGCCGTAAGTCCCCTCCTCCCATACTTGCATCAAGCTCATACAAGTGGTAGGAATCAGCCATGATGGCTACAGAATCGGTATCAGCTCCCTTCTACGGTCCTCTAGCAGACCGGTACGGCAGAAGACCAGTGTTGATCGGGCTGGAGATTTTGTGGGGTGTATTCGGATTACTCTTTGGGTTTTCCAGGACGGTGTGGACAGTGATCATCTTTAGGATGTGCTGTAAGTGCCATCGTCGGCGTAATGTCCGCGAGCTGACAATTGGCGTATAGTGGGCATGCTGGCGGGCTGTGGTGTCATCTCCCGTACCATGGGTGAGCTCTCACCCTGAGACAGACAATAACTCAGCTGATAAGCCATGTGATCGAAAGTGGGGGAACTGTGTGACAAGACCAACCGTATTCAAGGTATGCCCCAGTCCATATACTCGTCCACTAGCTCACAATGTAGATAGGTTTTGCCGTCTTCTCCCCGGCCTTCACTATTGGTATGACCACTGCGCAAGTCTCCCGCCTCCCCCGTCCATCTCCTGGCTAACCATCGATTGTAGACCTCTGATAGGCGGATTTCTGGCCAAACCCGTACCGAGGCTCTTACCAGAATCATGGACTCTGCTCGTCAACTTGCCTTACCTCTTACCAGCCATAGCATCGGCTCTGTCCGCTGTGATTGCTGCTTGGCTATCAATACTTCTCCTTCCCGAGGTGACTCCCTGCCTTCGATACCTCATCCGAGTGCTGATCTTGTATTTCAGACACTGGACCGCGTAAAATATAATGAATCTCAGCAAACAAAACGAGAGACTGGCGGGGGTAGCAATATGATGGGTCTGATAAAGCACAAGCTGTTTCAGAAGGTCTTGACTCTATACAGCTGTAAGCACAACTCTTGTTGAATTTGGACAATCAGGTGCTTACAGGGAATAGTGCAAAACGCCATCATGTTTTCGTTCGAAGCCGTCTTTCCTCTCTTTGGATTCACCAGTAAAGAGCTCGGTGGCCTTGGTTTATCGGTAAATGTTACAAATCTTCACGTATCTAGTAGTCTGACCTTTGTACTAGACTCAAGAGCTCGGTATCATCCTTGGCTGTTCGGCTGGCCTATCAATCTTCATGATCATCTTTGTCTTCCCTCCCCTCCACGCGATATTACCTGGAAACAGATGTCTTCTTGTCTGTACGTCCCCCATTCTCTCTCCCCTCGAGCTTCCCAGCTAACGAATGGAAAAGGTCTTGCATGCTACCCCCTCTCAACTTTATTCTTCCCCCTCATGTGGTATCTCAGCTACACCTACCAAGGCCCAGGAATGCCGACAACGCTATGGATCGTCATGAGTGTGCATATGATCCTGCGAAGGGCAGGAGATTTCACCAGCACGTGAGTTTTCCCCTTCTCTTTTGGAGGACACGCAGAAAAGGTCTTAAGTGAAGAGGCTGATGAGAGTGAATTGGAAGGTTGTTGGATACGATCACGCTGGATGCTATACCCGGTCCGGAATATCTTGCCTCAGCCAATTCTCTCGGATTTAGCATGTCTGTAAGTCTCCCCTTCCCCTCCCCCTCACATTGAAGTTCCCGGCTGAGCACCCCGTCCGAACAGGCAGTAGGCCGCGCCACTGGACCATTCATCGTATCCTACTTTTTCGCCCTTTCCACCCGCTTCCCTCCCCCACAATATCCAATAGGCGGACAGATCGTGTGGATCGTGCTCGTATTGCTGTGCGTACCGGCGCTGGGACTGGCTTGGGTTGTCGGGAATGCGGATACAAGTGCAGAAGGGCACGATGGTGAAGGATCGAGGAGGGAGGAGGAGGAGATGGGGTTGATGGGTGGGGAGATGGAACGGACGGGAGTTTAACTTGTTGGTGTGATCTGTCCTTAGGGTCAGGGATAGTTCAATTGCCAGGGGGTCGGCCGGCCCCGGGGGAGATGCCAATCGCCTAACCATGAATTGACGACTTGACGGTATGGAAAGGGGCGGGCCAAAAGTCCGAAGGAATGATGGTACACATCTCTAGAGATGACTTTGACTTGATAGATGCGTTGTATATGCTCACGATGAGAATGGAACCTGGTCACATCTCCTATACCTGTAAACTATACCTGTAAACAACTGATCGTTCCTTGGTCTCATCGTTTGCATCAGTTGCATGTCATCATATGTAGCACCAGTCACCCTATACACCCCATTCACCTCCTCTCTGCCTTCGGTGATCGGTATCGCGTTCGTCTGTGATCTATGTTTATGATAGCCCATCTATAATACCCTGCACGTGTCATATGCACCTCCTTGAAATGTGTTCGAGCAAACGAGAGGGTTAGTGAGGAGGAGCGCAGCAAATAAAGGACACCGAAGACCCTTCAACCTCTCGACCATTGTCCAGGAGGAGGCCCAGGAGGCACCTAGAGGATTGTCGCGCTTCCTCCCATCCCTTTCAGCTTCCAGCTAACCACTATCGGACCTGTTCAGCCATCATGATTTATTAATTCGATGCATCTGACCAACAGGCAAACATTCGACAAAAAGTGTGTTCCTTGCCATGTCGATCTCTCACTCGGCGATGATGACTGCTCCTCCGAGGCGAGGCCCGACAATTGAACTGAGCTTGGAGCGTACCTGTCTAAAATAATTAGTGTGGATTCACCATCGATCATGAGCGTCTGTCACTCAACCTGCTATCGCTGCTGTGCATGTGCGCATACGTTGGCAGTCACTCAAAGGCCAAAGCCACAGCGGCCACAGCACGGTTTGTTTGCTTACGCACTTTTGACTCAGGCGCGATCTTATCTCTCGAAATCTTATATCCTTATACCTATGTAATCGTTCTAGACTCTGGGCTCACACGCAAGAATGAGCGAGTGTATAGATACATCTTGGTCATTGAGGCTCCAGTCTTACCACTGAGGATCGCCCTTCTCGTCCGAGCGGTGGACGGAGATTAAGGAACGCGTTGTTGCTTGACGTTAATTTTGATTTTTATCCTTGATCATGTTGATCATCTTGTTGGGCATCTTGCCATCTCTTCACGGCACAACGACTGGCCGGCGTTGTTGGGTAACGACGAGTGCGAAAGCGTTACTGTTGCCATAATAGCTCTTGCAATGTTTGGTCTGGACACCGCAGCTAAAAGTCTACTACATAGCACCCTCCATACTCGAGTATTGCTCAAGAAAGGTGCATCCTGCTTGGCCTGCTTTGCGAGCTGAAAATCCAAATGGTCCCAGTCAACAATCCAGGAACTATCGGTGACTCGATCACGTTCGAGCCGTTCCCTCACTCAACGACATTCCATCGGGACGGGGACGAACACGAGCACACCATGCAGAACCATGTCGTTCCGGGGCCGGCAAGCTCTTTCCATTTGTGGGATATGGAGCTGGTGGTTCCTTGCTTGGGAATTGGGAAGCGCATTGGGAAGCGGATGTCGTTCACTCAGTCAATCAGGATTCTGGGCAAGTTTGGGTGGCCAGATCATCGAACCAGAGATTCCAGAGATCACCAGCCCAGCTGCGACGCGGTCTGCATATGGTCTGCATGTATGTACTTATTGCGACATGGATGTTATGACAAAAGGGGGGAGGCGGGCCGGCACGGGCTGACGGGACACCCGGTTTCACGTAAATTGTACGGATTACAAGAGTTTATCTAGCTATCTTTTGGCCGATCAACAGTCAGCAGTCACCACTTTCATCCCCACAAGCACCAAGATCACCAGCAGAAACAAGGAACGAGGTCCACGATGAGCACGATGGAAAGAGGAATTTGACACCTTGTAGGAGATTCAAGAGAGACCCGAGCTTGATAACGAGATAACATATTGAGATAGCTTGAGTAGCTCTTCGCGAGCATCGCATGGGGATTCGCGAGAGAGCGAGCTGAGCGAGTCAGCATTGTACTCGCGAGGCCTGTCCACAGAGTGCTCAAATGGTCATGTGGCCCCAGCCTACAGATATGCCTACTCCACCATGCTGCCCCTCGCAGCTCTGATACCTGCCGCCCCTTGGCAATATACTCGTACCGTCGTACGTGTCGTACGTGTGCAAGACCCCGTCGGGCATCTGATAAAAACTGTGGGTTCAAAGATCGTCAGCTGTAATCCGAGACTCACGGCATAGCCAGGTACGTCGGGGAATGAAGCAGGGACGGGATCAGGGAGTCACCGTACCTGAATCATCTGTCCGAGACATCATTACAAAATTCTTGCCGTGAATACGACATGCATTACACCGTTTGTAATCGGACTACAAATGATCAGCGCCGGTGACACTCAGGGCATGGGACCCGAAAGCCATGATGAGCCTCGCGATGAGGAATGTTTTGGGCAGAGACAGGCGAATGGGTCACACTTTGCAGAGGCACTCCAAGCGGGACACGCAGCGTACATATACATACATCCTCAATAGCATATATAAGCCCCCTTCTCGCGTAGAACCACCCCGCTCGTCACTCAACCAGCACGTCGACCCACATCTGCCCTCGTCTTTTCCCTCGTAAACTCGTCTCTATTTACCTTTTATCACTTTCCATCCGCAACCCTTCGTCCCCTCCACCCCTTGCGAGCGTGGCATTTCTTTATAGCTATGCCAACTTCACTCGCAACATCTACTACCGACAAGACCCAAGAGGTTCGAAAATGTACGCCTCTTCTTCTCTTCGTTGTGTGGGCCCAAAGCTCACTCTTTCAGTCGTCGCCCTCGACCTCTTCCGCTCTTACTCTGATCCACCACGTACGACCTACCCCCTCACCCTTCACCCTACTGCTTCCACTGCTCCCCGCCTCGTACTTGGAACGCCGTGGACCCGCTCGACTATAGCAGCAGAAGACGAATTGGCGTGGTTGCCAGGTGCATGGGGCTCAGACCTCGACCCGGATGAGATATTCGATAGTGAGTAACCATTCCCACTCTTCTCACGGTTTCGTTAGCGCGATTTTCAGATCCCATGACTAACCACCTTTTTTCGCAGTGGATATGTATTTCGAAGAATCTGTTCCCGGGGACGACGACGAGCCCGAGCTCGACCCGCACCCGCAACACCTAGGCCTGGGTCCAAGGGCAGAGTACCACGACTTGGACCTCACGCCCTCGCACGATATGCTCGTCACACCCAAATTCAGCAATCAGCTCCCCGTGCCTCTTTCTCCGCCTCTCACCTCCACCACCACGTCGAGTACCTCCATCACGCCTCTGCGCACTTCCTACTTTCTGCCTATGGTCGAACATGAGAATGCAAAGGGAAAGGAGCTTGGGTACTTCCGTATGGAGCAAGAACCAGAATCCCTCGAGGAGCTCGATGGAGAGGAAGAGGGCGAAGGGAGGTTTGAGCAGATGAGGGCATCATGGGCGAGCCAAGCGAGTCGAGCATCGAGCTTTGCTTCTTCCATCTGCAGCTGGGCAGCTTCCTCCTACTCTTCCTCTGGCTCGTTCGGGTCTTTGGAGCAGTCAGACTCGCCATTGAGTTTGGCATCCTCGCTGTCTTCTCTCCGAATCCAAACTGATCCCGTTCGCACCTCCCCTTCACCCAGGCAGACCCGGCAGTCCGCGCGTTCTGGCAGCGCAGCGTCTCTCGCTTCTTCCTTAGCCTCTTTACAAAACGAGGCCGAAGATGAAATGGAGGGGAAAGAAGATGTGACATCCGGTCTCGTCAAATTTGCTCTCGACAGCTTTTCCGCCCGTCCCATTCGTCGTACTGGTACTGGGGCAGGCGCATTGACAGGTGCAGGATACGCGTTCGAAGGCATCTCTCCCCAAACGACCGGTAAATTCCTGCCCCAGGGTCTGCCCCAGAAGAGCGCGGAGAAGGCAGAGAAGGCAGAGCCTAGGATAGGTACATTCTTCCCCGGCTCTCGGCGCCCGACAATGGTAACGGCACAAGTGGGATCTTGAAGAAGAGGAGATGGGACCATTTTACATAGACACAAACGACGTTTACAAGACAAGCACGATTTCATATATCTAGTTGTACAATAGTATAAATAAGAAACGAACGCCTTCAATCCATAGACACAAGCAGTGGTGTATCAAATAGTTAGATAGTCACGCTCCATCAATGCAGTAATGAATTTCAAGTCTCACTCATGCTTCCGGGAATGAGACGTACACGGCTATCTGTCAGCTGCTACGACGTATGTGTAAAGGTGGTCATAGGGAACCAAACAAAGCTTGGATGGCCATGTGATGAAGATGACGGCATATCTTTACGTTGCTTCTCGCGTATCTTCTTGCCATTCCTCAAAAATCTTCTCGCAGCTCCAATACTAAAACTGTAAATATGTAAACAAAGCATTCCCTTCCTGCGTCCAAGATACCTTCAAGCACCCCTTCCCACCGTCCAGCATGGCCAGCATTCACATAAAATGGGATCACAGATAATCGTGTGGTAGCGTTTCAGGGGCATTATAATCATGGAAAGTCATTAGTGTTGTCGTTAAAGAGTAAAGGTCGTTATTTTGTAGATGGAGGGACGCCAAAGGGCATGCCCATAGTCGTATCATGTTTTGATCTCGGAGTGACCGGGCCTACCACCGTCAGCTTCTCCGTGTGTCCAAGCTGGGACAAGACTCACTACCATGCTCGGCCAACTCCTCATCCTCGCTCTCCTCTCCGTCCATCCTCCTATATCGCTTCACCTTGCCATCCATACTGCTCATCACCGTCCCGCTCCTCGCTCTCCTCATGAAACCTTGGCTTCCCTCCCCAACGACCGACGCGGCGTTACTTAGGCTTTCACGGATCATCGTGATACTGCTCGACCTCGCCCTTGGAGAATCCGCAGACCCCGGGTGGGAGGTGGTATGCGCCCTACGCCGGGTGGTAGACGACGTCGAAGCAGAGTGAGAGTGCGAGTTGGATGTGTTGGTAGACGAGTTGCCCGAGATATTGCGTGAGCGGCGCGAACTGTTTGACAATGTCCTATCCCGCAGACTCTTTGACCCGCCCGACATTGTGCGTGCCCGTAAACTATGTCTCGGGCTCGTATGAGCAGACAGTAAACCGACAGACTCGTCGTCGTCCGAGTCGGGGCTCTCGCGACCTTCTTCTTTGACGCCGAATTCGGTCAGCAGCCCGTGCGGCTTGTATGCGCTCGGCGGGGCACGGGTTTTGGGTGCACCAGCTTCTGCAGCTGAGCGGCTCTTTTCGAGGACAGGCGTGTTGCCATTCGTAGGCGTGTAAAACACATCTTGCGAACTGGCTGTCGCCATCGTCCCGGCCCGCGAGGTGGTGGGCCGTACCGGGCGTTCGAGCGTAGACGATTCGGGCCGGGGAGGTTCCCACACTTGAGGAAGCGTGAGATGGGAAGCATTCTTGTCCGTAGTGATCTGCTGGATAAAGTCGTCGGCAGAGTACGAAGGTCCCTTGACGTCCCTATCGTCCAGCCGGATCGTTTCCTGCGTTCCCATCTCCCTATCCATTGCTCGGCCCCAAGGCATCTCGCCCCGTCTCGTCCCGTCATTCCCAGCTCGCGATCCAGCAAAGATACTATTCCGCGGCCCCACACCCGACCCCTCAACACGCACGATACAAAGCTCAAACGCATCCTGCACCCTCGCCCGCGTCCGTTCTTTCCAAGCCCAATCCCACGCGTTTTCATGGTCAACCCAGCTTTTCTGGGGCGATTGTGTGAGATTCGGATCGCGCGGCTGGAAAGACGATTTCGGACGACGTCTATGCGGGGTCGAAGGAGGGTTCATGGTAGAGTGGCGTTTGGTTTTGGAAAAGAGGTTGCGGAAGCGGTGGCCTACGAGGCCGCCTAGGGGTCTGCCTGAAAACATCCACAAGCCGATGGCAGAGCCCAGCACGATAAGAAGGCGAAAGGCGATGTAGACTGTGAAGGCCAGCAGGACGCCTTTGGCGTACTCTGTAAGCTGCCCGACAGCGTCGCTTCGGAAGAAATGGTCGTCTCTCTCGGCGACATGGTCGACCCTCCCGCCAAAGGGCGCTTGGATATCCGTCGCGGGTGACCAAAAACTGATCAACAGTACCACCGCAATAGCCGCCCTCGGCAATAACGGTATCAGCCCCGGAAACAGCTGGACCAGCGCATAACACGTTTCGGGGATGATGTCTCTTGCGAACGGTGTCCGGAGGGGAGAGGTGCGGATGTGGAGGAGGAAGAGAAAGTGGTCGTAGGATTTGAGGGCGAGATGGAGTGAGGCGGGAAGGGAAAAGTAGATGGGCTCGATAGCGGGGCGGTCTGTGTATTGTTAGGTCGGGTCATTGGAGAGTGTGCTTACCAAGTCTCCATCGTCGCCAGAATTCGTAGCCCAATTCCCAGCCAAGCCACACCACCAAAGTCGATACACCCCAAAGAATACCATAAGCTGCAGCAGCGAACTGCCAGCCCTTGGCACTGCTCGCGTCAAAAGACGGGTGAACGGCACACCTGTATCTCGTCAGCTGTATCACAGTCGCGAGCGAGCAACTTACTGTACGAGCATGTACATGACATTGACGTCAAAGAACTGCAAACTGTCAGTCCCGCCTAATACCCCTAGAATACACTCTCACCAAGCTCAACAACCCATTGATACCCCACAACCCGCCCAACCCCAACCAAACCAACCTCTGCGCCGCCGCCTGCTTCCTCACCAACCCCAAATTTAACTCCTTCTTCTTGAACCTCGGTATCTCAATCATGTCCACATCCTCTGGTAAGCCCATCTGCGAAAGCCTCCCCGACATTCTCGTAGATCCGCGGGTAGGCTGTTGGAGTCTGCTGGGAGCATACTCGGCGCTGGGGGATAGGAATGATTGTTTTGATGGGGCTGGGGAGGGGCTTCGGGCGGACGACGGGGCGAACGTGAGATGGTTGGCTGTGAGTGTTTGAGGTGGAGGCGGCGCGGGGCGCAGGAACGTAGTAGATGTGGGTGTGGGGGTCGTCGAGAAGCCCGGGGTTAGGGGGACGGAGGTAGTTGATTGTGCGGTCGGTTTGGCGAATGGTAGAGCACTGCGAACCTTGCTCAAAGACTGGCTTGATGTAATACGGTCTGTGCGTACGTCAGCCTGGGCCTGTTATCCACTAGTTCACGCACGCATGATGCCTCCGGGGCCAATGTAGCCTCTTCTCACAGTCTGCGCTCTTCCCTCGCCTGCCTCTTCACGCCCTTTGCCTTTCTCGTTGTGAACGGTTCCACTGCTTTTCCGCTTGGACGGCGAATCACCCTTCTCCATCATCTGAACGACCGCCGCAAACGGATGATTTCCGGCAAGAGCCACATTGATAGGAACGACAGGCGGTTGGGGGGGAAGCCCAGTGGGAGGAGGGCTAGCTGGAGGGACGGATGATTTGGTTACACGAACGTGCGGAGGAGGCTGGGGCAGAGATGCGCTAAGATCCTCGGTCTCTCGTGGCTGGCTCGGAGGAGGCGGCAGAGGCAGCACCGGCTGAGCCGTCGTCGCAGGAAGTTTGGCAAGTGACTCTTGCGATGCAATAGGCTCAGCCTGTCGTTGCGCAGCAGCAGCAAAAGGCAAGCGCACTTGACTGAGCACAGGCGAAGTCGGCGCCGTCGCTGTCCCACCCCTGGCGCCTTTCAACGTAGCACGATCCGAATCAGGCCCGCTGACCAGCCGTCCAAACGTGCCGCCGCTGAGTGTACGAGCTCTGAGATCACCCTCGGATGTGAGAGATCCTCCAGGGGAAGAGTTTGTGCGCCGGTGGCCATACTCTGTATGTTTGCGCACTCGGTCGAGGTATTTTGGGGGTGCTTGGGGGAAAGTGGGAGAACCGCGGGGAGAGCCTGGACCGAGCTCGCCCAGGAGCTCGTCGACTATGCGCTGTGTAGAGCGCTGCTCGGCGAGAGACATGTCGGATACGTGGGCTGTTTGTAACGATGAAGATTGTCGAAAGTAGGGCGGCAGCGTAAGAGACGAGTTTCTTCGATGACGGGCTTCTTCAATGGGATCGGAAGGCTGGAGTTCAACACCGTGTTCGTCAGACTCTTCCGACTCTTGAATATCGTTCGATAACGACTGGCTGAAAGATCTGAGCACACCTCGGAGGTATTCTATACCGCTATAGCTCAAGTTCGAGTCGGTCCTGGTCCGCTCGCTGGGAGTGGCAGCACTAGATGCGCGTCTGTGGCGCTTGGCACTCGGGAAACTGGGTCGCAGAGGCGACCTGGGTGGTCTCGCTGGCTTTGGCTTTGAGCTGCCCGCTTCGGTGTTGTTTCTGGCCGGGAACGGGAACGCCCAAGCGGTAGGGAAGACGAGCTGCGGGGGTTTCGAGACGGAGGACGCTCGTCGGTGGCGGGTCTTGCTCTCCTCCTGGGTGAGCAGCGGGTGGTCGTGGGAGGTCGCTTTGATGCCAGTGGACGGTGGGTGATTTTTGGAGAAAGAGGAGGATGAGGCAAGTGACATTTTGCGGTTTTGTCTTCGAGGGCCGCGCTCGGATCAGCTGTGTGTCTTGTTGTGTGGCGGGGGATCCTTGTTCGTCGAATTTGGTTCTGCTGCTTCCTGGGTGGGGCATTGGGTGGGATGGAGAGTGAAGAGAGAGTCAGTCATCCATGGAAGACCTCACCACGCATTGCCGCATGCGTCACATTGCATGCCACCGGCAGATCCTGCCGTCGCATAGTGACTGTATCGCAACACATCGACGACATCGCCTCTGTTGAGGTGGAGATGAGCCGGGAGCGAGGGGCCAAAGAAGCTGACAAGCTCTGATGGATGGGTGAGAAGAAGGATGGGGGTGGCTTTCGTCGTCGTGTTTCATCTGTCGTGTTGCGGCCCAGGTCCCCGCTGCCATTGTCTGGGTACATCGTTTGTCGGGGGATTCGTGCAGGTATGTTGTCAGTGCCGTGCTAGTTGTGTTGGGTGAATGATATAAGACCTTGGCGTCGATGGATCCCAGGTCACAGACTGTCTTACTGTCTTCATCGATGAACCAGCAACCAAGCCGTTCTGTCCTCGACCACTCAACCCTTGCCGACGCTGTATGAGTAGGGTATGCGCACGAATGATTTCAGACTCTGCACAGTCACAGCAGCAACGCAGCAGCTTGGTGGTTGTTGACAGAACTGACAGAGTCAGAGAAGAAAGAATCGAGTCCCGAAATTATTTGCGCTCCCATTACCAGCTTGCACTTCTGCAACAGCCAAAGATCGCAAATGGACGTGTAGAACCACTATTCCTCTCTATCAAAAGTCAGAAACAGCCCCCGGGATACTCCCTAAGCACCATGCCGTTCAACGATGAGCTCGACAGCCCCGACTTCCGGGCATGGCTCACAAAAACCATCGAGCCATTGTAAGTCGCCGCTTAACTTGCAAAGTTGTCCTGACTCTCTGCAGATGCGATGCCGATCCGGCTGTACTTTCCGACTATATCATCGCGCTGTTAAAGCATGATGCTTCGATGGAGGAGGCAGAGTGGAAAGAGGTGAGTGGTCAAGGAGCTTGTCTTGGTCAAGACTGACGATATCATGTCCAGTTCATCACGAAAGAACTGATAGACTTTCTCGAAGCTTGTATGTATCCATGTAGCTACAATGAGGTAATTGCTAACATTTTAATAGCCTCTGCACCCTTCGTAGACACCCTCTTCACAGCCCTCTCCACAAAGGCCTACAACGCAGCGGTACCGACCCCTGTCCCTGCCCCCGTAGCGACACATCCTATACCAACAGGTCCGGCAGCAGATATCCCTCAATACCATCCGCAATTCCCCGCGGCTGGCCCCTCGTCTGGCGCACCCGCTGTAGAGGATGTGTCTATGCAGGACGCCACGGCTGGAGTGGGCAAATCGGGCAGGCCAAAGTGTCGTGACTATCATGGTGCGTCGTCTCTCTTTATCTACGGACTGTACTAATAGTGTCAATAGAAAGAGGCTATTGTATGCGCGGAGCGAACTGCCAATTCGAACACTCTGAAGACGTCTTGATCCCTACCCCGGATATGATGTTCCAAGGCTTCTTCCCTCCATTCATGGGTATGCCCCCCGGCTTCCCTGGCATGCCCGGCATGCCCCCTGGACTCCCTCAGAGAGGAAGAGGTGGACCAAGGGGTAGAGGCGGACATCCCGGCCGGGGCGGCTACCCACCCCATGGCCACGGCCACGGCCAACGCCCCGAACCCGACGAGAACTTTCTCGGCAACCGCGAACCCCCCAAAGACCGCAACGGCAACACCCTCGTCGTCTCCGACATCCCCCGCCAGAACCTTACCGTCCCCTCCATCAAAGACTACTTTTCCAAATTCGGCGAAGTCACCAACGTCGCCATCGACGCCAAGAGCGCTCGCGCGTTGGTCAGTTTTACGTCGAATTTCGAGGCGTATCAGGCGTGGAAGTCGGATCAGGCGATCTTTGATAATAGGCATGTGAAGGTGCTTTGGCATAGACCTCATCCTGGACAGGGGGCAGCTGGGCAGAAGGCGTTGGAGGCGAGTAGGACGTTGTTGGAGAATATGAAGAAGATCGAGGCGGGTGAGGGGGGGCAGAAGGTGCCGCCAAAGTTCAGTGGGCCGGAGCAGCGATTACAGGCCGCGCTTGCCGAGCTCGAGCATCGGGAACGTCAAACCAAGAAAGAGCCGCTCATGGCGGAGCAAAAGATCTTGCTTGCTCGCGCTAGCAAGTCTACCAAGGAGGAGAAATTGACGATTCTCAAGAGGCTGAAGGCGATCGCGAAAGAGATTGAAGTGTTGAATAACCCACCGCCAAAGCCCGAGGGGATGGAAATAGACGAGACAAAAGCCAAGTTGGACCAGGAATTGGCTGCGCATGGCATGGAGCAGGGAAGCGATGAAGAGCTTGTCCGGCTGAGTAGCCAGCTGGCTTCGTTGAAGGAAAAGGTGCGTACAAATATTCGTGACATTGGTACATTACTGATATACGTCAAGGCGAATACCTACGGCATCTCCCCACGATACTCGCCTTACGCACCCCGTGGTCGTGGTCGCGGCCGGGGCCGGGGCGGTCGTTCCGTCCACACGCTCGACAATCGCTCGCGCACAATCGTCGTCTCGGGCGACAACTTTGCCGATGAAGGGGCGAGAAAGGTTGCTGTTGATTGGTACGAGTCTACTGGAGGGGCGGTTGAAGTCGTCGAAGGGAGCTTGAGGATCTCGTATCCTCAGAGAGAAATGGCTGAGAAGGTGCGCATCCGTTGTCAATACGTGGGGACTATGCTCATGTTATAACAGGCCCTTGCTCTGGGGACGGACCAGATCCGAGAACAGACTGGTATCATCCGGACAGCATGGGAAGCTCCCCAAGCACCCGACGTGGAAAGCTACTACCAGCCGGTCGATGTCGAGATGGGCGCCGGCGCTTCCATGGGCGAGACGGGTGAAGAGGAACGTAGAGGCGAGAGGAACGATGACGATTAGATTTCAAAAGAGGAATTATTGTATTGGGTAGCGCATGCGGCATTGGGTATCCGCACTGTACGTCTCGGAATGGATGGGTGTAACAGCCTCATATTGTGCAGCGCTTCTACTTTAGCCTCCGACGGGTCGGAATCATCGCTCGAATCGGCCTTGACCACCTTTCTCCCTGACTCTTGGCAGACAAATATGAAATCCCAGTTCTCGCCAAATGTCACCATACATCCCTGACACGACACATCCGGCGCAGCTCACAAAGCATCCCAAGCGACTCCTCCTTTGGAACGGATACGATTGATGTCGGTCATACAGACTGACCCAAGGGCCCTTTGTTCCGTTTCCCCATGATAGAAAAGTGCTAGAGATCATAGGATAGCCTTTGAGTGGCTGGTCCTTTATGATCGCCAGGCGGGTCTCATTTGGAACGATATATAAAGTGCGAGTAATGGACTGACTTTGCCGCAGCCCATTCCGTCAGGTGTATACTAAAGTGAGTAGCATTGTTCATCACATTTTGGATGCCGACTTTGATGCTGATGCAGCGATTAGGCTGTTGATCTATTAAACACTGAACAAAGCAGGTCTTTGCTCATCCACACTCTTTTGATACAGTCAAGCGCTCAAGACTGCTAATTACCATACTTTCAACATGTATTCGACTCTCAAGGCTGCTACTCTGTTTGCCCTCTTGACCGGCTTGGCCGTCCAAGCAGCGCCAGCTCCACAGTCCGGCACTAGCGTCACTTGTGATAGTGATACCCAGTGGCACGACGATTATCAGACTCAAACGTGTCCCACTGGCACCGTCTGTCAAGCTGATGCGGGTGGGAACCCTTGTGTCTGGCCTTCCTCGTGAGCTCTCTTGTGGAAGAGGGACGTGGCTGATGAATCAAAGCGGCGTGGGCGTTGCTGCTGTAGCAGAAGATACGGGAGTCTCAGGAAGCGGGGCTGCTACGGGTGTGACCTCGGCTGCAGCTGCCACAAGCGCCGAAGATGTCGGCGCTTCTGCCTCTGTTGCTGGTGGGGCATCTTCTTCGGCGGTCGTAGGCGGGGCGTCCTCTTCGGCCGTCGTTGGTGGGGCTTCTTCAGTCGCCGGGGGTGCGTCTTCGGCTGGAGGTCAGGCCACCTCTGCCGGGGCCGCAAGCTCTACCGTCGCGGGCTCTTCTGGGGCAGCGGGCTCGTCAGCGTCTGGTGTCAGCGGGAGCAGTGCATCGGGAGGCAGTGCGACCAGCAGTGCAGCTGCATCCTCTGGGACTGCTTCCACCACAACCAATTCGACCAGCTCGAGCGGAACGCGCTATGTCCTCTACTGGGATAAGTGAGTATACCACGGAGGCAAGATGAAGACCATGCTGACTTGTTTCATAGCTATGCTAATATGGGGGGTGTCGAAGCATCTCAGCTCACTGGAGCAACTCACGTCATTCTTTGTACGATACGTTTAACCCTCCCGTATGACCGGGTGGCTGACACCACAATTAGCTTTCGCCGATATGACTTCTTGGGCTACCAAGGTCGATAGCGCAGCTATGGCCTTTCAAAGTTCTAGCGATGGCAATTTTGACCCTTCGACTGCCTCAACGCTCAAGGGCATGGTCAGCGGTCTCAAGGTCACTGGGGCGCTGGGTGGCTGGGGCCTCGACACCCCTATGGCTACCGCCGTCCAAGGAGGCGAGTCTACGATAGAGACTTTGGTCGACAATGCTGTGGCATTTGCAAAAGCATTCGACCTGGACGGTATTGATATTGACTGGGGTGAGTCGACACTGATTCAAGCACATTCACCAGGCTGACGTTGAGGTAGAATTCCCTGCTGCGTCGGATGTCCCCAACCTCGTCACGTTCCTCACAAAGCTCAAGGCCGGTCTTCCCGATGACAGTATCATCTCGGTCGCCCTCGGTGCTCGAATTGATACGACAGACGCCGCCGCCTACACCTCCGACACATTCAGCCAGCTCAAGGATCTCGTTGACATGTGGAATGTCATGACATACGACTATGTCAACAGATACAGCGACAAGACTGAGCAGCAAGGCGGCGGGAGAGTCGTCGAGACTGTCATGGACTATTACGAGAAGCAAGGAATCGAGATGGAAAAGGTCAACATTGGTTTCGCCATGAACGCCAAGTACTTTACCGGCGTCACCGACTGCACCACCGACAACCCTATCGGTTGTACTCTTCCTGGAAAGGCCTACTACGAAGACAGTGGGAAAGACAACCGTAAATCCGGTTGGCTTCGATTCAACTCTGACTTGGACTCGACTCTTGGTACTGACGGTACCACCTGGATGGAGAAGGTCAGGCCTCAGTTTGAAAAGCGCCCGACCGACGGCAGCACCGAGATCGCCGACGATGTGTCACAGGCATGGTACGACGAAGACAACCAGACATTCTGGACTTGGCTTGAGCCGAGCGACATGTCTTCGGTTTGCAGCACTTGGAAGAGTAAGGTCGGAGGTATGATGGTCTGGAGTGCCAATCAATAAGTCGTTTCCTCTCCTTGCCGTGCCCTTGCTGACTCTTTTGGTTACTGGTTCGAACGGCCAATCCGGCGGAGATCACTTTACCGCCCTCGCTGAATGTGTCGGTGGTTCGTCTTGATCATCAGGCAAAGTGGTGAAGCAGCAAGGATGACGAAGGAAAGTGAAGGCTCGGAGTGTATGGACATGCGGGCAGCAGCGAGTGGACATGAACCAGACCCACTCAAATATCAGAAACGCTATTGTGTGTGACTATCATCGTGTACTTGTATGCAACTGCTTTACAAGACTGAACGGTGTCACCCATAGAAGTCAAGTTAGTCAAATGTCATGGATCGAGTATGAATCCACTCTTCAAAGGTCGCGTGAGATGCGATACCACGCCCCGTTCGTACTTAGAGAGCTCTAGTTGCAAGAAGCCATCTCAAAAAAGGAGTTTCCCTCTCAAAGGAGTTTCCCTCTCATCAGTGGCGGTCAAGTCTTCCCTTTGTACTCGTACTGGTGCTTGTCTACCATTAGAGCGCAGCGTTGGAGAACTATACTTGTAACCATGACCCACTGACCCCAAAGGCAGTTATAAAAGTACCAAGAGAATCCGATCGAATTTGATTTCACATGTCGACAGACAGCGGCTCATCCCAGACACCCACATCATCCCCATCATCGCCCTCATCCTCCACCTCCCACGAATCCGATGATGCCTCGTCTGAGAGAAGAGGTCTGAGACCAAAGGATCTGTCTCGTTACTTGACCTCGCAGGTTTCCAGGGCAGCAGATAGCATTGATTGGGGGGAAGATTTTGAAAGTGGGGCCTCTGTAATACAAACGTTAGCCCAGATTGCCTCAAAGATACAGGCAAGGATGCAGGCCGCGGAGAAGAAGAGGGAAGAGGGAAGTGGCAGCAGCGAGCAGGCAAATGAAACGAGTAGCAGTGCAAGTGAAAAGAAAGATCCTGTAAGCCAATGCTAGTTCTCTTCTGTTGAAATCTGACCATCGTTTATAGACTCCGCCCCAGAGCCCAGCATCCTCCAGTACCCCGAAATCCAGCGCGAGCTCACAGGAAGCAGCATCCACATCTCCCTCGCCGCTCCCTTCACCGTCTCCCTCGAGCTCAAAGTCCACCTCTGAGCCTACTTCTACAAAACCCACTGCAAGTGACGCATCATCTGCTCAGAGGCGCTCATCCTCAACTCCACCGTCTACAGCAAGTAAAGAACAGTCAACAAAGCCTTCAGAGGTGACGCCTGATGACTGGACTTGGGTCCCTATCGACAAGATGCCAAAATATCAGGCCATGTTGAGGGGGGACGGCGATAGACCTGAATGGCCAAGAGGAAAAGGCCGAAAATTCCCTACTCAAGGCAAAGCCTAGTGCTAGTAGACGATTGCTATATGAATACCTTGATGACGTCTTCAAACCCCTGTAATTTCCACAGCAAGCCGAGGCAGATCCCGATTCTGACTATGCTGAGCCGGCAGACGTTATTGACGGCCTCGCTCAGATGGCAGTCACCATGAGCACTTTTTTATGAATCATATGTGTTGCTCCAATTCACTGTCGATTCTGAGAGTGTTCGAGATAATGCGTACATGGGGGGAAGAGGTGCAATTTGCACAACAACAAGTAGTCTACAACTAATGATATATAAGCCTTTCAATCTTCCTCCATCCTATCACTCTCTTTCACGCCTTCACCTTCCCCATCTCCTGTGTGTGGTTTCGGCCCTGGACCTGGGTCTACGTTCTCTTCTTCCTCTTCCCGGACTCTATTGGCGAGACTAAGCAAGCCCAAGCCTCCTAGAGATCCTTGCCCCTGATGGCCGTTCCCATTCCCATTTCCATTCCCATTTCCGTTCGTCGACCCACCCTGGCCCAAGAACCCCCTCCCCGACCCCAAGCTTCCTGCCCCACTCCCAATACTGAGCGCCGGACTCGCCGCCCGAGACCGACTAGCTATAGTTCTTGCATAAGGATGCCCCGGCCTCGAGGCAGACGGATGTTGACCACGCCCGTTGCCCAGGGTCGACCCCAGAGGCGTGATGGACCCTAGTGAGGATGGGTATATTGGTAGATGGGAAGGGGAGGCTGGGATGGGGATTGATGACTGGCGGGATGGGGAGAGGGGGAAAGGGGAGGAGGAGAGGAGGTTGGCGGAGGGGGATGTACCGCGGGGGCGTTTGTAGGGGTCGAAGCGGTCTTCTTGGGCTATAGTGATGTTAGCTTGGGTGTAGAGTTCATTGAGATGAGTCTTACCTTTTCTCTTGCCCATGCGCATACCGGTACTTCCCGATTCGCGATACTGCATCAGACCAGGTGAAGACATGGACGCATTCGGCGACCCAGCAAGCTAGTTTGAATCAGCACAATACCACGGGAGACGGAAACGAAAAATCTCACCTCGCCTCGCTCCACTGTCGGACTGCCCAACGGCGTGCCCATTCCCATTCCCCCAAAAGCATTCGGCAGAGTGTATCCTGTACCGGGAGAAGGCCCCACGCCACCAGCCGAATTGGGCATGTTCAGCCGAGTATTCTTCAGCGTCCCAGGCTGCTGTTGGCCTGAATTCGGCGCAGGAGTAGAAAATACCTGTTGCACATTCGGCGGGAATGGAAAGCCTGCTTGTCCGGCACTACCAGTGGACGAACGATGATCGTTACCTGAAGTTGTTGTCGATTTCCCGCTGCCTTCACGTTCTCGCCGGTCGAGGACGGTCTGCCATCCTGCGGAAGAACTCGAACCCGGGCGGTCCATGTCCATCCCTGCTGCGAACGCCGCATTCACCTCCCCACCCACCGTCTCATCATGCTCGTCATCCGAATCACTATCCGAGTCATCCCTCGCCCACCGTCTGGAAAGAGCAGAGAGGGAAGATGTATCCGGGAATGTGGCGTCCGGGTCGTCGTCATCCCCGCCAACTTGTTCGGGGAAGCGGCCTCTGCTGCCTCGTGGTGCCCGGGGCGTGAGGGGGAGTTTGGCGGGATGGGAAATGAGCAAGCGTTGAAGGCGTGCTTCGGACTGGATCTCGTGCTCGAGAGGCGCAGACTCGGATATGAGCGTCTGCAAGAGAGCTGAGGGTAAGGGTCGGCCGGTAAAGGGCGGTTGGTGTAATTTGCTAGAGTTGGGAGAAGTCGGAGACTCTCGGCCTTTACCCTTGTGATTATTCGGTGTCTCGGTATGGGTAGAGGGAGACCATTTGAGCCCTTCTCCGTTTGGGGAAGTACCCGCCATCTCTGTATCTTGACCGATTTGCCGCCGTTGGGCGTCGGACGGGTCTAAAGGAGCTGGCGGGGTAGATGTTTTGAGACCGTCTATGGGTATGGTCGATGTGGATGTAGATCGTTTGAGGAAAGAATCTTGGAAAGACCCGACTGATGGCCAACGAGGGGTGGGCTGTAGAGGCCCATTGGGCGACGTAGCTGACGAGAACTGATTGACGGCATTGCTGCTCGACGGATCTTGCACCATGTCCATCACCATCCTACCCTCCCCCGCCTGTCCCGGCTTGTCTTCCGCCATTCCCGACGATTGTTTCGACGTCCCAACCAACGGCGAGCGCGGTCCAGCACCTTCCGACGGAGTCCCGTCCGACTGAAAGCTCGCATTCTGCGTCAAGCTCAGCATACTCGGCCGGCGCACTTTTCTCACTGCCTGGTCCGTGAGGCCGAAATAGCCCTCGCGGGAAGAAAGGAGTGCGTTGGCGAGGGCGGGTGAGGATGCCGCTGGCGGGTGCAGGCCAAAAGCATTGATGGAGGTTGCAAAGCGTTGTTGCTGGGTAGAGGGGACGTCGGGGGAGTTTTGTGTAGGATTGGGGGACTCTGTATGATGACCTGGGTCTCCGGGAGCGTCCATGAGGGCGTCTTGCGACATGCCGGCATGGGGAAAGGGGCCTCCCGAAGGCGGAGAATGGGTTGTAGGGGAGATTTCGAGGTGCGAAAAGTTGTCCAGATGGCGGAGTGTGGCCCAGGGGGAGCGTAGGAGCAGCTGTCGGGGCCGATCTGGTTTGTGGACGGGGGAGAAAGATGGAATTGATGTGGATGGAAAGCGGCGGTGAAAGAGGAGAGTGCGTTGTGACCGTGTTATTTTGATCCCGTCGAGGTATAGACGCACCATGAATGTTGTAACAGCATAGAGAGCCACCCGCGCGATGCCCCCCTCGCAGCCATTCCAGCCGCCGACGAGGCCACACTCCGCCAACCCCCTCAGCGTCCACCCCCTCCCCCTCTTCCCCCGCCGCCCCTCAGCCCACAACGCCCCCGCCCGCCAGTCCCGCGAGGGCGTGGAGGACTGGGAAGACGCCTGGGACAGCAGCTCCGACAAGGAGGACGGCATCGTGCACAGCCGCCGCGCGAGAAAGAGCGAAGAGCCAGCGGCGATAGCGGCCAGCTGGGCGTCCACGAGCTATACGCATGTCGGGTATCCCTCGACGTCGCCGACGAGACCGACCTTGCAACAGTCCGAGACGTACAGCGAAGGCACATCAGGACCTGCTCCTGGGACGGGCGGAAATGTCCCTCGCGCGAGCTCGAGTGGACCGGGCGTCGGGGGGTCGAAGCTGCCCCCTGGAGGAGCGTGGGAGATTGTCGAAGCTGATGAGGTGGAGGAGGAAGTCATCCCTGTCAAGGTCGGGAAGGAAGCAGTGAGGGAGGATGTAGAGGATATTCTGAAAGGTGTGTAATGATATGATTGAGCGCGAGCTGACCGGGACAGATCCATTGGAATTACTCCAGAGTCTCTGTCTTGCCCCAACCTCTCCGACTTCTCATCCCCCTTCACGCTCGCCGTCCGCCATCTTCCCCTTCTTCCCCTCCGATTCCACCCAGTCTTCTCCCACCGGAACGCCCACTCCGACCCTCACAAAACGCTCGCTATCCCACGGCCCTGTCAGTCGGCGGCGCAGTGTAAGGACGGAGAGGAGAAGGGAGAAGTTTGCCAAGGTGCTCAGTGGAGATGGCGATGGAGGAGGGGTGGATCTGGGAGAGTTGAGGCGGCTGGCTTGGAGCGGTGTGCCGCAGGAAGTGCGACCGATTGTCTGGCAATTACTGCTGGTGAGTCGCAGTTAATGAATGTGGATAGCTACTGACAAAGACAGAATTACCTGCCCTTACCAGCAGAGCCGAGGCTAGCAACACTGAGTCGCAAGCGAAGAGAGTATGAGCAGCTGGTAGATCAATATTTCGGGAGAGGTATCGCCGCGCTGGATCAACAAGTAAGCGCGCTTCGTCAGGAGCCAAACTGACGAAAGAAGATATGGCATCAGATCGAGATTGATGTGCCGAGGACCAGACCGGGTGTCGTCTTGTGGTCATGTGAGAGCACCCAACGTGTACGTACACCCTCAAAGCTTTGAATACCACTCACAATCTCCCAGAGCCTCGAAAAGATCCTCTACGTCTGGGCCATCCGTCACCCCGCTTCGGGATACGTCCAAGGCATCAACGACCTCGTCACCCCATTCTTCGAAGTCTTTCTCTCTGCCTACATCTCCACCGACCCAGAGCTATTCGACCCCGCGCACCTTTCACCCAAGATATTGACAGCAATCTGCGCCGATTCATTCTGGTGTGTCACCAAACTGCTCGACTCGATCCAAGACCACTACATCTCGCATCAGCCTGGAATCCAACGTCTAGTCCGACGCATGGGCGAGCTGGTCAAGCGGATAGATGCCCCCCTGGCAGCTCATTTCGAAGAACAAGGCGTCGAGTTTATGCAGTTTGCGTTTAGGTGGATGAACTGTTTGTTGATGAGGGAGATTAGTGGAAAGTGTACGGTGAGGATGTGGGATACGTATCTTGTGAGTCTACTGGATCCTGGGCCTGAGCGGGCGGGGCTGACGCAGAGTAGGCGGAAGGGACAGATGCGTTCTCGCAATTCCACTTGTATGTATGCTCGGCGCTACTCGTAAAGTATTCTGAGCGCCTGCGCGAGATGGATTTCCAAGTGAGCCCATTCCATCTCTTGTCGGAGCTTGTGCTGACGAGGCGCAGGAAATGATCATCTTTCTCCAACGCCTCCCGACCCAGCACTGGACCGACCACGATATAGAGCTGCTCCTCTCAGAGGCATATGTGCTCAAGACGGTGTGGCAAGGGGCGGAGAACCATTTCAAGGATCTGCCGACGGGAGGAGGGGGAGGCTTTGGAATGCTGGGGAGATGAGAGAATCGTTGGGGGCGTAGTTAGTTGTATATAGACAAGTAGAACAGAGAGTATCAATACCAAGCACATCACATATTCAATTATGCATACTAATTCGCTGTGGCAGCGTCTTTGCCCACCAGATATCACTCAACTAGTGGCCCGCAATGTCAGACGCATCGTGGTGGTCTGTGCGCAGAAGGTGGGTGATGTCAACCGGCCCCGTGCGCTGCAATATATAAGACCTCCCTCTTCCCACGAATCCCCATCTCTTTTCAATTCTGCATCTCTCCCTTCTCACCCCCATACAACTCAACATGCCCGTCAAACAAGCGTTCGTGAGTACTGTTCCTTCCATGGCTGTAAGAGGAGGCGTCGTTGGGTGATTCTTGTCTCGCGTTTCCATCCTCATCACCTACCCCGGGGCCATCGGTCATCATCGACTCTGCCAATGTTGGGAGGTGCTCCTCCTCTTTTCTACTGTCTATTCTTTCCTTCTCTCTGCACTGCCTCCTATGTTTCCTCTTTCGCCGGAGAGCCCGAAGGGCACCCCTCCTGTCTTCCACGTCACGGCTTGCACCTTCCCGGCGTTGAGCTCGGACCACCGGCCTTCCGCTCCCTCACTCTGACCTTCACCCCAGAATCTCAAACCCAAGCTGACTCAACCTCCAGAGACCACCCAAACCGATACAAAAGAGCTCCAAGACCACCACTGCAGCTACATCCACAACCACCAAAACCACCGCCGCTGCTGCCAAAAGCAAGCAGAAGCAGCCTCGTAATGCTCAAAAGCAGACCACCACCCTAGCTCCTCAAGAGCTTGCCCAGACACAGGCGCAGGCTCAAGTGCAGGCCCAGAGCCAGCGAGTGGAGCAGTCGACTGGGCAGGATCAGAGTGTCGTGACCCAGACCGAGAGCTTGGCCATCATGCGAGTTTCTCTGGAAGCTAGTCTCGGAGCAATCTGCTACTTGAGGTAAGGTGTCTCTTCATTCTCATGGGGTGTATGGCTGACTTTAACATCAGACGCCTCCTTCCTGATGACAACTTTGTCGACACCTACATGGCCTCCACCGCTGTCCCCGACAAGACTCCAGAGCAGCAGTACGGCTTGTCTCAGCCAGACCCCAACTCGCAGATGGGCTCTCAATCTCATGGCTCTCAGCAGAGTCAAAGCAAAGGATTCAAGTACCCGAAGATCAGTGATAGTTCTCCGGAAGGGAGGAGACTGTTGAGTTTGATCGTGAGTGTCGGCACTTACAGCAATGCAGCGGTAACTGATGTCCGGTAGAATGACGGCGTCATGGACGCCATCTCGAAGGGCTACCTGCGCTCTTTCATGTTTATCCTCTTCCTTGACAAAGACGATCCTTCCAAGTAAGATCCATGGTTGTTCTCTTGCCAGACGCTGACGCGAAAGTAGCATCATCGAGTCCTACACTTTCAACTTTTTCTACACTGGAGCTTCTAACGCCCCCTCTCTCAGCATGACTCACACCACCGGCAGCCCATCCGGTTACGTCAACGGAGATATAGAAGTCGAAACCGTTGGGGCCGTCAAGACGAGTGCGGAGCTTGAGGCGCCAAAGACTCACCAGGATTGTAGGAAAGCTGTCAAGGTGAGTCTATATCGATTTGGTCAATGACTCACGATTTTGTTAGGCCATGATGAAGACGCTCATTCTCAAGTGCCAAAAGCTTCCGGACCTGCCTCGTGAGTGCTGAAGGTATCCCGGAAGCAGAACTGACGATGAATTCAGGTCAGCGATATGTCGACTTCAAGCTTTCGTATAACGAGAGCGCACCTCCAGAGTAAGTTTCAACCTCATGGATCTGAGCTGACGCCACAACAGCTATGAGGCTCCAGGGTTCAAAGATTGCTCCGGCACCTCTCTCCTCATGGCCACTTGCGACGTCGATGCAGCTCCGTCCAACATACAAATGGGCAATACTGCAACCGGGACTCACGGGTAAGCGTCTTCGTTCGACATTGTGAAATAAAGCTGACAGAGATTCAGCATATCGGTCACCGCTCAATCCATCGCAGAGTACCTGCCCTCTAGACTTGACTCTGATGAACGCCAAGGAGTCTCCGACCCTGGGGATGTCGAGAAAGAACACGAGGAGCAGATGACCAACGTCAAGAAGAGAAAAGTAGCATGGTGTGCCGATCTCGTAATTCTGTTTCTCTTCTCGGTCTGCTCTATACTGACTGTCCTGTAGCCCGTATATGATCGTCAAATCTACGAGCCAGACTCTATGGACCCTCACTCTGTCGTCATTCCCGAGCTTCAAGAGTCCGACATTTCTGCCGGAAAGCTCAAACAGCCTTTGGGCAAGCTCAGAGAGGATGGCACCGTTGAGCCAATGTTCAAACCTGGTATGCGACCCGATAGCCCAAACGCAGCGTGGAAGAAGCGTGCCCGTGATACAGTGAGCGGATCAAGATCTTGTATGACCAGAGCGCTGACCACGAGACAGTTTGACGAGGATCTGTTGGAACTTTCGGGTGCTCAGCGAGAACCAACAGTTGTTTCCAGAAGCGCGAGTGTGGTTCAGTCCGTCTACGACCACGATGGTACGTTGTGTCCAGCATAAAGAGCCAACTGACAAAGGATTAGCCGACGGTGAGACAGAGTTTGAAGGTAGCCAGCTCGCCAACGTGGCCAACAGAGCTCAAGCCTCTCGCGCCTCAACACGAGAAGCGACACGAGAACCAACGGAACAGCCCCGCAACGTCTCCGTCTTCCAAGATACTGACACTACTCCCGACTCGGGTGCCCTCCTATCCGACCCTGCGCCTGACCGCCAGCCTCTCCAAGACAAAGATCCCAACGAGCGCCCCCGCAAATCTCCCAAGACGACTGGCAAATCAACCGCTACCGGCACCGATGACTCCAGCATCACAAGACAGTCTCCATCCAAGTCGAAGAAGAAGCAGGGCTCCAAGAAGTCCCACAAAAAGGCCCCTGTCTCCGACAAATCCCCGACTGATACTGGAAATCCCGTTGCGACTACTCCTGCATCAAAACCAACATCCCCTCGCAAAACAGCAGCTCAAAAAATGGCTTTGGCAGCTGCTTCTCCGGACAAGCAAAGACCCACGACCAAGAAGTCTGCGGCACCTCGGGTGGATACACATGTGGTGGAAGTGGAAGGAAGAGAGCCCGTCACTTGCTTCTGTGGATCCGTGGACGAGGATGACGCAAGTATCCAGTGTGATGGGTGTGGACATTGGGTTCATTTACCTTGTGTTGGGTAAGACTTTCAGTTGCACCTCGACGCTGCTGACCTAGGACAGTTTCTCCGTGCTCAAAGCTGCCGCTCAGACTCAAGACTGGTTCTGTATTTTGTGTCAGATGGACAAAGACGATAAACACACATGGACGAAAAACGATTACAAGCAAGTACGAGAAGGAATGGCAAGGCTGGCAATTGTCAGGTGAGTCAACGTGCATTGTGTTCTGAGCTGAACAGAGGCAGACGTTTGGTTTCTCGTATCCGAGGAGAAGGCGGTATCGGCAACGAGGTTTCACAGTACACAGAGTCGCTGAGTGAGTTTCTTTCCTGTCTCTGTGTGCAGATACTGACTATGGATCAGACTGTACCAAAAAGACTCTCAAACGCGCCCTTGCTACACTTCATGAGGACGGTGAGCCTCTGGCCCATAGCATGCTTCAATTGCTGACGTTTCAGGATTCATCGACGGTGCTCATGGTACGTTTATCAGGATAGACTTGTAGCGTAAGCTGACTACATGTACAGGCTCGAGACGAGGAAAGAAGGCCTACTACAAGTATCTACAAAACCCGGACACGTCGAAGCGACTCATCGAATACTTTGATCCTGGAGCCGGTGTGGAGATTGACCTTTTCCCGTTTCGCAAAGCTCAACACTCTGTAAGACCTTTGTCCTAGCTACAAGACAAGACTGACAAAGTTACAAGGACGACCAGACAGACGAGCCCGCCGAGCCTCTCCCCAACTCTCAAGGCGTTCCCATGCCCGACCTGCCATCTACCTCTTCATCCAACAACCCATCCGGAATGCTCAATCTCAACTCCGCCCGGACCTCATCCAGTACCGTTAGGACTACATTTGGAAACAGTATCCCATGCTTGGACAAGTATCCCGTGAATCAGTGGATGTTACCGGCGATCAGGAGTAGTAGGGCAGAGGAGCCTATCGAACTGTTGGAGGACTGGTAAAAGTGGATGGGACGGAGTGATTTGGGGAGGCGATCTGGGTGTGCTGAACAATGCTGCTCTGATATACATATGGCCAATGCTTGGCTGCTTATACCGATCATGTCATGTACTCTGTGTAGCATAATCCATTACTTGTCAAGTGTGATATCTAGGAAATGTGAGCGTCCCCTCCTAAAGATGTATCAGGTCGTACGTACAGAACACAAACTGTTTGCGATTAGAGAATTGCAGAAATGCCCAAGAGTAGAAAAAAAAGGCGGAGAAGGAAGGGCGAACCGGCAAAAGAAAAAGAATCATAGCAAAAAGATTACATCGTAAGGGAATCGAACCCTTGCTACCAGCAATTATCCTGCTAAGGCCACACTTTGAAGTATGGGAAGCTGGAGTTCTACCATTAAACTAACGATGTTATGGAGGAAAACAGACACATTTTTGGTTTATAGATTTTGGCTTCTGTTTGACGCGCCACGACACTTTCTTTAAGGGCCGAGACATATGAGAGTATGCATAGCACGGACACATTCGTCCGTCTCGTGACCCACGGTCCTGCTGCTGCAAGGATTGAATTGTACTCGTGCTGGTGGAGCATCTACATGCGCACGCGGGAGGGTACGATAAGGATTCTCAAAGTGTCACTTTACAAAAACTGAAGCCCCATCACTCCATTGCCCATTCCATTCTTGAGCTAGACCTTCCCAAGCACACGTAAACCAATCGTTGACTAGTGTTGGGTCAGGCTGACCTTGACCCCTTGCGAGTAAATGACCTCTATACATAGGTGTCAAGTAGACGTAACTGAAACCGGAAACACCTGCGCTGGCTCTTTTGACTGTGGGTTGCCAGTCCTGTGCCCGATTTCGTGGACTTTTCGTCTGTGGGCAATGTCTCCTCCCCCTCCTCGTTATTGACCGCCATCACCTCCACAATCTCTAGAAACTCATGCACCCTCTATGTTCACCTGGAAACGCTCGGCAAGCTCTTGAAGAGAGGGGTGAGCAGCGGCACCGACATCGATGAGGAAGCGGTCAAATTCCGCAGAAATGAGCCGAGGGTTACCGAGAGTGATAAAGGAACTACCCGAAGCATACTGAGTTATGAATCAGCAAGAGCAAGCAAGCAAGTGGTGATGGGCAAAAGAAAAAATATTCGCAAAAAATCATATACATCGTAAGGGAATCGAACCCTTGCTACCAGCAATTGTCCTGCTGAGGCCACACATTACGTATGGGAAGCTGGAGTTCTACCATTAAACTAACGATGTTATGCGTCATATAAGCGAGGTGCGGGGTACAGCCGTTTATAACGGGCTTGCGATACGCCGCGACGATTTCTGTCTTTGCAGTTTCACGCTCTACTTTAGCAACTATGCATCTCTGAAATATCATCCGGCTCGCCCACTATACATGCTCACGATCTATCCGATATAGAAGCTCCACCCTCAACTTCCTCTCCGTTCGCCATATCAATATGTGCGGTCTCACCTTGGCTATTCGCCCCTCTGAGACGGCCCAGTCCGGCTCTCTTCGTTCAATCGAAGAAGCACTATCATCAACCATCAAATGCCGAGGTCCAGACTGTCAAGGATCATACTTGAACACTTTCGCCACCTCGACTGAAGTCAAAGTGGAAGTATCTCTCCATGCGAGCGTGCTGGGTCTGCGAGGGGACCTCACATCGCAGCCTCGGAAAGGTCAAAGGGGCGTCCTGGGATGGAATGGGCAGGTGTTCGAGGGTTTACATGTGAAGGAAGGGGAGAACGATACACAGAAGATATTTGAGCAATTGGAAGGCGGGGCTTCTTTTGATGAGATCCTGCAGAATGTAGAGGGACCGTGAGTTGAGAGCGCCGATAGATTCTTACTGACTGGCATAGATTTGCGTGTATATATATCGATGTCAGTGGAATTTATTGAGATCGTTCCTTCTGACCCATTTGCAGCTCGAAATGTCAGTCATTCATTACCAGCTGGACCCTCTATCCCGCCGCTCTCTCCTCGCCTATCCTGCAAACTCTGATGCTAAAACGGACATGTTTATCTTGAGCTCATGCTGTTGCGGGGAAGCTCGAGCCGGGGGCATAGATATGAGGGCCCTTCTTGGTGGAGAGGGGGGGCGTATAGATCTGAGAAAAATACAGTCATGCCAGGACGGACAAGTAAGTTTGCGAGTTCATATCATGACAGAGCTGATGATCCACAGCTTGACTTCTCCAAAGCTCTCACATTGAGGACAAATTTCGACCTCCCCGAAAGCTCCTCGACACCTTGGGTATGTCTGACATGGTGTGAATCGCTGCTGACAATCAGACTCGTGTCACTCCCATCAACCCGACCCTTCCCCATCTCGAAGATGAAGGCTCCTGCGAACCCTCCATCGACGCTTTCATCGACCACCTCCGTACTAGCGTACGGCATAGGGTCGAAAACATTCCTGATCTACAGCCAGATCAATCCAAAGTTGCTGTCCTCTTTTCGGGTGGGATTGACTGCACATTCCTGGCATACCTGATACACCAGTAAGCTATGGCAAGACGACAAGGGCAAAGCTCATAGTCCTACAGATGCCTGCCGGTAGACAAGTCGGTCGACCTCATCAACGTCTCCTTCGCACCTGCTCCTTCTCGAGTCGATACCGGAAAAGGCAAGAACAAAGCCTCTCCCCAGCCGATGGATGCCTACAAGGTGCCGGACAGGATATCGGGGTTGGAGGCATGGGAGGAGCTGCGACAGGTCTGTCCTGGGAGAGATTGGAGATTCGTGGAAGTCAACGTGTCATATGATGTGAGTCGCGCCCTCACCTTGTGTACTCATTACTCATGTATCGCAGGAGGCGAGAGAGCATCGAGATAGAGTCGTGGAGTTGATGTACCCGTCAATCACAGAGATGGACCTAGTGAGTCTATCAGCCATTCTATGCTCTATCTCTGACCCGAATAGTCCTTGGCGTATCCGCTATACTTCGCCTCTCTCGGTCATGGGTCTCTTCGACATGCTGATGGCACAACAGCGCCATATCATGTGACTGCCAAGGTCTACATATCAGGACTGGGTGCCGACGAGTAAGCTCTCGCTCTTCTAATGTGGCTTTTGCTCATATCATACAGGCAGCTTGGCGGCTACTCCAGACATCGGCACGCTTTCAATACCAACAGCTGGCAGGGCCTCATCGACGAAGTAAGTCACACTCTACCCCTGAAAGACATCATAAAGCTCACGGACCAAACGACACAAATGGACATACACCGCCTGCCCACCCGAAATCTCTCCCGCGACGACCGCCTCATCTCCTCCCATGCGCGGGACGCTCGCTACCCATTCCTCTCCCTATCGTTCATCTCTCACCTCTCCTCCGTCCCTATACATATCAAATGCGATCCACGTCTACCGCCAGGAGAAGGCGATAAGAGGCTGTTACGGATGGCGGCCAAGAGGGTGGGGCTGCAGAAGACGAGTGGGAGGGTAAAGCGGGCGATGCAGTTTGGGACGCGTAGCAGTAAGGTCGGAGGAAGTGGGAGAGGAGTCAAGGGACCAAAGGCAGGAGAGAGGGAAGTGAGCTAGAACGAGCACAGTGTTGGCTTCTTATTGGTATCCTTGCTACCATGTAGCGTCAAGTGAGGAACGCTGAGTAGGCTCACACTCTAGAGCAACGTCTATATAAGCCGTAGTGCCCGTAGTACTTCGTAATCTGTAGTTTTGAGGATCACCAGCGACCTCAAATAAGTCTGATCTGCCTTCAATGTAACAGGTAGCAGGCGTAGGATGATTGGCCTGTTCTGGGTAGCGACCGATCCGCATATCTTCGAGCTCTCTGAAGTATACACATACCTAATTCCTGCCCCATAAACGTACTGGCCAACAACATCAACCTTCTGACCAACGAATCATGCAACGGCACTTCTACTCACTCTGTGGTGGAAATCGCCGCCCGAGAAATCAAAACAAGCAACCACGCGACGCGTTTCGACTTACAACGTTGTCAGAACGTTGTTTTGCTCAATTTGCCTTTATCAGAGCAATTCTCTGTACTCTCAAAAAGCCGACCTTAGATACGTCTGGCCATGTCCCGAATCATCAGCCTAGGTGCCCCTCCCCCCCGCTCCTCCCCTTCAGATGCGCGAATCCTGGGGTCGAGTGGCTATACATCTCCATCAAAAGCAGTGAAAGGCCTTTCGCTCAACGACGAAAATAGCAACGAGATCAACGGTCATGGCGAAGAACAAGATAAAGAGGAAGAAGAAGAGGAGGAAGAGGAAGAGGAAGAGATGGGCATGATGGTGGATTCTGATATGGAGGAGACAGAGGACGAGGAGGACGATGATCGGACCGTGATCCATGGTACGTCGTCCAAGCCCAAGCTGGATATGCTGACATAGCGATGGTTACAGTCGAGGTCCGCCAAAAACAGCACTCGCGTATCTTGCAACAGCCTCTCATGATCGTCCTCCAGCAATTTATAGAGGAAGAAATTGCAAGGGTGCAACTGGGGTGCGAGCTGCCGGGATGGCAAGAAGTGGAGATACTGCGTGAGCACGTGGATAGGGTATGGGTAGAGGAAGGAGGTGAGTCAAGTGATTGATGAATGTCGAATACTGATGAAAGGACAGTGATGGGCGTTGAGTCCATTCAGGCGAGCGAAGCCGAGATCCAGGTCCATGTCTACAAGGCGTCTGTAGATGACTTGCTAGAGGAGTTCACGGCGGATTTGGATGATGGTGTGTGGCGTCTGCGGATCCTAGACACTGGCTAATAGACTCTCAGATGACGACGAGGAAAAGGTTTCGGCCGCTTCGGTCAGATCGCTCCCATCGAAAGAGCTCGACGGTGTCTGGGATACGTGAGTCTCTCCCCCATCCCGAGAATCAACGCTGACCATACTTAGACTGGTATACTCGGACGATATCAAAGCTCGACTACTGAACTACATTTACTCCACCATTCTCTTTTCCGAATGCGAAGTCGACTTCAACGTCATTGCGTGGAATAGGGTCATCCTGCTGCATGGCCCGCCGGGAACGGGAAAGACGAGTTTGTGCAGGGCTCTGGCGCAGAAGATCTCTATCCGGTTATCAGACAAGTGAGTCGTGACTGCTCGTTCACAAGACCAAGACTGACGTCGTGATAGGTATAGACATGGCAAGGTCATCGAGATCAACTCGCACTCTCTCTTCTCCAAATGGTTTTCCGAATCTGGCAAGCTGGTCCAGAAGCTGTTTGAAAAGGTCACGGATCTGGTAGAGGACGATTCCTGTTTTGTAGTGGTTATGATTGGTGAGTTGTCTCCTGAGGTAATCAAATGTGGCTGACGCGTGAGTAGACGAGGTGGAATCTCTAACAGCTGCTCGAGCTGGAGCTATGCGAGGCAACGAGCCTTCTGACTCTTTGCGCGTATGCTACTATCTCGCTCAATCGCAAGTTCCTTGCTGACCTGACCAGGTTGTAAACGCTCTCCTCACCCAACTCGACAAACTCCGCACTCACAAGAATGTCCTCGTAATGACCACCTCCAACCTTATCGACGCCATCGACGAGGCTTTCTTGTCTCGTGTCGACCTCTCCGAGCATGTCCCACTCCCTCCACCTCGAGCCGTCTACTCTATATTGTCAGGCTGTCTGAGAGAAATGGGGAAGAAAGGACTCGTCAGGGGATGCAGAGTGATGGACTGGCAAGGGGCTGAGGAAGCCAGGAGGGAGAGAAAGTTTAAAGGTGGTGAAGGAAAGGGGGATGACAAGAAGAGGGAGCGAGAAAAGGCTATAGGGGCAAGTCTCGCCGAGCTCGCTATCCGATGTCACGTAAGCCATCTCTACATTGTTTGCGCCACTACTGACGCTCGGTCACAGGCTATAGAGCTCTCTGGTCGAACTCTCCGCAAACTGCCCGTCCTAGCCCACGCCCGTTACCTCTCCTCTTCCTCTGGTGAACACCGCGCGCAAAAAATTGAAAGGTGGATCGACGCTATGAACAAGGTTGTGGATGTGGAAGCTGAGAAGAAAGAGGGGCCGGTCTCTGAATTTAGCGGGGTTGCTAATGGGGTGGGAGGGGAGAAGGGGAAGGGGCACAGCAGGATTGGAAGCATGGAGAAGAGGGACGTGGGGGTTTTGGTAGGGACGAAGATGCGAGGCGATAGACAAGAGCATGGTCATGCTTAAGCTTGTACCACATGTATTGTCACTCCTCTCTATCCATTTACGAGCATAATGCCATCGCGGGAGCCTTCGATAAAGCTTACAAGAGCGAACGGATCACTCCAATATATGTCAAGTGCAAAAGCAAACGGTGTCTGGTGATCAGGCCTGCTCTGGGGTGACAGCTGAAGTTATCACCAAGTGTAATCGAAGGTTGAGTCCAAGTACGTGAAGAGGAGTACGCAGTTGTGCTTGCATGAAGTCTTGGAAGGAGCAGTAAAGGCTAAAGAAGTAGAGGAGGGGAGAGAAGAGAGTCACCCACCTTAGGGATGTCGTCTCCTCGGTACCCCTCTCACCGGCGCCTCAAACTATCTCCCCTGGTCGAAGAAACTCAAGATTGTTCAGATCTCTACAGAGAGGGATGTGGAGGGGAGAGTGGTAACCAAGAGGTGGGAGGTAGGGGGCTCAGCTAGCAGACAGAAACACCCCCGGACCCCAGACAAAAGAACCTTGAGTTTCTTCGACCAGGGAAGATAGTTCGAGGCGCCGGTGAGAGGGGGTACCGAGGAGACGACATCCCTAAGGTGGGTGGCCCACGGATCACAGGCGTCCCAGGTGGATGGGAGAGAGGCGACAGAGACCGACATGGAGAATTTTCACAGGGGGTTGTCGTAGGGTTGTTGAAGAACCTTGTAGAGGTAACAGAAAGAAGTGGAAGGACGGTATATGCGGTAGGTTTCCAGCTTCTCAAGGTCTCATTATCTGTTTCAAGGTTTTGTAGGTTTCATAGATAGGGAAGAAGAAGACATATGAAAACTACTATGGAACACGTCCGGCGGCCATTTCCGCAATCCTTTCTTCCCAGATATATCACAACATGACCAGTTCATCATTCTTTCAGGTAGCTTCGAGCTGCCAGAGCACTTGCTGCTGTTGCCGCTGACGCTACGGCAAAACCAGCCATATGCCACTTCAGTACTGTCGGGTCACGAGGTAGGTGCAGTTCAGCAAAAGTACCTGACAAAATATCGCGGTGAACGACTCTGGTTCTATCAACGACGCTGCTGAAGCCGTCTGTCACGGCGGTCCATTTGCTGGACATGGTCGAAGAGAGGGCTTTGTGATCGTTAAAATATAAGTCAGCCTTTGTCCGTCCTACATTTCATATCGGTGGGCGGAGGAGAATAACAAACCTTTGTGGTTTGTTCCATCTTCAGTCCTCGCCCCCCAACGTGCTTTGTACGAAGCGTCTTCTTCTCGCTTATCCACCAGAGGTGCCAAAGAGTCTTCCTCATAGGGTTGAGGTTCCGGGTCCTCCTCAGAGCTAGATGCCAGTGGGTCTGAAGTAGTACATCAGCAAACAAGTGATGGTGCATATGATTAGTTGATCGATTCACAAGACATCATGCTACCAACGTCGCCGCCAAAGTCTCCCTCGACGGTCGAGGTTTTGCTCATTTGTGACTGTCTAACATCCTGGGGTGCTTCGGGGTCTTCTTGTTGAGTCATGTTCATGATGTAAAGGTGATTGACCGGAAAAGAGCTGTGGGCCAAGGACGTGCTTTGCTTGATGAGCAAGTGACTCCTAATTAGACCGGAAGCACTGGTGGCTTTATGTCCGCCAGAAACGTCGTGCGAGTGTCATTCAGATGCCTTCTCGAGGTGGAGAAGCAAGACAAGATACTCGTACTCGTATCTTTCAACATCCTTTGTCGTCGGATGTGTCGCCTTCTCTCTACTGCCGCAGTATCGCTTCTCAATGCACAATGGCGCCGCTTCTTCTGGCAAGAGAAGCCTCGAGAGTTACACATGCACCCATTCTGAGCACTCAGGATGGACCGGCTACTCCTTTTGATGCGTATATAAGTCTGCATTGCTTTGACACGTGTTGTGGCTGCAGCATGTAAGACAGATGTTTCAATAGTGCTCCGCTCGGGCAACCTCTTCTATCCCATCCTCCTCCACCAAAAACCCATCCAGAATCCTTCTGACCTGAGTCTCTCCTAGCACCCCTTTCCCACACTCGCACCCCTTTGCGTGCTCTTCCGGCTTCCCAACCCCGCCTGGACCTGCCATCCACGGCTGCTGATCCCAAAGATCCAAAGGCTTGGCGCGTCTTGACGGTTCGCGCTCGAGGAGAGCAGCGACGATTGACCGCAGAGCAGGCGTCCCGGTACCTGGGGCATCAGCGCCAGGGTTGGTGGGAGATTGGACGGGATCGCGCGTGGGCCAGGTATACGCGCCTTTAGCAATTCGCATCCATTTCTTCCTCCACCGCTCCTTTTCGGTCATCCGACTTCCAGGAGTGGTCATACCCTCGGCTTCTTCCCGATCGAAAGGCAGCTCGCCAACCACCATCCCATATAGGACCACGCCCATTGCCCAAGCGTCTGTTTGCCGACCATCATACGGCTTTGCCATGATGATTTCTGGCGCGGCAAAACTTTCAGAGCCACACCGCGTAGCAAGCAGAGGGGAAGCAGGTGAGATGAAGCGAGAGAGGCCAAAGTCGGTCAGCTTGATGAGGGGCTGGTTGGGAGGCGGGAGGAGTCGCAAAGGCACAGAGTTTGTCGATGTCGGAGGGAGCTCAAATGGATTGGTAGTGAATAGTATGTCTGTTCTACGTCAGCTTGGACATTGCTTGCAAGAAAGCATGCTTACTCTCGAGCTTGATATCACGATGAACAACGCCAACTTCGTGCAACCACCCAACGGCCTTGGCCAATTCTGAGAATATCCTCCTGATCAAACCTTCTCCATCCTTATCCCACTCTTCAAGACTTCCCGGCTCCGGCTCTGGCGCGGGCAAAATCATCCGCTCCCTAGTAGCCTCATCGCTCACCCACCCAAACAGCTCTCCACCATCCAGTCTTTCCAACACCAATACATCCCACCCGGGCGTCGAGAATGAGTCTAGATACCGCACGATGGAGGGATGGTGGATATGCCGTAGGACCTCGACTTCGCGCAGAAAGGCTATCCGTGTACGGGAGTCGAGGAGCGAGAGGTGGTGTGGCATGAGCTTCAGAGCCGCTTGGACTTGGCCTTCCTTTTCGGAGGGAGAGGAAGATTCGGGGATAGCAGACCAAACACCGGAGAATGCTCCTTCTCCCAGCTTCCGCACGACTTTCCAGCCCCGTTTGCCCTTTTCTGTAGGTCTTATTACACTCCCTTCTTTGACCAGATCGGCCCTCGTAGAGTGTCTCTGCTCTCTCTCGAGCACCTGACTCTCTTTACGCCTCAGCACCTTGCCCCCGTTCGACTTTGACGGTGTAGATGGCCCTGGTGTGGGAGTAGGCGTCGATTGTGAGCCTCCAGAGGAAGATGAAGACGACCCATGATGAGGGAGCGGAGGCGGTATGGACGGGACAGCCAGTTGGCCTTGAAGAGGAGTGGGATTTGATAGTGACCGTAATCTCGAGGTCGAAATCTCCTCAAAACCAAGCTTTGCTGGCGCTCCTACGCCTTCCAGGGAGGTTGACGGGTCTTTGAACTCTACTGCGCCCGTACTCGCCCATCCTATAGGCTCCACGCTTGCAGGAGACGGGTCCTTAAACTTTTCCTTCCGCGGGGGTAGCCGTAGTTTCACAGGTACCGTAGAGGGCATCGTACTCGATCGCTCGTTCCTCCCGGATGTCCCGCTGGGAAGACCTTTACCAACAGCAGATACAGAGTAATCCAGCTTTTTAGGTGGTGTGGGGAGAGCGGCGGCAGAGGAGGCGAAGAAGAGGTCGGTGCGGCTACTTCCTGTGCTCAGTGAAGGTGAGACGAGGGGACCAGGAGGGCCATGAGAGCGGGCGGATGCTGAAGACAAAGCGCGATAGCGCGATGGTACAGCCAGAGACGCGGACGCTGGGTCAGAAATTGGCGGGGAAGGCGAGGGAACGGGCATTGACGATGATTTGACCGGTACAGAGGGTGGCCTGACCGGCCCATCTCCCGATTGATGTGAGCTCGAAGCCCAAGGCCGGGTTGGATCGACCAGCCGCACTGGTGATGGGTTCGGCGTCAACTCTCTCACACTCCCCACATCGCTTACACCCCTCGCTCTGCCGCCACTGACCCCTTCACTCAATTTGGATTTCTTTGGCGAGAGAAACATGCCGCCATTAGGTGTTTCTGGCCGGCCCGTGATGTGGGATGGGAAGTGTGTTTCTTTGGGTGAAAAGTACTCTTCGGGGGAACCGTCCAATGGAGTCGGATGGGCGTGGAGCGCCAAGGGAGAGGAGACAGCGGGTGATATTGGCGAGTGCACGCTGAGCTCGGCGATGGGCGATGGGTCTGGTAATTGTAATCTGACCGGGGGAGCTTTCACTTTCAAACTTGGCTTTTGTACGCTACACACTTGTTCATAAATATTCTGCTCGAGACACGCCCACTCCATGACTCACGACATCGCGTCCAAATCGCCTCCTCCGACATAACCTTTGATGATCTCCCACTCTTTGCCTGCTTTGACGCCTTCTCCACCCAGACCCAGAGTCGCGAGGGAATCGAGGGTGAGGGTACCACTGGTCTGTTGACGCAGCTCTTGCAGAGCCTCTGGCGAGAAGATTGTGGGCAGCGGGATCGCGGAAGGAGAAAAGTTGCGGCAGACGACAAACGCCTCTGTTTTGGGTCAGCAGCATTTCAGAGAGAAAGAGACAAGAACATACCGCCACTGCCTTGTCTACTGCTTCTGGGTTTGCGTACCCATACACCACCGCGTCGCCCTTCCAGGTCATACCCCTCAACACCTTTCCGTCTCACCCCGGGAGCAGCACCAGTTTCACCTTCTTCGTCAAATTCCCCGAACTCCCCGATAACTTCATCCGGTTGCTCCGAAGAGAGACTGGGCCCGGGGAAGAAACATCGCAGCTGGGAAGCGAGGAATTCAGCTTTGGGATCCAGAGGAGAGAGGAAGATTTTGAAGATGAGAGTCGCATGCGGGGCGAGGAGCGTGAGGGAGAGGGTGAGAGCTGCCAGCAAGAGCTGTGAATGCAGATACGCGTCGAGATCATGAACGCCGGTCACTATATAGGGTTAGTGACAACCTCTTGGAGTGACCGGATGCTGGACAGAAGAGGAACGCCGGTCGAACCAAACACTCCGAGCAGTCCCCACCTTCAGATCTCCCCCACTCCAGCATGGAAGAGAGACTCACCATCTGGCGCACCGTCACAGACCACTAGGTCTGCCTTTCTGCCACCTAAAGCATCGAGCACAAGGGGGATGGTCGAGGGGAGGGTGATATCGGTTTGTAGGATTGTGATGTTTGGCAGAGGGGCCTATTCCTTTGTCAGTACAGGATGTCTGAGTACTACTGCTTCACAGCGTGCCGCCCCATAGCTCAATTTATCGCCATGGTCACCTGCTCTCTCCCTGCTCTCCATCGCTCAGAAGAAGACAGTACCTACCATAGTCTGTAGATCCACGCTCACCACCTTTCTCCCCGCTTCCCCTTTCCCGCTCGGCTTGAGCTCATTTCCCAGCACCTGAGTCCAGCTTCCTGGTGCCGCACATAGATCCACCGCCGTCTCAACCCCTGTGAATAGGTCAAACTCTTCGGAGAGATGGAGGAGTTTGTAGGCCGATCTGGCGCGATAGCCGGCCGACTTTGCTTTGCGGTAGTAGACGTCGCGGTGGTCGATGGAGGACTTGGATGTGGGCATGGGGATGGCAGAAAGAAAGGAGAGACAAGAAGAAAGAAAGAGGAACAACAAGATGAGATAAGAAAGAGATGCGCCGGAGAGGACATTCAGTTTTCGCCGCAAGGAACCAAATCCGTTTACCATGTTTAACTGAAACAACTCGCCGATTCACCCGAGCCGGCGGGGTCCACGGCCAGTGCTCGGGGTGTACATGTGGGCAGGATAAGGGATAGGGCAGGATGGGCTATAGGTCAGGCGAAAGAGATGCATCGAGTGTACTCGGGACTATATATTCTTCTTCTCCCCCACAGACTTCTTGTCATCACCCAAATCCTCCTTGAACGCCAGCACCACATACCCAACAAGAATCAAGTTGGCAGCCACAATAGCACTGATAGCAGAGAACGTGGTTGAGCCTGCACGGTCCGGCAAAGGATAAGGAAAGAAAGGGGGTGGTCAGCGTTCAGTCTAAGGTTTTAGTGGAACCTTGGCTTGATGGACCGCAAAGTGCCAGGTCGCGTTGTGTTGCTGAGGTTCCAAGAGACTGAAGCTTACCTTCCCAAATGTAGTTTAGCGAACCAAAGTACGTTCCTATAGGAACGACTGCCATCAAAACCGCAAAAGTGATCAGCTTGCCCAAGACAGCCCTAACGTGCAGGTCAGCTTGGCCACACCCCACTATGGTCATGACTAGAGGCCTACGGATGGACAGTCTCGGGGGCTCTAGATACAGGCTTGGCGGCGGAAGCAGGTTTCGACATGGCGGGTCGAGGGGTGATAGTCGTGGGCTGCTAGTGGGTTGCCTATTGACAATGCGGTATGCGGGGACGAACCACGGGGTGGAGAGTATACTGTATAGCGTATTGCTGGGAAGCTTCAGGATATAGTGACGTGTTGGGGTCGAATCAACATGGTGTAGACTCAGTGGCAGGCCATGGAAGGAGTGGAGGCGGACATGCCCGCTCGTCATGTCCTCTGACTTTGGTTCCTCCAGGGTTCACAATTATTACCAGTGTATGTGGTTTGTACCTCCTCTCACCGTACTTGATGAATGAGACATGAAAGCATGTCAACCAAGTTCGACTCCGGGTCCAAGTACTCTATCAAACGAACGAAAGACAAGCAAAAAGAGCAAAAAGACAAAAACGACGGCACCCGGGATTCCCAGGTGGTCCCCCACCCTGGTACTAACCGAGCGCTCTCCTAGTTGACTTCGCGGATCAGACGGGACGCGGTACTTTGAGGAGGCTATGGCCGTCGATGTGGACTTGGGACGTAAAGTACACACAGCGCAAGGGGACCGGATCGATTGTCCTAGACAGAGTCGGTCTGATCACACTCCGAGATAAAATGACACTTGGTTGGGTCACGACTTATGGTTGTCGGAGCAGAAGAAATGGCTTCTGCGGTTTGGATAGACATCTGATCACTCCGCAACTGAAGATATATTTGAGACGGATCACCGGGTATTGAACGGGATCAAACGTGTAAGAGTGTGGCATAGTGTCAATTTCTTCTTCCTCTTGCACTCGCACTACATATACAATATCAGCATCCCTCAATGTCTACCTCGCCCCCGAAGACCCCCCCGCTCCACTCCGAACTCACCACCCTCTCGCCTTTACCCACCGACGTCATCTCTCTCATCTACGCCTGCTATCTCGCCCAAGACCCCCTCGCGAGTAGAAGCCAGTTCCTCAACCTCATCGTACTTTCCAAAGAGATCTATTCAGAGAACGCTTGGAGGCTGTATGAAGCTGTCGAACTCAACGCTCAGAATCACAAGGCGTTTTTCGACGGATTGTGGAACGCAGGGGACGTTCATGTATGCCAGTCTCAGTCCCCGTGTCCTCCTAACCTTCGATGCGAGGCCTCTGCCAAGGCACTCGCACGGGAAATGGAGGTATACTCTCATCCCAAGCGAGAGTTGGAACGACCATCCCACATCCCATCCGACTCTGATATCCCGTACCCGAAATACGAGTATGAATCCTACATCCCCTTCCATCTTCATCCCGCCATTCGAAAAGTCCTCCTCATACGACAATGCCGCAGGCTCTACATTGATACATGGGGGGCCTTTGCTGGACTGCGAAAGAACAATCATTCCGTCCGGGATGTTGTCACTGCGTGGCCTCGGGGACATGTCGTCCGTAATGACGAGGCCTTCGATTATACCTGGATCTCAGACCCCCTATTCTTTTCCGTCACCCATCTCTCATTCGGGGAAAAGGCCAATTGGAGTTGTCCGTCCATGCAGTACAAGTGCTTCGGGCCGGCGCTCAAGCATCTCTGTCTGAGCTTCACCGACGCATTCTACGATTTGGATCGCGAGTACGAGGAGGCAGCCGAATCAGGGAATCTAGATGAGTTTGAGGAAAGAGAGCCAAGGGCGTACATCACAACGTTGCTCCGAGAGCGACTATTCTTTGCGCTTAATTCCGAGGTGGATGAGAAGACGTCCTTGACGCTACACAACGCGTGGCCCGACGACATTGAACCTGGGCTGGCGGATACGATGATCTATGAACTGCCGAGGAGTACGGAGAATGGCGACGGTGACTGGAAAAGGCAGCTCGCTATGACGACTTGGGAGATGGAGGATTACATGTTCGAGTTGGAAAAGCGGATTAGAGATGGCAGATGGGGAGCCGATGTGTATGTGACCTACACTTTTGATGGTTCACCGCTGATTGCTTGCATAGCTGGCGACCTACGATGAAACCTTGGAATGTCCGATTCACCAATATGGCGCCCATCCCAGCCAATACCGACATCATTTCGGCCGTCCTCGATGATTATCCCTTCGGTCAAGATGAACATTTCGATGGGTTGTTCAAGAAGTGGTGGGAAGAAGTCGTCAGCTTTGAGGGATCAATGAAGTGCGACTGCTGCGAGATCTTCAAGAAGGGACACCCCAAAGTGGGCATGCTTGTGCCTCATAAGGGAAGACATGCTGATTAGGCCCACTCCTACAGATCGATGCCTACAAGTACTCGTACAACACTCGCAGGGAAAATTTCAAATCCATTCGGGAAAGAGCGGATGAAATTGTATGTCCCATGCTCATATGCTTGCCAACATCATTCTCCTGACTTTCATCCTCCCACAGTACGAAGAGTACCAGTCCCGCCACGGATGGGCGGAATCAAAGCTATACGAGGATGATTTAGCCCTATACGATGATGGGGTAGCCTTATATGATGATGAGGCAGCCCTATACGAGGAGGCTGAGGCAATCCTATTCGGTTAACCCTCGCTATAGTATTGGTGAAAACTCTTGATTTTTCCCCTGATTGTAGTATCAGAGATCAGTATAGTAAATGTCCTGTGTCCATGATCTCACACGTTCATGGCTGTACTACTCGTATGCATGACCAGTATCAGCTCGATGCTCGTAAGAGCTCGACTACTTTCTCAGCCCTCTCCCCCAGATCGACCCCGTCTTCCGCCGCCGTAGTAGCCACCCACTCCGTCTCCAACAAAATTTCCTCCAACTCTTCATCCATTTCTTCTCCATCTTCAGCTTGGGATAGGGCGAGGTATAGTTCTTCGGAGGTTATCGCGCGGATCTGGATCTTATCTCAGCTTTGTGTATAGCGGACGTGGGTAGGGGCTCACGCGAGGGAATCGATGGTTGAGATACAGAGAAAGGAGTCCGACAGCCTTTGACCGTACTAGCTTCGGCCCAGACAGGCTGGCGATCACTCTGATAGATGATAATCAGTCGAGAGCCCCATCCGAGGTCAACGAAAGACCTACAACCGCATAGCCACGCTGATCCTCTCGATACTCTTGATACTCGCTGACCCCTTTGTTGCCAAAGCCAGCACCGCGTGGACCACAGTCACCACCTCCTTTTCATCATTCGCCACCAAAGCCCAGATACCAGGAGTTGAGATGAGTTTCCAAAACGTTTGCAGCGTTGGGATGAAGACCCTGTTTCTCGTAAAGTCGGTGGAAAGGATAGACGAGAGGGTCGATAATGTTGGAACCATTGTTGCGGGGTGGGCAGTAAGATAGTCTAAGAGCGGGGCGAAAGCTGTCGATGCCTATACGTTATCTTAGTATTGTTATGAGTCTGCATTGGGAGAAAAGTCACCAGGCTTCCGACCTGACTTCCCACAGTGAGAACAAGTCCCTCCAAAACATCTCTCCTCCACTTTTCTTCGCCCAGTAATCCCACCCCACTTGCAAACCACTCTCTCTGGTCCACATATCGGAAACCCCCTTCCACCAACTTTTCCACGTTCATATCGGCCGGCGAGTGAAAAGACGAGTCGGCAAGCCAGTGCCACCCTGCTTGTCGAAGACGGGCGAGAGCAAGAGCTGCAGCTCCTCGACAGGATTCGAGCTTTTCCATAGCTTGCTTCAAGATACCCGCTAGAGCCCTATCTCTCAGCTCTTCTGTCAACAAGGAATCTTGAGGCGCCAGGGAAGAGAGGACGAGCCCGAGAGAGTTCAACGACGCTATCCGGACCCAGGACCCAACGTCACCACGTTGATCGGTAGAGTAGTCTTGAAGGCTGGTGATGAGTGCGCTGATGATCTCGTGGAAAGTATCATATTTCACTATTGCCCAATCAGCTAACCATCTCGATGCAAACAAGAAAAACCGTACCAACGACATTGCCATTCCTCCTCTGAGCCCCGATATCACCCAAACTTCTTACTGCCCACTTCCGACTCTCCACATCTACTTTCAACCTCTGGTCCTCCTTCAACAATCCCAACAGCGCTTTCACAGCCTTTTGGGTGGTGCTAGCGAGTGGTGATGTGGAGGAGGGGTACTGTATGTGCCCGAGAGAGAGGGTGGCGTATTGTCTTATAGTAGCGCGCGATGATTTCAGATCGGCCATCAATCTTTACCCTGTCAGCACCCCTCAAGCAGCGTGCAACGTGAGCTTACTTTTCGACATCCCTCGTAGACTCTCCCATCCTACTCAACACACCCCAAACTGTTGCCCCTCTCTCATGCACCCCAACCTCTCTTCTCCGCCCTGCCATATCGAGCCATTTACCCAGCTTTTCCCGTCCTTTACCTCCTTCGCCCTCCAACACTTCCGGGCTGAGGATCGTGGTGAGGAGAGAGTAGAGAGAAATCAATATGTCGGGAGCTTGGGTGGATAGGAATGTGGGTGTTCGGATGGAAGAGAGTGAGGTAAAGATCTTGTGCGAGCGGGAGTCGGAAGCTGGGAATAGGGAGGAAAGAGAGGACAGAGCAGACAGGGCGCCGTGGACGTTGATGGGATCAAGCCCCGAAAGCTCCTTTATCTGAGGTTGAAGTTAGCATTTAGTTGCAATGCGAAGAGGGACCCACTTCTCGATCCAAAGATTGGTCTAGTCTCGAGATGTCCAGCTCCACCAGGCTCTTCAATGCCTCGGCGCCAATGGTTCTCATCGCTACGTCCCAATGCCGCAGAGTGACGTTGTGCAAATGATCAATCATGTACTCTCTATACACCTTGTGTCTGCGGAACTGCATTAGCTTCACCTTTCCCGGGATATAGACGCAAAACTTACATCCCCACAGCAGGTGCCGCCACCCCGAACGCCCTTCTCCTCACACTGACTCCCCAGAAATCCATCTTACCGAGCACATCGATCCCCTCTGGATACACCCCTTGCCCCAGTCTTCCAACGCCTTCTTGGAATGCAGCACTCGCAGCCCGCCGTACACCCACCTCCCTATCAAAACAGGCTGTATTGACCAGGGCGGTTGATATCTGAGAGGAACAAGGTTGAAGGAGCGCTGGTGCGCATGTACGAGAAAGTGACCAGAGGACATAGGCCGCAGCATCACGCACATTGGTCCCAATCGAATGCGATGCCCGGCGTATATCAAACGTCAAACCCCTCAGTACCCACTCGACCGCCTCACCGACTTGTTCAGAGTGCACGAGTCCGCGCCGGGCCATCTCGCCGAGTGCGAGACAGACGCCGTGCCAGCGAGATTCACCGCGGGTGGTTTCGATACCGCCAGAGAGGGCGAATGTGCCGCCGGTATGGGGAGAGCCGCCGGGGTCGATGATGCCGCCGCATGAAGAGAAGATGGCGGGCTCGTCTTCGGTGCCGGAGAAGAGGGCGATGGTTGCTCCGACGATTTGGTCGGAGAGGTCGGGTGGGAGGAGGTTGGATAGGCGAGAGAGGTATTTGGCAGATGAATATCGGACTATCGTATCCTATTTTCATCAGCTGGGATTCACTGCTCGAGCATGGATCTTACTTTGTCCGATAGACCGCCCATAAACTCATCAAGCACCTCTTCCAAACCTTCAGGTAGATCATCCTCGTCTCCTTCTTCGCGTTTACGCCCAATCTTTGTCACCCACAGCCGTCCTTTGGCTTTCACCGCCAACTTCCTTACCAGCCCACTTTCAACGACTGTCCTTCCTCCTCTAAGATGATCAAACATCTGCGCAAGGAAGGTTTCCACTTGCTCCAGATGTCCTTGAGGAAGCATGGAGGGCAAGAGCGCGATGAGGTGAAAAAGGGACGAGACGAGATGTACTTCTTCTTCCCTATCTGATTCTTGCAGCTCTCTCAAAGCATAAGCAAAGAAGCCTTTAAGACCTTGTACTCCATCAGTACGGGAGAACAGACGGGCAAGTAGAAGAGCAGCGTATGCGCCTTCTCGTCCCGGTTTGTGTAATAGCGGTGCGGCTATGAGCGTGACCCGCTGTGCAAGATCGCTGGTCCTCGATGTGAACAGGATGGTTGCAGACGACAGATCGAGGCCGTATGGCTTGCTGTCTACGGGGTCGTCACCGTCGGAGAGTGCTGAGAGGTTGAACGGGACCGTGAGGAGGAGGGCAAACCAGAGTAGTAGCACCGAGCGGAGCTCCCAGGCAGAGGAAGATGAGAGAAGAGAGTGATGTTGGGTGGATGAGGAATGCGGGGATAGTATGGATATGATCAAGGGGAGGTTGGGGATTGATGAGGGAAAGTAGGGGACTTTTACAATTCAGGCTTGGTTCTAAAAGACTTAAAACGACTTACCGACAGCTTTCCAGCCTCTGACCTTTACAACCCAATTGACAACCCTGCCAACTCTCTCCAGTCTCTTCCCATTGACTGTTACTGTATCGTGATCTATCTGTCCGTCCAGTATCCGCAGACTTTTCTCGAGCAAAGTCATGAGCGGTGGGACGACTTCGTGCAGTGACGGATCCAGTAGACCGGGGAGGGGGAGGTAGTAGTCCAGCTACTCTTTGTCAGCTAACTCGTCGTGTGCAAGTAGGAGACAAACTATTTCACCCATCTCATCTACCAGCCCCACTTCAGCCTCCTCTTCCGACTCCCCGGACTCGTGACAAAGATCCAAGGCCAAGAAGCGGTCGAGAAGGGCGAGGAACTGGGCCCGATGGGCAAAGTGGGTGTAGGTGGGGTCGCAGTCGTCTGCCAGTGGCGCCGTGTCGTCCATTTTGATGAATTGTGCTGAAAAGAAAAGTCGGTGGTCCGAGAGAGTAAAAAAAGTGTTAACAGACCTGACGCGTCGCGTCCATGCTCGCCAACATTCCAGTATGGGATATCATATTTCATACATCTTGTCCTTCATCGACGGCCATAGCCTCCTCAAAGTACCGCGTCCCGTCTGATCCGCGAAGTCAACTAGGAGAGCGCTCGGTTAGTACCAGGGTGGGGGACCACCTGGGAATCCCGGGTGCCGTCGTTTTTTGTTCTTTTGCTTTTTGCTTCTTGCCTTTTGCTTCTTGGGCAGAGGAGCATAGAGAAACGAATAGAGGAACGATGATTCTTTACCAGCTGGTTGAGAAACTCGAGAACTCAAGTCAGTGCAGGATCTATCGGCTGGAGAAAGTTTCCCGAATGCCTCAACTTGCCACGCTGCGGCACAGATGACGGCATTCCGACGACAATTCAGACCGTCGTTTCCTCAACACAAACCATGGCCGAACAGATGCTAGTCGGTATGCATGCAGGCTTTAGAGAAAAGGGCTGGAAGAGACGGATGCATACACCCAGGGTCAGCATGCATACCTGCCAGCCACGAAGTAACTCTCCCGCGCGTTTACGTAATCTCCCAGGCTGCTGTTACCGCGCCACCCGAGCACACAATCATTCATCATTCATCCATCTCTTCTTCTTCATCTGCATCTCCACAATCTATTCATCTGTCCTCGCACTCCATACTCATCCGGAAGAGCAACCAGCCCCCCGCATGCCCACCCCACCCGCTCCCGCCAGCAGCCTCAGCGCGACGCACTAGAACCCCTTTGTTCTCACCTCCACGCCGGCAACCATGGGAGACAACCACCCCGGGCCCTCGCTCACCATGTACGCGAGCAACTTTCTCGCCAACAAACTCGGAGACCGCGGGCACGGTGTCCAGGGTAGCCAGGTATGTCCTCCCGCCCGACTGCCGATCCTCTGCCCATCATACTGAAACGCGCATCTTTATAGATCTTCCGCCCCCAAACCCCGCCTTCACCCACGCACGACCCCTTCATCCCGTCGCCTTCTATCAGCTCTTCCAACCCCCACCTTGCAGGTTCCCGCTCGCCCTCGCAATCGGGGATGAGGACTCCGCCGTTCCCCGGTCCCGGGATTGAAGGGATACCGGATATGGACAATGCCATGGGGTCGAGCAGTGTTGGTGTAGGCGTGCTGTTTGCCGGTCCTGATGATGATCATCCGCAGCCTCAAGAGAGCCTGTCGCGTAGTGCAAACGATGGAAAAGGGCGGTCAAGGATACCAAACCCTTACGAGTCGTCCTCTGAGGACAGCGACGACGACCGGGACGAAGCGGAAATGGACTTGGACCAAGTCGAAACCGTCCGACGTTCCCTCCTGCGCCCCCACCCCGAGCAACAACAGCGCCAACCGCTATCGGAACGCGCCAAGAAGGGCTGGCTAGCGCATCAGAGCGTCTTTCCGCCTTCGTCATCATCCAGCGATGACGAGAGTGATAAGGAGACTGAATCAGAGTCGGACTTTGAGGGATCGACGATCCTGGGTAGCGGGAGGAAGGGCAGGCGCCAAAGTGAAATCGACTCCAACATGTATGACACCGGGACCATGCCCGCGGCGTACAATGTACACACAAATATGGAGGAGCCGCTACTCGGGGCCGAGGACGGGGATAGACTCGATAGGGTACCTGTCAGGCTGCAAGTATACCATGGACGATTTGGCCACTGGGATAGGGAAGGCCTACGCAAGTACAAGGGTGAGTGAAGCGTCATGTCTTGAGCCAAGCTGACAAAATCAGACTCTGGTTTCCTTGCCTTCTGGTTATCATCACTATTGGGCATACTGATAGGGCTGTTGTTTGTCTGGGGATCTACAGATGTGAGTATTTTCTTTTCGTCCCAGCCACAAGCCAACTTTGCGTAGCCGCCTCCGGACGCTCCCAGTTCTGCCCCCTCCATCATCCCCCTGCTCCCGCTCCTTCTCATGCTTCTGATCCCTCCCCTAGTCCTCCCACCCGCTTTCCTTTTCTTGTTGCAAAAGACTGTCCGCCCAGTCTTGATCGCCACAGCCGGCGCCATCCCATTCTCTCTATTCATCTGCGGCTGGTGGGCTATCGGTGCGAGTTTTGAAACCCAAGGCTTGGACGGCAAGGAAAAGAGCGAGCAGTGGTGGGGCACGACTGCTCTGCGGATTGGAGCGGTGTTGCTGTGGGCATTGGCAGCATGGTTTGGAAGATTGATGTGGCTCAGAAGACGGAGACTCGATCGAACGGCATCCGTCGTCGAGCTGTCTACCAAACTCCTCCTGAACCACCCCCCGCTCTTGATCCTCACACCCCTCCTTCTGGGCGTGTTTGCGATCGCTTCCATCCCTTTCCTCACCCTCCTGATCCGTCTCGGAATGATTGGCTACTGGCGCCACCCACGCGAAAACACCTGGGTCTTTCACATTCGCCCATACGCCGGGTGGCTCATCTTTTTGGTCACGTTGATCTGGGTGTGGACATGGGGTGTGATCCGTGGTGTAGGAAGAGTGGCTGTGGCAGGTGTCATTGGAGAGTGGTATTTCCACCGCGAAGACCATCGTCGACAAGATATCATTCAAGTCACCACCGCGGCCGTACACCGCGCCACCGGTACATCCCTGGGATCTATCTGTCTCGGTGCTGGTATCATTGCAGTGGTCCGTACCGTCGGCAGCGCCGCCGCCTCCCTCAAGCAATTTACCTCTCCCCGAAACCCCAAACTCCCCTCCTTCCTCACCTTCCTCCACCACCTATCCCCCGTCCTGACTGTAATCGCCGGCGTCCTCGACCAGCTCAACGGCTACGCTCTAGTATACGTCGGCATCACCGGCGACGCCTTCTGGCCTTCCGCCCGACGTTCCGTCTCTCTCGCAGGAAGACGCAAAGCCGGGCATCTACTGGATTATACACTCATCAAGCTGCTGTTGACGCTGAGCAGCACGGCGATGGGGTTGATGACGGCGACGGCTGGGTATTTGTACATGACGCATACGTTGGGGAACCCGGGGTATGCGCCGGTGGCGGGGTTGGTTTGTGGGGGGGTACCGTTTTTGGCGGTAAGGGCTGGGGCGGGCGTCTTGACTGATGCGTGAGTGCTTGAAGAAAGGAATGGGGACATGGCTAATCTTTTGACTAGGGCGGATGCGTTGTTTGTTTGTTATCAGATTGACAGAGAGCTTGGAGGACAGCATAGTGAAGAGGCGAAGGGTGCTGTGAGTATCCCCCGTCTATCTGAGTGTAGACGCTGACAGCGATGACAGTTTGTTGGAGAAACCCCTAGCGGTGCCAACGCCGTGTAATTGATCCAATGTATTTTTTCAGATAGAAATCTCTTATCCATACTCTAGTTGTCTTCCTCATACATGTCTTTTTCTCCTCTTGTATAGAAATGCGTCCTTCCTTTTCCTTTAGGTGTGGAGTAGATGACCAATCTTTTTGCAGAAAAGAGTTTTGTGAAATGTTATCAAGGTTGTGTTGTAATTCAAGACTGATATATCTAACCCTTATGTGACTTGTGCGCACTTGCAAAGTGAATGGATCAAATGTCCTTACGGTGCATAAGTCGTATAAAACATGCGTACTGGATTTCGTGAATGTCTGGGGATATGTGTACGAGAAGAAATCTATTCTATATAGAAGACTTTTCCCGAATTGTTCGTGAAAAAAAAATATAGCGGTCTTACTCCGTCGAGGAGATGAGCAACATTTGGTAATAAGATAGTTGGAGAGCTACACTAAAGAACAGGCGTATGGGAACATGAAAAAAGAGACTAGAAAAAGATTGGTATAAGTACACTCCGGGCGGACGATTCATGTACTGTCAGCCCCGAGAGGCGTCTAGTACTGCTGTCCATACCCATACTGCTGCTGAGCATACTGCCCCTGCTGAGCCTGGCCATTGGCATACGGGGCGTTGCCATAGTATTGATTCCCGTTGTATCCCCCCACCAACGATCCTCCACCACCCCTGAACGCCGACTGGGCATCGTCCTCATAGTACTCGGCACTGGGCGCGAGGAGGGGGTCCTTGACTTCCCAAACGGCCTGCTTGGAGCCGACGGAGAATTCGAGGTCTTCCTTGGTGATGGAGTCCCAGTACTTGTAGACCATCATGACGGTGAAGAGCATGGCGAGGGTGAAGAAGAAGACGCCGTCGATGTAGTGGGAGATGGCGTCGCAGATGGTGACGGAGAAGGCGATGAGGACGAGGATACCGGCGACGTAGAAGCCGGCCATGAAGAGCAAGTCTCCGATGACCCATCGGTCGTCGAGCGTGCGGACGACGAGAAGCATCTGACTGACAAAGTAGACGAGGATGCAGATCAGGGGGAAGACGAGGTAGGTGATGAATAGGCCGACGGCGTTGGTGGGCGAGAAGGAGGAGGAGGTGCCCTTGAAGGTGGCAATGGCGATACCAAAGCAGACACCGCCGACGACGAGGGAGGATATACGGAGGAACTGGGACAGGGTTAGCGGGTGTGCATGAGGGGGAGTATTGGACTTGCCCATAGAGACATGGGAGTACCGTCCTCGTGGAACTGGAAACCGACGAAACCGTTCAGAATCAGACACCAATGCAAGGCGGCGACACAGCCCGCATATATCGCCGCAAACCACTTTATGCAAGTCAGCCCCGTCCGCCACCGGATAGCATATGACTCACCGGATACACCTTGTTGGCGGTAGGGATGATGCCGGAATCAAGGAAAATGGCGAAAAGTTCGACAAACATGTACATGTAGAAGAAGAGGACGATCTCTTTTCGACCGACGGCGGTGTATTTTGAGCGGACGTGGTAGAGCATGATGCCGGTCATGATGAGGGCAGCGATGTGCACTATACAGGTGGCTGGAGGAGGTCGTCAGTGGTGGCTAGAGTCGTCTCGACGCGCTTCGACAGACCTGGCTGGAAGATGATCTGCTTTCCCAACTGGACGTTCCTCGCATAGCACGTCGGGGCTATCCCCTGCTCGTCGCCCAGCATGGGGCAGATGACGAGGGCGGCATGCTCGCATATATAGTCGAATTTCCCAAAGCTGAATTTGGCAGCGTCCGACATGGTAGTGAGGGCGAAAAGGGGTGTTTCTGGACGGATTCGCGCGTTTCTTGGACGAGGACGGTCGTGGGAGGGGCGTGGAGGCGGCGGCGGGGGCGACGGGGGGCGCTGGGGGGCGGGTGGAGGGCGGCGGGGGATGCAAGAGAATGGGAAGAAAACGTCAAAAAGGGCAACAAGGGAAGGGAACGAGGGTGTTTGTATTTACGCAATCTAACACTTGATTCCGTAATTAACCACGCCGCGTCACTGTCATTTATGACCTCTATCATTTCAGTTTCTTTATTTCTATCCTATACAGCATGGCAGACGACAGCGTGCCCCTCCCCTACCCCAACCTCAACGTCCACGAGTGGCACTTCCAGCTCCAGCACGTCGAGAGCAGGCGCGCAGAGGTCGAGCCCAAGTTCTGGGCGGCCGTCGAGAAGGATGGTGAGTTGCGGCGTGTCTGGGTCGAGAAAGCGCGCTGATTGGTATCAGAAATGGCGCCCTATCTCAAGTCGCTGGGGTCAGACAAGGCAGAGCTGATTGCCAAGCTGGAAGAGGCCAACAAGAAGGTCATCGAGGACTATGACAAGAAGATCAAGGAAGCCGAGGAGAATGAGGGGGAGAGCGAGGTCGCAGAAGGGCTGAGGGGCAAGGCGATGTACTATGTCAGGATAGGAGACAAGGTGGGTTCTATTGCTCGAGTCGCAGGTCTGCAGCTGTATCGAGTGGCGCTGACATCTACTCCAGGACGCCGCCCTGCCAGCACTCGAAACAGCGCTCGAAAAGACGGCCGGCGTCGGTGCCCGCATCGACCTTGTCCTCGCCATCGTCCGCATCGGCCTCTTCTTCTCCGACATCCCCCTCGTCACCTCCAACATCACCCGCGCAACCGAACTCATCGACGCCGGCGGAGACTGGGACCGCCGCAACAGGCTTAAAGTCTACCGCGCCCTGCGCCACTTGATCATTCGCGAGTTCACAGAAGCGGCCGAGCTGCTGATCGATTCCTTGTCGACGTTTACCGCGACAGAGTTGATGGAGTATGAACAGTTTGTGGGGTTGACCGTCCTTGCGGCAGGTGTGGGCTGTGATAGGAAGAGTATCAAGAACAAGATTCTCGCTTCCCCCGAAGTCACCTCTGTCACTGAACAGATCCCCTCCCTCCTCTCCATGACCCAATCCCTCCACAAATGCTCCTACGCCCCCTTCTTTGTCGCCCTCGCCGAGGTCGAATCCACCCACCTCCTCCCTTCCCCTTACCTCGCCCCCCACGCTTCCTACTATGTCCGCGAAATGCGCATCAAAGCCTACGCCCAGCTTTTGGAAAGCTACAGAAGCTTGACGGTCGAGAGGTTCTGTAGAGAGTTTGGCGTTGGGGAGGCGTGGATGGACAAGGACTTGTCGAGGTTTATTGCCGGTGGCAGGTTGGCTTGTAGGATCGACAAGGTCAGCGGGGTCATCACCACCAACAAGTCGGGGCAGAACAAGGGAGCGGTTTATGAGCAGGTGTTGAAGCAGGGCGATCAGCTGTTGAGTGGCAAGTCGCATCTTGTCAACAGTGGGGTCATTGCTAACACCTTTTGCAGATATTCAAAAACTCCACAGGGTCGTTGGTTAAGCAGTCTCCAATGCAACAATTGTAATCAGTCGTGTATCTCTTCAGAAGATCCAGAACACAATTCATATCTTCACAGTCAGATTAGGTCTCTTTCGCAAAACAACTAGGTATTCTTTTCCAAACAGGTATACTTCTCCTTCGCCCAACTACTATTCTCATTTTACTATTCTGTTTTTATGACAACAAGACGTTCAAAGTCTTTTGGAAATCAAATCCGTTCGCTTCCAATCCTGCAATCACCAGATCCCTAGAGAAACCCATCGCACACAGCTGCAACATGATCGTTAGCTTGGCAGAACGAAAAAGAGGGTCAACGCACCTTCTTTACATCCTCGATATCATCCGCTTGAGCTCCACTGGGCCTTCGTTCGGGCATAGCGGGAGGTCGGAGGGCAGGTTCGTCCTTCTGGGGCGGAGGGGGTCCGGCAGGAGGAGCGTATTGCTGAGTAGATTGACTGGCATCCTGTCAGCGCGAACCTTCACTAGAATATGAACTTACGCAGGCTCAAAGTCGCCTCCAAAAGCATCATCGAACTGTGACGATCCTTGGGTAGCGGCAACAGGAGATTCTGTCGCAGGACCCTTCTTTGACCCAAATCCCCATTCATCATACAAACCAGACGATCCGCCAGCTGCAGGAGCTTGCTGGGCGGCAGAGGGCTGAGACTGACCAGCAAAAGCAGCAGAAGGCTGATTGGGCGAAACCATCTCGTAAGACTTGTTGCCACTGGACAGATCAGAGGCGTTGCCGTTGCCGCCAGCACCAGACTCGTCGTTAAACTCTTCATCAAATGAAGCAAACTCGTCGTCGAATCCACCCCCCTGGGTGGTTGTCTGGGCCTGACCAGCAGCACTGGAAGGCGCAAAGCCAGCAGTAGATGATGTCTGGTCGACCTGGGCAGGAGGGAGGTCGGAGAAATCAAACTCGTCTTCGTCAAATGACGCCGTTTGGGGCTGTTTCTGTTCGGGACGGGGAGCTTGGGCAGTGGCCACGTTACCGAATGCAGCACTAGATGAGACGGCAGTGGGAGCACCGAAGGGGTCAAACTGCTCCCCGACATCAGGTCCGCCAGCCGACGCCACGACTGGCGCAGGAGAGACAGCCTTGGTAGGTGGGGGAGGCGCACTTCGGCGGATCTTTTGTTCTTGCTCTTCGCTAGCACTGGCACCGAACGGATCGAGAGACGGCGCGAGGGCGGGGGCGAGCGCAGCCCCAGAACGAGGCTCAGAGACAGGCTCTACCGAAGTGACTTCGGGCTGAGCGGCTCCAGGCTCTTCGCTCGCAAACGCCTCTTCCTTGGCCTTGCCATACTCTCTCTTGGGACCCTCGATATCTTCAGGCTCTTCCTCTTCATCAGAAGAGTCGGCGGCTTCCCTCGCATCCACATAATGCTCCGACACCTCGGCTCGAGGCGTGTCGGGCTCTTCAGGCTGGACTTCACGCGTCAACGCACTTCCGACACCCGCGGCGCCCAGTCCCGCAACACCGGCAGCCGTACCAACACCAGCCAAGCCAGGGGTGCTGGCCTCGCTGTTGTTGAAAGAGTCTTGGCTCCCAGCGTGGTAAGCACCGGGGACACTGCTACCAGGAGTGTACGGTGTACTCGGCTCGCTGTCCGAGGCCACAGCCTGAGTAGACAACGATCGTTCGGGTTCAGGTCGATCGTCGAGTTGGGGGATGTGAGACTTGGGCAGTCCGGCGGGGATACCGCCCTGAGGCGGCGAAAAAGGCTCTTCTTTGAGCGTAGCCTGCTCTTCGGTGGCCTCGGCAGGGCTGTCAAAGTCGGCGAAAGCACTGTCAAAGTCTGCTGGAGCTTTGCTCTGCTCTGTCGCAGCCGCACGCGCTTCTTGGGCTGGGGCAGCACCGAACGAATCACCAAACCCATCATCCGCACCAAACCCGTTGGGAGCATCGGCTCCAGTAACGGTAGGCGCACCGAAGGGATCTGTGCCAAAGCCTCCCTGGCCTTGAGAGGGAGTAGCAGGAGCACCAAAGGGATCGACATCCTCGTGGGCGGGGATGGCAGTGACTGGACCGCTCGTGGGGACTCCGAAGGGATCCTGTTCGGCCTCCTCATTGGCCTTGGCCTTGTCGGCCGCATCTTCAGCGTCCCTCGCTTGAGGAGCGGGCTCATTAGAAGCCTCCGGGGCAGGCGTGGGCACAGAAGACGTGCCAGTCTGGGAAGTTTGCTCCGGCTCATCCGTCAACGCGCTCCTGGCAGTTTCGTACGCACCGCCAACGCCCGCAGCTACGACGCCGGCAGCAGCTGTAGCAGCGGCACCAACACCAAAAAGCGCAGCATTGCCCAAGCCCTGCTCGTCCGCACTGGGCGAGGCAGATGCGGGAGACTGGATGAATCTGTCGAATGGGTTGTTGGAACGTCCGGTAGCTGTAGGAGAGAGAGCTTGGGGAGTGCCGGGGACGGGTACAGCAGACGCTGTGGCGAGCCTATCGGGCGAGAAGGCGCCTTCGGGCGCTGACCTGGCAGTAGTTTGGGACACATTGTGCTGCTCAATGACCGCCTTGTCATTTTCAATCTCATCCTCAACCCCCCTGATCTCTTTCTGCACTCCATCCTTCTTCTCTTCAGCAGTCTGCAATTGCTTCTTTGCAATCGTCACCATCCCCTTTTGCTGCCTCGCTTCCTTTCTCAGCCTCTCGAGCACCATGCCCAATCCAGCTTTCTCCTCTTCAACCTCCTTCATCTGCCTTTGAAGGCCACGCACTTCTTCCTTGTCATGAAGAAGCGCCTGCTCGAGCTCAGTCTTTTCGGACTGGAGGGCAGAGACGTCAGAAGAGAACGTGATAAGGTCGGTGTTGAGTTGCTTGACCTTGGCTTGCTGCTCGCCGACCCGGATCCTCAAATCGGCCACCGCGCGCAGCTCTTGCTGGTGCTTTTCCCTCGCACCGGCAAGTTTCTGTTCAAGCTCTTGGAGCTGAGATTTCGAAGACTGGTCGTGCCCCTCCAACTCGGCGCGCTGGTTGGACAGATCAGTCAACCCGCGAGTAGTCTGCTGCAACTGATTCTGCTTGTTTCCATACTCGGCAGAGTGGTCGGGCACAGGCGTGCTGGAAGTGTCTCCACCTTCGTCGCCCATCAAATCTCCACCTCGCTTGGGAGGACTCGAAGCAAAGGTGGTGGCAAAGCTGGAAGGCGCAGGGGTAGACGATTGACCAGTAGCTGCAGGTGAGAGAGCTTTGGTAGAGGATTGTGAAGTCTGTCGACGAGCGGGCGGTGCGGGAGGCTGGCCGAGAAAGGAGGTGGAGAATGGTTGGGCAGAAGACTGGGAGGGGGTTCGGGCGGGGAGAGCGGGAGGTTTCGATTGGCCTGTGGGCGCCGGGCTCAGAGACTTGGCAGCGGGGGCGGCAGGGGCAGCGGCGGGAGCGGCAGTAGTCGGGGGAGGAGGATCATCCGCAAAGAGATCAAAGAGATCTTTCGTTGCGCTGCTGGGCTGTGCCAAGACCTCTTGCTTACCTGGCCCAAAGTTTTCCCTCAAGGAAGGAGGGATAAGGCTCAAGGGAAGGGTAGCAGGGACTTCTTGACCAGCAAGCTTGGCGTTGATCAAGTGCATGGCGACGGCAAACTCGTCACGAGTAAGCTTGCCTTCTTTCCGGATATCGGCAAGATCCCTGTTTGATTGTTAGTGATGTCTGGGATTAAGAGAAGAACGCACCAGATGCTAGCCAAAGTACCTTCGTCAAGCTGACTCTGAATCATAAATGGCACAGCCACATCACCCTCAATCACGCCCTTGTTCTGCGTATCAAGCTGCGAGAAGAACTGGTCGCTGGTCGCTTTAGCCTGAGGCGTTACATCCCATGGCTGGCTCGCTCCGCTGGCTTGACGAGCAGGGCTGAAAGTTGACCCAGTCATCTGCCTTTGTGGGGCTCGCGCACTTCCGCCGGTGCCCTGCTGCTGGAGAGGGGCGATGCCCTGCTGCTGGAGAGGGGCGATGCCCCCCGTATACTGAGGTCGGACAGGGCTGGCGGTGTTGCCGCGGAGAGGACTGACAGGGGCGACAGGCGGTGCCGAGCGGCCTCCGGAAGCGGCCTCGTATGCGCCTGGGGGCAGTGTGAGTGGAAGGTCGAGGCTGGGGTTGACCATGGCGGATTGGATGAGGTGCATGCCGATGATCCAGTCGGTGAGGTCAAGAGAACCGCGGTTCTGGGTATCGGCGAGGTTCCTGCGGGGTGTCAGCGCGCTACGTTGAGTATAGCAAAGACTTGCCAGATCTTGCCCAGCTTCTCATAGCTCAGTCCACTCTTCACAAACATGTCTCTTGCCTTGTCTCCCGATAACAGCCCGTTCGCAGGCCCTGCTCCGGCAAACAGTCGAGTAAACTTGGCTCGGTCAGCGGGCGAGATTGGGGGAAACCCTCCGCCGGTCACATTGGCGGACAGCGGCTGGCCAGTGGTCTGGCCCTGGAGAGGTGGTTGGGCGGAAGGCTTGGGGCCGGTGGGGAAGGTTGGCAGTGGCCCGGCTGCGGCATTGTCAGTCATGTCCGAGCTGGAGCTCTCTCGCGCGCACCCTTAGACAGCAGGTCCTCGTCGACCGACTTGGCGGCGCCGTTCTGGAGCCATCCGATGAGCCTGGCGGCCCTGTACCAGCCGTCCTTGGTGAGGAAGCCGTTGTTGTCGGGGTCGGAGAGGGCCCATATCTCGCCGAGGGTGTTTGTGGGGAGGGCGGAGGAGGTGAGGAAGGGGTAGACGTCCTGGCCGGGGAGGACCGAGGTGCCCTCCTTGTCGAGGAATGCAAAGAGGGCGTCGTAGTAGGCCCGCTCGTGGGGGGCATAGGTGGCCATGGCGGAGAGAATAAAGAGATGCAGATGAAAGAGGACATGGATTACTGCGACGTCACCGCAGGGGCGGGCGGACATCGCCGATAGGCTCAAGAGTTGAACAAGAGTACGAGTACCGTGAAGCAATGCATCTCTAGACATATTCAATGCACGCCTACTTCATCCCCCTACTGGCTAAAGTTCATACTATAACCCCCGCCAGGCTGCTCCTCAAACTTGAAATTGTCTGTCGTTAACCCAAAGTTGCCCAACAGGGAATTACCCAGGCTCTTGAGTTTCCCCATCATCTCGTCATACTGCTCTTTCTCCTGCTTTTGGATCTTTGGCGGGAGAGTAACGAGTGATCGGCGTATGGAGGGGAGTAGAGGAGAGGATGGGGGCAATAGCGTTAGGAGGAGGGTATAGTCTGTCTTATTGTCAGTCTCTTTGAGCTCGGGAGATACAAAGTTACAATTACCTTCTTTAGCGGAAGATAGCGCAGTGAGCGAGCCAATACGCTCGTTGGATGTTGCTCTGCGGTGAAGACCTTTAGTGTAATTCGGGTCAATCTTGATGGCTTCGGTACAGGCTTTGACGGCTTTCTCGTCTTGTTTCTGACAGATGTATGAGCTCTGGCTACAGATACGTGGAGAGTCTCCCCAGTCCGGGCGACTTTTGAAGATGGAGAAACGCACCAGAGCAATGAAACAAGCCGCCAGATTGCCATTACAAGCCTTTGTACATTCCTTGATTTCATTTTCCACCTTTTCTCTCTCCTTCTCTTCCTCAGGTCGATCATCTTCCTCCTGTCTAGGCGCTCCTTCGTCTTCTTGCTTCGAGATGAGTATGGCTTCCTCCTCTGAGATCTCCTGCAGACCGCTTGAAGCTGGAACAGCAGGAGGTGCCTCCTTCTCTTTTTCCTCCTTCTCCTTACCCTCCTTGGTCTTCTTGATTCTTTCCCCCGTGTCTTCATCTTCGACCTCGGAATCTTCCTCCTCTTTAGATGGGAACAGGGGGAGGTGTTCAATGGCCCGCTGATATGCCTGGACGGCCTCTTCATATTTCGGCGGTTTACTCGTATAGAGGCTGTTTCCCTCCAATTTCAGCTGCGTTGCCCGGGACAACAGCTCCTATGTTTTCCATCAGCTTGACCAGCTCCAAGTACACCTAGTGACATACTCTGAGCTCATCGATAGTGAACATTGCTTCCTCCGGATTGATGCCCAACACCTCATCGCCCGCGTGCAGGTCAAAGCTCGATTGGGCATCTTCAAAATCATCATCCTCATCCCCATCACTTTCATCATCACTCAGATCAAGTTTCGAAACACCATTGGGGGCTTTACCAGAGGGATCTGTCCCCCATTGGAAAGACTGCGTTTTGGCCCAAGCTGGGGGCTGGAACTTTTCGGGGTCAAAGTTGGGGATGGAATCGAGGGTGGGTTCGGGGGGAAAGGCTGGTGATTGGATAGGCATTGTGTGATGGGCAGAAAGAAGATTCGAGGGGAGATTCGTCTTTATATGAGAGGGAAGAGGGCGGAAAATGAGCGGAAATGACCATCTCTACCCTCTGACGCACCCTTGCCACAATCGGACAGACTGTTTACTGATCGTATCCGCGGCAATCTTGGTGACGTGGCAATCTGCTAAACACTTATCTTTCTTTTCCATTGCATCTCGTTTATCATTTCCCATCTCATCCACACCCTTCGTCTCAATGGCCGATGGCATGCCCCGCGATATCCCCTCCGCTACTGTCCGCCTTATAGCTTCGGTTCCCCTTCTCCCTGTCACGTACGATCAACCATACAGGTCAGGTGTCAGCGAAACATCAGCTAGTAATCGAAACGCGTACTTGGCGCCTTTTCGACATGCGTTCTTTCAACAAGAGCCCCTCCTGCTCCACGAGATATTTCACCACAACATGTATCCGTTCCCAGATGCCGATCTGGATCAGTCCATCACAGACGCTGTGACCTCTCGTATCAGTACCGATGGCGCAGAGAGCGATCACCACAATCTACAGGCTGAGATCGGCCTGCAGAGCCTGATTGTCGGTTTCCCGGCCAAAATATGCCAGTTACTGGCACGGGGGTCGTCCGAACCTCAATTGCGCTCGCGTTCGTGGCGCGGAGACATTCGCACCGACATCATCCTACAAACCAACTTGACTCCGAACACAACGATCGTTGGCATCGAGGTAAAAACCAGCCCGGAGCTGTCGGTGGAAGAGATGAAGATGGTCGTTGAAGCAGTCCGTCGCCGTTTGGTGTCGGTAGGGCATGACGGGATCGGTAACCTGATCGTGAACACAGATTGGGACCGTATGCCGGAAGAGTACCCGCGCACTGGGCGGAACCACCGAGATCACCAAAAGCGGGTTTGCTCTATCCTCAGCCAGGTACGTGGATCTAGGGACACCTGCGCTTCGTGTTGACATGTCGCCCCAGGTTCTGTGTTATCTCGTCAAGCACCGTTGCAACCACGGCGTCATTACGAATTATGATGCGTGGATTGCCCTTCGCGTAGCCGGAACGCGCGACAATCCCATCCTACAGGTCTCGGATATACTCTACAAAGAGGATCGACCGACGGAAGACTCCCCTTGGTCCTCTCCGTTGGGATTACTTCTATGCTATCACTTCCTCCGAGACCCAGGGGTGATTGTTCTACCCGACGTGTCCACGACGAAAACAGCCGCCAGACAAGGGGCCTCACGAGGACGCGGCACAAGCGGTCCTGCCAAGATTCGATCGTCACAGCATCCTACCCCTCAATCAGAGGCCGGGCTTCTCAGCAACCGAATCGGCGGATCCTTCAAACGGAACGCCCATCATGATGGGACCTGCTCAACTGCCAGTGCTGGCTATAGTCACGGGTCGCAACAATCACCTGCGCGGAATATGGTGCGCGTTCAGGTGAAGCTGATACCTCAACCGTACGTTGACGACGGTACAGGTCACCCCACCGCTCATTCACTCGTCGACCGGCACTGATTCCAGTCCAGTGAGTCTTCTCTATCCTTTCTGTAGGTTTTGACTGACATCACCTTAGGAACAACCATCTCCAAACGACATTCCCTTCACACGTCCTTTCCAAATTGAGGGCTTAGGAGTAAGTTTGTCTCACTATATATCGGTTGTTGCAAGCACAGATACTGATGTAACGGATAGAGGCAGGACGAACGTGCAGGGGTCAGCCTCGTTCTCGACTTTGATCGCGTACGACTGTCGCAAGCCGTCGCCGGCGAGTGCCGTTTCCTTCATTTCATGCCGAGCCCGAGTCTTCCCTTTCTAAGGCTAGATCGACACGATGAAGCCGGATATCTCCGTCATTCTCAGTCTAACAAGTATCCCTCTGACGACACGATTCTCTCCGCTGCTATCGAGCACGATCCTCCCACATCCGGCTTTGACGTCAGCGACGGCCTTTCGCATGACGGTGACGGATACTCGCCTGCGTCTCATACGGGCATCTGCTGGACCACGACAATAACCTTGGAGGAGCCGTTGGACTCTGGGGCTGTATGGGACGTTTACTACCCTTCGTCTCCTCTCCAGACATGCGTCGTCAAAGTCTCGGCGCCGGAAGCCTTTCCGGATGACTCTGATGAGCCAGCGTATGGCTGTATAACCCGTGCAGAGGCACTGGATTCGATCTTGAGGGAGTTGATGGTTTACAACACGAAGCTCCTCGATCTACAGGGCACAGTAGTCCCTAGACTGTGGGGGATGTGGAAAGGCAGCCAATCCAACCCCGACGGCGGCACGATTGACCTGTACATCTCTGTGATGAGCAACCCAGGCTGCATGCTGGACTGCAACGAATCGGACTATAACGGGGAGTCTGACTGCAACGAATGGGAATATAACGGGGAGTCTGACTGGAGTGTAGAAGAAAAGTGAGTGCTGAAGATTTCCACAACATGTCGCGGTGATCGTTTGGACCCGGCTGATCATTTTCAGAATGGTCATAGTGGCACAGTATACACGGCTGCATAACGCCGGTGTGCTCCACGGTGATGTCTCGCCTAGACATTGGATCAGAGGCGCTGGTGTCCCATCGCCAACAGACTCGACCTCACTGCCGACACCCTCCATTTTCCTCATTGACTTTGGATTCAGCGTGACTATCGATATGCTTGGGAAAGATGCATGGGAGCAGGAGACGAGGGAGGAAATGAAGCGGGTTAGGAGTTTCCTTCACATTTGAGCGATGCGTGTGGTGGTAGTCTACGTTTCGAGGGTGAGAAAAAGATTGACCTTATGTATATTAACGACTATGACGATGACCGCAACGCCTGTAATGATCAAAGGCAACTGTCGATGTTCATGATGTGAAGTTGAACGATGATGATGATGATGACGTGGCATTCTGTGCGGCATACCCCGCACTTCCCCACACCGCCCCGACCATTCCCACTTCGGATGTAGTTCGCTGCATTTCTATCTCATCTTCCATCTGCATCTCCATCTTCTCAACAAAATAAATGGCCACCACACGCCCCGCTACCTCCCCCGACCCCAACGAGGCCAACAAGAAGCAGAAGACCGTCGAGGTCAAGAGTGAGTAGTCTCCTTCTGGTCGTCAAGTGGATTCAGCTGATAAGTACAAAAGAGAAGGTCTGTTTGATGTGAGTCATGCTTTGGCCTGGAGAGCGTGAAAGAGGTAGAGGGTGAGGTGAAATGGTGGCAGAGACGACCCTCAAAAGCAACCCCGACTAATCTTTCTCCGCAGCGTTCACGATGGCTGGGGTCTCTCCGACAACGAAAAGGGCAATGCCATCCACCACGGTGACACTACCAACATGGATCACATCCGAGACAAGCACAACTTTGTCCCCCTCGAGGCTCACGGTCTCGCCGTCGGCCTCAAGGAGGGTTTGATGGGTAACAGTGAGGTTGGGCACTTGAACATTGGTGCCGGTAGGATTGTCTGGCAGGACATTGTCAAGATTGACCAGTGTGAGTCTTTGTCTTTGTCAAAGGAGATCGGGCGGCGCGGAGCTCGAAGAACGTGCCTCGGGATGAGTCGGAAGGCGGCCAGCCAATCTTCTTACTCTGCAAATTCGGCCGACTGCATACTGATACTTCCATGTAGCGATCAAGAAGGACGAGTTTGCCAAGCAGCCCGCCATCGTCGAGTCTCTCAAGCACGCCAAGGAGAATAACGGCCGTCTCCACCTTCTCGGTCTCGTCTCTGACGGTGGTGTCCACTCCCACATCCAGCACCTCTTTGCCCTCCTCCGAGCCGCCAAGGCCGCCGAGGTCCCCCACGTCTACATTCACTTCTTCGGTGATGGCCGAGACACTGCCCCTAGGTCTGCTAGCAAGTACGCCCAGCAGCTTCTCGACTACATCAAGGAGATTGGTATTGGAGAGATCTCTACTGTCGTCGGTAGGTACTATGCCATGGACCGAGACAAGAGGTGGGACCGAGTCAAGATTGCCGTGGACGGTTTGCTTAAGGGCGAGGGCGACAAGACCACTCAGGACAAGCTTGTAGAGACCATCGAGGAAGGTTACAAGAAGGATGTGACCGACGAGTTCATCAAGCCCATCATTTCCGGTTCCGAGGACTCTCGTATCCAGAGTGAGTACAGCGCCCTATCGCAATGCAAGATACTGACAAGTTTGCAGAGGGCGATACCATCTTTACCTTCAACTACCGATCTGACCGTATGCGTGAACTCGCTTCCGTTCTTGGTCTCCCCGACAAGCCCATGGACGTCACCGTCCCCGAGGACCTCCACATCACCACCATGTCTCGTTACAATGCCGAATTCCCCTTCAAGATTGCCTTCCCCCCCCAGGGCATGACCAACGTTCTCGCCGAATGGCTCGGCAAGCAGGGTGTCAAGCAATGCCACATTGCCGAGACTGAAAAGTACGCCCACGTCACCTTTTTCTTCAACGGTGGTGTCGAGAAGCAATTCGAGAACGAGGAGCGAGAGATGGTCCCCTCTCCCAAGGTTGCCACCTACGACAAGCAGCCCGAGATGTCTGCCCAGGGTGTCGCCGACAAGGTTTCCGAGATTGTCAAGTCTGACAAGTTTGAATTCGTCATGTGCAACTTTGCTCCCCCCGACATGGTTGGCCACACTGGTGACTACGAAGCTGCCGTCAAGGCTATCACTGCCACCGACAAGGCTGTCAAGACGGTCTACGACGCTTGTGAAGAGGCTGGTTATGTGCTTTGTATCACTGCCGACCACGGTAACGCCGAGCAAATGCTTGACCCCAACACTGGTAACCCCCACACCGCCCACACCACTAGTGAGTCGGATCAGATTATCTCGGCCTGTACTGATATGATATAGACCCCGTTCCTTTCATTGTCACTGGTGACAAGGGTGGCCTCGAGGTTGCTGGCGAGCCCGGAGCGCTTGCCGATGTCGCCCCTACCGTCCTCGACATCCTCGGTCTGCCCCAGCCTGAAGGTTCGTTGTCTTACCTCTCTGATGATGCCGTTTGCTAACAATGAGGTTCCAGAGATGAGCGGTCGATCTCTCCTTGCCAAGAAATAAGGGCAAAATGTAGAAGAGTAGAATTTGGTGATTTTGGGGTGTGCATGGCTGTAGTGCATCAAATAGAGAACAATGTCAGATCTGGATATTCAACCACAAACTTGTGCTGTATGGGAAATATATACATCGAGTCTGTAATGGCCCCTTGGGTAAACTCAAATATAGGGGTATCATCGGTCTTCTACTACCTGTTACACAAGGATCACCATATATCCCCCCTCCTGCTGTGGTGTCCGAGATGACTAGCACTACCCATGCTCCTTCTCCTCTTCTTCTTCTTCTCTTGATCGTCAGGGTCGTTATCCTGGTAATCGCCATCACAATACATAGCAAGTGTGTGACCCGTGTCATCTTCGGTCACCCACGGGTCAGAATCTTGAATGGTGACGCTTGCCAGATTGGAATGGTCACCGGTATTGAAGGTGACCAAACACTGTTCAAGTAAGATGAGCATAGCACTTTCAGGTATGGGGACGGAACGCACAGTGATGTTTCGATTCGCAGAGCTTCCTTCAACATCAAGGCCATACTTTCCATCGCTCGTTGTCGTCCACGAAGTAAAGCTCCAAACGCTTGAATACGCCTGATTATCGGTCAAACGGATCGAATAATCGGACGAATCTTCGCCTTCATCGGGGCTGATAGCCAGGCCAACTTCCGAGTTGCCATCCTGGATTGCATCATCAGCAGCCATCCGGTAGCGAATCACTGGGCCTGTCGGATGTACTTACAAAGATCATCACATTGCCTTTCATATAGTAAGTCAGGGTTCCATACTTGCCAGGATTGGTTGGTGTTGAAGCATCGGCGGCGGTCGTCGCATTGCCGGTGGTTGTTGCATTGGCACTGCCACTGCTTGCCGCTCCACTGGCGGTTGTACTCCCAGAACTAACAGGAAGCTCGCTAGATGAAGTCGCCATTGCCGCTTCACCAGTCTCTCCCGCTCCGCTTGCCAATGATGTCGACGACGCCTCTCCGGCACCACTTGTAACGCTACCTGAGCTGTCGGCAGCTCCGGATTCGCCTGCCGCCGTACTGCTTGCTGCCAAGTCTGTTTCAGAGGCTGCCGAGTCGGTGGCGTCGCCTTCTTGGCCACTAATAGTAGCTGCGGTTTGAGTTGCAGAAGAGTCTGATGCTGTCCCACTTATAGTAGTGGGTACAGCCTCACTCGAGCTCACAACTGATGCCGAGTCGCCAGAAGCTTGCGCAGTATCGGAACCGCTAGTGGAAGAAGGTGGGACAGCACCCAAGTTTCCTCCGATAGCACTGCTGCTCTGAGCTCCCGAAGCAGTACACGCGCAAGGACACTGACATTGTCCAGCGTCGCTACTGGTCTCAGTGGTGGCCGAGCTGGTAAGAGATGGTTGCTCTGAGGTGGTGGACGTGGCGGCAGCAGTTGTATCTGGCGATACATCAGTCTCTTCGGGGCAATCCTCTTCGATGCTGGACACTGCCGAAGTTGCAGCAGAGCTTTCGGTTGTGCTGGCGGTTTCTGATTCTTCAGGGCAATCTTCTTCGATTTCGCTGGTAGTGGTAGCTTCTGTCGATGAGGAAGAAATAGACGACTGGTAGGTAGGGATGGACCCTTTTTCCGTAGAGGATGTAGGAGTGATAGAGGACGATGGGACGTAGGCAGAGGAGGTGATGCTTTCCTCGGCTGTGTCGCTAGTGGTAGACGGAACCGCCTCCTCGGACGAGGAAATGGTCTCCGCCGTGTACGAAGATGAAGTGGGCGTTGCTTCAATAGCAGTGCTTTTATCCTCCAGGGTAGAAGAGTTTTCAGAGATAGACTCTGCAGAGGTGATCGCTACACTTTCGCTAGTGGAGCTCGCAATAGATGCGCTGGAGACAACGGAGGTGGCGTCATCGGGGACGAAGGTCGAGGCAGGTGTCTCCGCACTGATTGAGAGAAGGAGAGGGAGTATGAAGACCAGCTTCTTGAGTGAGAGGAGCATCATGACTTGGCCGTGATTTCCTTTCGTTTGTAAAAGAGTGTGAGGATGGGCGTTGGTGCCGGGTGATGTCTGCCCAAGAAAGAAACAGATCGAGACAAAGACGACTGTGTACAGATGGGCGGATGTGGGCTCGAGTAGGTGAAATGTGGATTGCGCTCGACAAGAAAGGAATGTAAATGGTGATGCCCAGAAAGGACCCGCAATCCTAGGGCGTAGCCTGCGCAAACAGAAAAGAGTTTTTCTTACATGTTTCAACAGCAGGAGTAACGTCAGCCGCAATCAGCGGCTCCTCATCCTTTGTTGTGAAAGCATTGATTTGCGTCGGAGGATCTGAATCCTTTCGCTCCAAGGAGGTCACTCCTTCAATATGTCTAGCTACCTACGGAAACGGACAATGTACTGTACGAGTACGATACGAGTACAGTCCCAAACACAAAATTACATCGCACCACACAACAAACCGTTGCTTTGCTACCAGTGCCGCACGTCAGTGATCGTTCAACTTACTTGTAGTCGCAGCCGTCATTGCAAGAAGCGGTGGTATTTGCCTCCATATATATGATCACACCCATTACTCTATAAGAATGATATCTCACCTGGGTGACTGTATCTATGATACCTGACAACAACAGCGATCCTGCTAGTCCTTCGTTTCCTCCCCTCCCCGACCATGGCTCTTCTATAACCGTCCTTCCTCATGCGAAAAAGGTCATCCACTGTGCCTACTTTCGACTACTCTCCCACTCCTCGCACCAGCCTGCTGCCCCTCTGTGCTAGTGTCCTCGACCCTTGCCAGACTGCCACCCTGTAGTCGCCTCCAACTCCTCATGCGAGCGAGAGCTAGAGCCGAGCGTACACACTTGCCAGAATCTACCCCATTCTGCCGGAGGAAAAAGACCGGATATGGAGCGTAAGGGGAGCAGGTCATACCTTTCGTCCCTTGTTCGGTATCGATCAACGGTATCGGCAGAGGAAGATCGGGGAGGAGATATTGGAAAGTTGCTCCTCCTTCCATCTCTCGCTGTGGGATAGACGCCATGTGGCAGTCTTGGGCGCTCACCAGAACGCAATGGGAGAGAGGAAACATGAGACCACTCGGTGGGAGGATAACTCCTGTCTTCTCTGCAGAACGTCACAGGCCTGTCTGGAAGCACGCGAGGGGAGGAAGGTCTATCACTGGTGCGATGATCGATTCGGGGGAATACTGATCGACGTACGGGCACGGGAACGAGTGATGAAGAAGATCTCGATATGGGAGGTTGCGAGAGGGATTCGTAGACCGGTGAGGGTGGTTTATACACCGGGGATGGAGGAGGATTTACCGGAGAGGGTGGTGTGATGTGTATTGGCGGATCGGAAGGTGAAGGAGTAGAATAGAGCGAGGGTGAATGAAATACTCTCTCGCGCGATAGGCGTACTTGGGCCGATGAATAATGGTAAGGTGTGGAAGTTCTGGTAAGAGGTACCATGCCCTCTTCTCTCTGTACATAAGAGGGAGGGTCATAGTCGCGTAGTTCGCACTGGCTATCATCGAAGTCGGAAAAGACATCGACTTGCCGCCTGGTGGCGGAATCGTCACGAGGGGGCGAAGGGAGATGATTGTTGGGCTGGATAATGTACCCTGGTGATACCCTGGGAAAGACAGGCAAAGCAGAGGAGACGCCTGGGAAGGACGAGACTGTCTCGGGGTGAAGGTGCCGCGAAGGCAAGGTGAGAGGGCCCCTGCATCCATCTGCCTCCCTCTTCGCTGGAGGCACCACAGACGTGACCTCCGTATGACGAGACACATGGGATTCTACCGGCTCGTGCCCCATGAAAAGAAAGTCGTCATGATCCGCTGGTCGTGGTCTTTTCTTGTTGGAGGACAAGTGTGGTGGCCTAAAGGGATCCGATGAGCGAGGGCGGGGTTCGTCGCTGACACCCATGGCGTTGCAGAACTGCCTAAAACCAGGGAGCCCCTTCTTCCCCTCTTCATCCTGGTCCCCATCCGACTTTCTTAATCGTTCTTCCATAGCCTTTTGACGATCACGTCGTCGGACCTTAACGCTGCCATCACGACCCACATAGTACCGGGCCGCTTTATCTTTTTTATTCTTCTCCTGGTCGGCTTTATGCTTGTCTTGCATTGCCTTGATGGGAAAGACATGGACGGTGCTGAAAGACACAATGCCCTGGGAGGAGAGGGGAGCTAGTCGGCTGAGGCGCTGGGAATTCCAGGTGATGAAGAAGGAAGGGAGAGGGAGACGAATGTGGTTCTAAAGCATCGAATCAGCAGACAAAAACATTGCATTTGGAAGCCCTTGTCAACCTACTGCAATAGCAACTTCAAGCTCCTCGGTCGTCGCATCATTGCGTATAATTACATGCCCCTGCAGCTGAGGGTCCTGTTCACACTAGCATATAGCCGATAAGTAAACGCCTTTCAGGCGCCCAAGCGGGCGGTTCTCCAACTTGACCTACTCCGATGAAAATGGTGATCTCCGCTGACTTCTCAGAAACACCACCAAACAACATCCCACGCTCACTCGACGACCTGGGTTGGTCTCTTTTGTTCATGGGTGGTGAAATGAAAAACGAAGAGAATTGCCACTGAAATCCTTTCTGTCGACCCCATACATACGGAATGTAATTATGTTGCTTTCCCGGTCAGCCCGTCCCTTCTAGGCTCTATCGGCTATCCGACTGAGTGCTCCGCGCCACTGTGGGGACCACAGCTCAACAAGCTCCGTGGCCCCGTGCATGCGGGCGAGTAACTACTCCGAAGATCGATTCCTTCTCAGTCAGGCTTATGCGCCACTATCGTTATCTCTAAACGATGATCAATGCCCAACAACGGCGCCGCGCTATCCCCTAAGGGCAACCAAGGCGAAATGATGTCGTCTTTGTGTTGATCAAGAATGGTGCGAAATTACATGCCTCCGTCGCATGCCCAGGATGGCTGCCTGACTGAATTTGATGGACCAAGGAGAGTCCGGGTAGAGCATGTGGTCTGAGGCACGGCAAAAGAAGGAAGAGAAATCACTCAACTTGGGGAGAGATGGCCTTGAACACCGCGGAAGCAGATCAGTCGTTTGTCTCTCTCCGATTACATACTCTCTCGTCTTTCCCCTCTAGCTCATCAACGAAATCCAAAACCCTCCTTTCCGCCCTCCCCCATCGATCCCTGATCAGGGACGACGATCCATATGTATCGTCCGTCAGCTCGACAGAAGGGGGCAGCTGAGCGCGGGCCGTAAGCGGACCGACGCAAACATCGGGTCTATCTCTGGTACACGATCAGGCTACATGTGAGGGCGCGATGACTGCCTTTTGGTATTTGGTATTGGAAGTCAATAGAGGTCATCAGATTCAAATCGCATGGCAGAGCTGCATGTCACGATGTCAGCGCATTTCCCTGAAAGAAGCACCGTTCCCTCTGGTGCGCAAATGTCCACACGTCACTTCGGATCATAGATTGGAAGAAAGTTCAGAAGATAGACGACCTGCTGGTACCTTACGAGAGCCGATCTTGTGTGGTACTCTCGGAGACGAGGATTGTTCAGCGATGGTTGTTTGTGCACAGCTAGGGACATAAACTGGGTCATGCATGCCTGTGTTTGGCACGAGACATGGATCGAGACTCAGTGTTATTCGGACGAGTTGAATGACGGCGGGCGCTTTTCCTGGCAGGTAGCACATGGTCCCATACTACGCCATCATTCCGTCCTGCTCTGCCTCTTCATAGGGGCTGGTGATACAGTTCAGCCATCTGTCTTGGATAAGACTATACAGCCTACATCACATGCTTGAGGGTCAGTCAATTAAGGGACATGGGCCCATTTGATGTGGTGAGATTGGGTGACCATAGCGTAGGCGCAAGATCTCATCATGGCTTATGGGTGACAATGCTGATTCAAACCTTCAATTCAATGTGCCTTTACATGAACTGATGGCAGAGTTGAGTTAATATCGTCGTCCAGACGTGGCCCGGACTGACGTACTACACATGGTGATGTGAAAGATAGACGGAGCGTTCTCGTCGCTTGGCTGCGAGCTTGTGCTCGTCGTTGAGCTTTTGAGGCTAGTGAATCTTGTTCCGCACCCCTCCACCCTCCCCACAAGATAGGGCGAGCAGGTCCAGCTACTCACTATTCCACACAATCCATATACAAAAGTATTCATGCGCTTGATTGAGGATGTACAATACAACAAAGAACAAAAGTAGCGAGAGACTTGGATCTGGCGTATCTAGGCGGGATACAAAGAGCTGAGATTCTTGGAGATGATCAACTTTTGGATCTGAGAAGTTCCTACAAGTCAAAGTCAGTTTACTGCGCTTGTTCTGTGCAGGCATTCGTACCCTCGTCTGTAAATGTTGAGTAAAGAAAGAGCCACATATGGTTAGTATTGACGCAAGCAAAAGAGCACTGAAAAACACTCACAAAGTTCGTAAATCTTGGCGTCGCTAGGAGAAAGGTCAGTATCAGATCATAGAAATCGGCAAATTCACGTACCGGTACAGTTTTTCCATAGGCATCTCTGTATTGAAACCTGCGCCGCCAAAGACTGCAAATTACGATCAGTATGCCACACTGGGTAATTCTGGCTATCATTTCTCACCCTGGACACCAAGGTTGGCATTCTGAACAGCTGTCTGGCCTGCAAAAGCCTTGGCCATGGACGCGTAGAAAGCTGAGATATTGTCAGCTATAATCATCCAGAATCGTATGTGAATCATACTGTTTCGCTGGCCGGCATCCTTTGCCCAGGCAGCTTTCCATACCAAAGCCCGGGCAGCTTCCACACCGATAGACATATCAGCGAGCATGAATGCAACACCTTGGTGGTTGATGATGGCTTGTCCCATAGTCTGGTATGGTGTTAGAGGGGGAAGTGATAATCAGAGAGAAAGAGGGCTTACTTTTCGCTCTTGTGCGTATTTGGTAGCCTCTTCAAGGGCACGTTGGGCAAGACCGACGGCAGCGGCGGAGACGAGTGGTCGGGTGATATCAAACGCTTTCATGGCAACTGGCAGAGGGTCAAGCATGTCCGAATTATGAGTATAAGACGTACCTTTGAATCCTTCTCCGGGCTTGCCCAACACATTCTCTTCTGGCACCTCGACATCCTGGAAAGTAACCATTCGAGTGTCGGAACAGCGCTGGCCTTGATCTGAGGTCAGTATGATACAGAGAACAGCGAACGAATGGCCTACCCATGTTGATCTCCTTCTTGCCGAGTTCAATGCCTACTGAATCGCCGTCAACGATAAAACCGGTCATGCCTTTGGTAGGCGCGACGGTGGGGTCAGTGATAGCGAGAACGAACTGGGAGGGTATCAGCGAAAGTCAGGTTCAGCGTGGTTGATGACTTGCAAACCAGTTGGCGTGGCCAGCATTCGTACTTGATATCATCAGTCAAGGATCGCTATAGAGCACCAGATCAACTCACATCCTACAAAACATGTCAACAAGGAACTAGCAGAGGAAGAGAGCTACGCACCACATCTTGCTCCCATTCAAAATCCACTTGTCGCCCTTCTTCTCGGCCTTTGTCTTGATACCAGCCACGTCAGACCCAGCTCCTGGCTCGGTCACACCATACGCAGCGACCAATGGCTCCTCGGCCATCCTGCCCAGGTATTTGAGTTTTTGTTCGTGAGAAGCGGCGACGATTAATGGCGCTTCCGCGAGGCCGTTGGCTGTGATAATCATCTATGATCAGCTGGAAGTCAAGTCGAGAACCAAGGAAGTCACCTTCGATAGCAGTTTGCATACCAGAGCAACCGTAAGCGAGGGACTCTGAGATGATTGCACATTCCATAAGCCCGAGTTCTGGTCCGCCATACTGTCTCAATGATTAGTGAGAGTCGGCCACGGGCTGAGATACGTACTGCTTCGGGGATGTGTGTATTGAGGAGACCCAGGGAGTGAGCTTCTTTGATGATGGGCCAAGGATAAGCCTGCATGACAGAAAGGTTGAAGCGTCAGTAAAAAATGTACCGATTGATCTACGTCCACTTACCATAGAGCGGTCGTATTCAGCAGCTTGAGGAACGATAACGTCCTTGGTGAACTGTGTCGCAAGTTCTACATATCTTCAGCAGATACAGATATGAACAATAAGGGACCCACCTTGGATACCTCGCTGTTCGTCGTTCAGAGCAAAGCTGACAGCTGTCTCGAGGTGAGCAGGAGCACTAGACTGGAGGCAACTTACGTCCCGAAGTGGCCGAGGCGTATGCTCGCGTGAGGAAGGCAGGACGGGGGGCGTTGAGTGCGCGTCTATAGGCAGCTTGTATGACCATTGTGATCTATTCTCCATGTATTGTTGTATTATTGCAAGTCAATCTCATCTCATGTACTGGCTTTCCGGTTGTAATAGCCGGTGCACGCCTATGCTCCAACAGGAACGACACCCGTGAATAGGCATGCCAGACGCGTGCTGTTGGTGATTTAATTTGACCGTGACTTGAACGCGTTCTTGCTGCATTTCAGTTACTTTCTGCTTTATCACTCAACATCTTGAACCCACACCCCGCCATGGCGATCCAGGAGCCTATACAGAAGAAGAGGAAGCTCGAGCCACCCACCAACAAGAAGCAGCTCGCCGTCCAGCCCAGCTTCACCGATGTGCTCGAGCAGCTCGAGGCCGAAGACGGCGCGTCTGCTGGTGCGTCCGACGCGTCGAGATGACACGATGGCAGCGCTGATGATTGCGTAGAGAGTATAGAATCTTCGGCAGCTTGGCCAAGGCCCCCAGTACCTGCATACGACAGCAAGAAGGACGCGATTAGTCAGTCGAAGTCAAACACGTCAACTTTGCCACCGCTAACAGGATGTATAGCCTTTCAACAGATCGAAATTGAGGAAGCTACAGATAGCAGTCATGGCCCCATCCTCAGGCTGTTCGGTGTCAACAAGTCTGGCAATTCGGTTCTCGCCAACGTGCATGGCTTCAGGCCGTACTTTTACGTCCCGGCACCGAGCGGGTTCCTCAACAAGGACCTTCAGCCTTTGCAGGACAAGCTCAATGTGTGTATACCATCTGGAGCTCTTCAGAGTACACTAATGAATGTCAGTCTTCCATAGGAAACTTCGGTCCTTGTGTCACAAATTGCGCCATCTTCAATCGACGCTCCCTGTGGGCCTACCGTGGCGACGAGAATGTGCCCTTCATCAAGATCACCTTGAACGACCCCAAGAGTCTTTCTAAAGTGAAAGATGAGTATTTCTGTCACATATACGTCCGAAAACTAACTCTTGCGTACGTGCCTTTGAGCGTGGTCAGGTCGACTTCAACGGATTGTTTGATACAGAAGTGTTGACTTATGAGAGCAACATCGCGTATACCATGCGATTCATGATTGATACAAAGGTGAGTCACACACCTGAGCGTTATGCTTGTAGCTGACATTAATTTCTCATAGATTGTGGGGATGAACTGGGTCAGCATTGCCGGCGGACGGTACGACGTTATGAGTGAAGGAGCCAAGAAGTCGCAATGTCAAATTGAAGTATCTTGCAAGTACGTGCAGCTACTCTCATACTGGGACTCGACTGACAACCGTATAGCTACAAAGATCTGATATCACACGCACCTGAAGGCGAGTGGCTCACCATTGCCCCTCTCCGTATCTTGAGCTTTGATATCGAATGTGCTGGTCGTAAGGGTATCTTCCCGGAAGCTCAGATCGACCCTGTGATCCAAATCGCTGCCATGGTTACCAGGCATGGTGTGTAATCTTGATATCTCATTGCGTGTCTAAGCTTATCCCAACCTCAGGCGAATCTAAACCATTTGTCCGTAACGTCTTCACCCTCAACACATGTGCCCATATCGTCGGCTCGCACGTTTTGGAGTTCAAGGATGAAAGACAGCTGTTACTGGAATGGCGCAAATTCGTCGAGGCTGTTGACCCCGACATGATCATTGGATATAACATCTCGAATTTCGATTTGCCGTATTTGCTTGATAGAGCCAAGGCTCTGAGAGTGGGAGATTTTGCATTTTTGGGTCGAATGAAAGGCAAGTACATCCGTCGATTTCCTTGTGGCGATTGCTCATAGTTCTTTAGGTGTGAGAACAGAGGTCAAGTCGACCCACTTCAACTCGAAAGCATACGGCCAAAGGGATTCCAAGGCCGTCAACATGGAAGGCCGTCTGCAACTCGATATGCTTCAAGTCATGCAGCGAGACTACAAGCTGCGAAGTTATACGCTTAACGCAGTCTGTGCCCAGTTCTTGGGAGAGCAAAAGGAAGACGTACATCACTCTATCATTACCGAGTTGCAGAACGGTACCGCGGATTCTAGAAGACGTCTTGCCGTCTACTGTCTAAAGGTGAGTCATTTGTCAGAAGAGGCTGGTCATGGCTGAACAATGAACAGGATGCGTACCTTCCACAGCGACTGCTAGACAAGTTGATGTGTTTCGTCAACTATACCGAAATGGCGCGAGTCACAGGTGTCCCCTTCAACTATCTCCTGGCACGAGGTCAACAAATCAAAGTCATCTCCCAACTGTATCGAAACGCTGCAGACGCCGGATACGTCATTCCCGCCATGAGGAGCGAAGGATCAGACGAGCAGTACGAAGGTGCTACCGTTATTGAACCCAGCAAGGGTTATTATGATGTGCCTATTGCGACGTTGGATTTCGCCTCACTGTATCCTTCCATCATGATGGCCCACAACTTGTGTTATACGACATTGCTTGACAAGGCTACGATTGACAGATTAAAGCTTGTCGAAGGCGAGGACTATGTTCATACCCCCAACAATGGTGAGCAGACCCTCCCATGATTGAACGATTGCTAACATTGTACAGATTACTTTGCCACAACCAACCGCCGAAAGGGTCTCCTTCCCACCATTCTTGAAAACCTTCTGGGTGCCCGTAAGAGAGCCAAGCAAGATCTCAAGGTCGAGAAAGACCCTTTTAAGCGAGCTGTACTGGATGGCCGTCAATTGGCCTTGAAAGTCAGTGCCAACTCTGTCTACGGTTTCACCGGTGCCACCGTCGGAAAACTTCCCTGTCTCGCCATTTCGTCTAGTGTCACAGCCTACGGTCGCCAAATGATTGAGTTTACGAAACAGGAGGTGGAGTCTGAGTACTGTGTGAAGAATGGGTATGATCACGATGCGAAGGTCATCTATGGTGACACAGATTCTGTCATGGTGCGTTTCGGGTGTCCAGATCTGGTCACTGCGATGAGGCTCGGTATGTTGTTTACACTAGGACTGGTCCACCGCTTACATTTCTTAGGCGCCGAGGCTGCCGACTTGGTGTCTACCAAATTCACAAAGCCCATCAAGCTCGAATTTGAGAAAGTCTACTTCCCATATCTTTTGATCAGCAAGAAGCGTTATGCCGGTCTGTATTGGACAAAACCTGAAAAGTATGACAAAATGGACACAAAGGGTATCGAGGTGAGTAGATATTGTGTACAAACATATGTCTTTGCTCACTTTTGCAGACTGTTCGACGAGACAATTGTCGTTTAGTCTCCACTGTGATTGAGACATGTCTCTTCAAGATGCTTATCGATCGAGACGTCAGGGGTGCCGAAGAGTGAGTACTCGCAAGTCTACGTCTGTTTATTGCTGACATGATCACCAGCTATGTCAAAGACACCATCGCCGACTTGCTGCAAAACAAGATCGATATGTCCCAATTGGTTATCACCAAAGCCCTCGCCAAAGCCGACTATGCCGCTAAGCAAGCCCACGTCGAGCTCGTCGAGCGAATGCGAAAGCGTGACGCCGGTTCTGCGCCTGCATTGGGTGACCGTGTGGCCTATGTCATTGTGAAGGGTACCAAGGGAGCGGCGGCGTACGAAAAGTCTGAAGATCCTCTCTATGTTCTGGAACATAATGTTCCTATCGACACGAGATACTACTTGGAAAACCAGCTTTCAAAGCCATTGATGAGAATCTTCGAGCCTATTCTGGGAGAGAAAGCCAACAGTTTGCGTAAGTCACAAAACAAATCAAGCTCGTGTGTCAGCTAACATCCATGTAGTCGCCGGTGATCACACTAGAACGATCCAAATTGCTACCCCGACAATTGGTGGTCTCATGAAGTTTGCGGTCAAGACGGTGACATGTTTGGGGTGCAAGACCCCTCTGAAGGGCAAGAATGGTGAGCGGTTTCGCAGCTCATCCTGCGGACAGTACTGACTATCATCGCAGAGGGTGCCGTGTGCGTCAATTGTCGACCAAAGCTTGCAGAGCTCTACCAAAAGCAAGTCGGTCAGACGTCTGCTTTACAAATCGACTTTGCTCGTCTTTGGACCCAATGTCAAAGATGCCAAGGATCTTTGCATCAGGTGAGAAGGATGAACATCCGGTATTTGCAGACACTGACCAGACTGCCAGGACGTTATCTGCACTTCAGCCGACTGTCCCATCTTCTACCGCCGTACCGCCAGGCAGAAGGAAGTTGCAGCCTTGGTCGCTCAATTGGATCGTTTCGAGAAGGAGAGCGGATGGTGATAGAGTATCTTTTTGTCGATCTTGGCTTTCATTTGTAATGTTACATGTAATACTATAGCATCGTAATACACACTGCTCTAGATGGCAGGCATCTCTTCGAACCCTGTACGCCCAAATCTAATCCACGCATTGTTCCCTGAATCATTCACGCCCACGATGAAGCCCCTATCACCGTTTCTCAGCGCTCCGATGTTGATGAAGGGAGGCTTGGTGTCTGTCTTTTGTTGAGCCAAGCCCAGTCTCTGGAGAAGACTCTGCCAGCGCGAAACCGGCTTGGGTTCTTGCCCAGGCTGCTTGTTGAACTGAGGACGAGGCGGGCGTTGATATTGCGGACCAGTTCTCTTGACTGGACCTTTCGGCTCGTCAGGCAGAGACTCAAAGATCTGTTCTAGCTGATGGATGGTTGGCAATGACGTGTCTCGCGACCTTTGCGGCTGTCAGTGACTGCACCAAATGTGATCTTGGGGGGCATACCTTATGACAGCAGCAAAGTAGTCGGGCCTCTGCGCTTTCAAGCCCTCATCGCTTCCCTTCTCCCAATTCTTCTTTGACCAAGGTGTCATCGGTTTCCAGATATGCCAGAATGGAATATAGGGGTTAGCTTCGAGTGGAGAATAGATGGATGTTTCGACGGGAGGGAGGGAGCGGGGAGGTAAAGGCTGGGAGTGTCCGGCAGGGATGAACCGGAGGTGTTGGAAGATGGAAGCTACAAAAAGGTCAGATCAGAAGAAGATTAAAGGCGCGGCTTACGATATGTAGTCCCCTTCCAGCTTTCCAGCAAGGTACCTTTAAAGGGTCTACTCGATAATCCCAAACCCAGCCCAACGCTAGCCACGCTACCAGCGAATCTCCGCAGACCCCTACCCAGAGCGTGTATCAAACCCACAAACCATCTTGGAATATTCGACCACCAAGTGTGGAACGGCGGCAGTCTCGAATCTTGCTCGTCGAGCTTGATCCCTGTACTGGCAAGGAAATATTCTGGTATGAACCTCCTCGAGCGCTGGACGTTGTATCCGAGTCGCTTGAGGTAGGCATACGCCTGATACTTCTCCAGAGTCAACCCTTCTCGGCCGATGAATGCCCCAAAGCCTTCCATCACACTCATTTCCACCGCTCCCTTGATTCCGTACTCTTCTTCGCACCATTCTCCGACTCCTTCCTCCACTTCTTCTTCAGTCTCGGGTTCATTCCCAAGCCAAATCTGCAAGGTGCCTCGTTCGAGAAGATAGAGGGCCTCCTCGGGTAAGAGCTCAAGGGAGGTCCTGGGTTTGTTGAATGGCGGAGATGGAGGGTGGCGAACGGTGATGCCCATAGCGTCAAACAGGTGCCCATGGACAATGAGTACACGGGGATAGGGACTGGCAGGTGTCAAGAGAGCATGGGACATGGAATTGCTTCAGAGGTATCAGCATCACTTCTGGTGCTATGCGCGGAACATACCTGTGCCCGCCTCGAACACCCTGCAGAGCAGTAAACAACGCCTGCCGGCTTTTGTCCAGCATCATCTCCTGCAGGTTGACAGTCTCGGCGAGGGGCTCAAAATCCTTCTCGCCCCGTTTCGGGATGGTGATGAGCGGGCGAGACGTCACATCTCCCTCTGCTGAAGGTATGTGTTGGATTTTGCTACGCCCAGTCAGCTTGCATTCTTCCTCCTCGCACCTGCACATACTCGGCAAAGCTCTGGATCACTTTGAGATCCATTCTCTCCTCCCCCTCATCCTCTTCATCTCCCTGTCCTGGCGGTCCAAGGGTAGCGCTAGCAGCGGCTTTTGAATTTTCGCCATCGTTGGCTGCAGCGGTGTTTGGGGTCGAATTTTGCTGCTTTTTCGCCAGAGTCTTCTTCGGCGTCTGCTTGCTTGGCCCCGGGCTGCTCTTCTGGGGCTGTTCCATGGCGATTTGGCGAGATTCAGAAGTGCACGAGATTGTATGAAAAGAGTGATTTTGGATTGGACCTGGCGGGTGGAGGCGCTTGAGTCGTTTACAACTTTTTTGACTTTTTGTTTGTCTCCATAATCTTGCATTTTTATCCAAAACGCCATGTTTCGAGCCTGCCGGGTGTCCATAATACCCCGCCACCGCTGGGCTGCGCGATCTTTCGCCACCGCCACCACGCCCCAGACTGTCATCGAGAAAATCGTGCAAAAGTACGCTGTTGGGCTATCCGAGGGGTCCAAGGTACGCGCTGGTGACTATGTCATGATCAAGCCAGAGCATGTGTGAGTAACAGCGCGGGTATACATTGTGTTCTTTATCTTATCAGTATCATAGCATGACCCATGACAACACTGGCCCCGTTATCAGCAAGTTCTTGTCGCTCAAGTGCTCCAAGCTGGACAACCCGCGCCAGCCGGTGTACACCCTGGATCACGATGTCCAGAACCAATCGGATGTCAACCAAAACAAGTACAAGAAGATTGAAGCGTTTGCCAAGGAGCACGGTGTCGACTTTTACCCTGCTGGAAGAGGTATTGGGCACCAGATTGTGGTGGAAGAAGGCTATGCTTGGCCGGGAAAGATGGTGGTCGCGAGTGACAGTCACTCAAATCACTATGGTGGTGTAGGGTGTCTTGGTACTGCTATCGTACGAACAGATGCTGCGTGAGTCGACCACTACTATATATGTTACAATGCTGACATCTCGCAGTGGTATTTGGGCCACGGGCAAGTTCTGGTGGCAGATCCCACGTATCGTCCAGGTCTCTCTCGACGGCAAGCTCTCCCCCGGTGTCACCGGTAAGGACGTCATTGTCGCTCTCGCCGGTCTCTTCAACAAGGACGAGGTCCTCAACGCTGCTATTGAGTTCACTGGTTCCGGTGTCGAACACTTGTCTATTGACGAGCGTCTCACTATCGCCAACATGACCACCGAATGGGGAGCTGTGTCTGGTGTCTTCCCCGTAGACGGCAAGCTTGAAGAGTGGTACAAGTCCAACATCCGCAAGGCCGAGCTCCGCAAGTTTATCCAACCCACTGTCCCTTCCGCTCTCGAGTCTGAAGGACACCCCCGGTTGAACTCTACGCGACTCGCCGACGCTATTGAAAACCGAGCCGTCGCTGATGAAGGTGCGCAATACGCCGCTCGTCTCTCGCTCGATCTTTCTACCCTTGTCCCCCACGTCTCTGGCCCCAACTCTGTCAAGGTCGCTACCGCCCTCCCCAAGCTCCTCGATCCGCCTATCCCCATCCACAAGGCCTACCTTGTATCGTGTACCAACTCTCGAGCTTCCGACCTTGCCGCTGCTGCCGCTGTGCTGAGAGGCAAAAAGGTCGCGCCCGGGGTCGAATTCTACATTGCGGCTGCTTCCAGCCGAGTGCAAGAAGATGCCGAAGAGGCCGGAGACTGGCAAGTGCTTGTGGATGCTGGTGCCAAGACTCTGCCAGCGGGGTGTGGTCCTTGTATCGGTCTCGGTGTTGGTCTGTTAGAAAAGGGTCAGGTCGGTATTTCTGCCACGAACCGTAACTACAAGGGTCGAATGGGTTCTCCCGAGGCTATTGCCTACCTCGCTTCCCCTGCTGTCGTCGCGGCGTCAGCGGCGAAGGGTGTGATCTGTGGACCCGACTCGATGGACTTGGCCAAGCTGCCTCAGTATGAGCAGCCCAAGTTTTCCATTCTCGAGTCTGGGGAGGAGAGTGCCGAGGAGAAGCCGGTGGTGGTGGATGAGGCGTCTTTGGAGCCGCTGCTGGAAGGATTCCCGGCGTACTTTGAAGGCCCGTTGATGTTTGCGCCTCAAGACAACTTGACAACGGACGGAATGTACCCTGGTAAATATACTTACCAGGATGACATTACGCCCGAGAGGCAGGCTGAGGTCGTTATGGGTGAGTGATGTGTCTTGTTGCATGTGCCGTAGCTGACGTTTGTGTAGAAAACTACGACCCAGCATTCGCCGCTACCGCTGCTACTCTCCGCGCTACCCTCCCCCCTCCCATCGCCTCATCATCCACCAAGCCCGGCCCCATTCTTCTGTCTGGTTACAACTTTGGTACCGGTTCTTCGCGAGAGCAAGCTGCCACGGCCATCAAGAACGCGGGTATCCCGCTAGTCATCTGCGGTTCGTTTGGTGACATTTACAAGCGTAACGCCATCAACAACGGTCTGATTCTGGTCGAGTCGCCATCCTTGATCAAGGAGTTGACTGAGCGTTTCGCGAAAGACGGGGTGAGAGGCAAGGGTACGAAGAATGGCGAGTTGACGGAAGTGCCGGAAGGGTGGACGGTAAAGGTGGATTCGAGAAGAGGGTTGGTGACGGTGACGATGGGGTCGGAGGGTGAGAAGACGTATCCTGCGGCCAAGGTGGGCAAATCGGTGCAAGAGTTGTGGGTGAATGGGGGTCTTGAAGGGTTTATCAAGGCTTCATTATAGGGCTATGCTTCTTGATGCATTTTGTATATAGCATATCGATCTGTGTGTATACAGTGTAGGCGAGGAAGAAGGATGACTGAACGAGACTATATCGGTAGATCACCCGCTCACCTGACTAATCAGACGATGGCGCCAGTCTTCCAAACATGCACTTGTACTGCAGGTGCATCATCTTCACTCGGATGCCTGTAGCTGCTACGCCAGTGAGAATCTGTCATGCCCCTTGTACCAGTAGCCACTCGAAGCGATGGTGTGTACAGAGTGCCTCGGCCAAGTTCCAGTACTAACGATACAGGGTGGACGGGACGGAGTCTTTGCACTTGCGAGGGAGGACGCGTGAATGAAAGTTTCAACTCGCAAGATCGAGCTTTGCTCTTCGCTCTACGTGCAAGTACGAGTAGAGTACGCGTACTGTCCATACATACGACTTTGCAATGAACCGCGTGATTCTGCTACATGCCATGCACTCCGCTCTCAGCGTCGGGCTTTGAACCCAAGGCTGGCCAGGGTGGGCCCCGTCTTTTTCCATCTCTAAGAATCCCAAATGATTGGGAGAGGAACGCGAGTGACGTCTGAAAAGACAAATTCGCGCAGAAAACCTTCTCTGGAACAAGCTCCTGGAGCACCCAAAGTCCCATATAGTCGAAGCCCCCCCGCCTGTGCCCCATGGGCCATGCCCCATGCACGCTGCCTCCTCTCCCCCCTTCCCCTCCCGTATGCATGAGCACTGCATCCGCTGTATGCATCCACACGCGAGCAGACGCGGACGACGCGATTGGTGATCTTTTCAGGGACGTGTGTGGGAGGTACGGAGCGCGTTTTTACGTAAGGCAAAATCAAGTCCCAATGGGGCAATTCGTGAGGCAAAAAGACGGGAAAGGCAGACGCGCTTTTGATTCTCCCTGCTTTTGCTCTGCTTCTTCAGTCGCCCAAGACCCCCCCCTTGGAACGTTAAGTCAGCCCAAGACCCCCCCCTTGGAACGTTATTCGCTGCCATACCCCGCTCCATACCCCCCACGAATCACTCGGACACCCCACCCCTACCCACAGCGCGTCGTTTCGGCAGCTTTTACACCCACGCCACCCCCCTCCTCCCTCCCGCTGGCCGGGCCCCATCCATATCCTCCACAATGTCCCGCCGAGCGAGCACAGACGCCCAACACCACACCCTCGCGTCCTCCCAAGGCCCCATCCAAGGCGACATGTAAGCACAGACGCGTCGTACTCGAATCCCCCGTACTGACGGCATCCAGCATGCCCGATCCCTACCTCACCACCCCTACCTCCGCCAATTACGCGACTCCCCAGATCTACTACACCGACCCGTACGCTGGCACGTACTACCAGCAACAATCAGGCTACGCCAGCGACATGCCAGAGCATATGATCACCCCCTTTGGCTCCCATCAGGTCGCCCAAGGACGGGTCGTGATGCCCGCCCATGGCCAACCGATGCGATCCCCATCCGGGTACGAAGAGTACGAGTTCTCCGTCGTGCCCCCCGAGGAGGAAGGCGGGCCCTATCTCCAGGTGCCCGTCGAGAGGTACAATGGTCCCAATATCGGCTACCACACCCACCCGCTCTCGCCATCCGATCAGATGTCTATGGAGCAGGCGCATCAGCTGCAGAGGAGTCACTCGATGCCTCACATGAACGACGCGCCGCACCCCTTTCCAATCCAGACCGGTCTCCCTCAACGACCGAAACTTCAGTCCAGTCAATCGACCGTGATGGTTCAGCAGCGACCCACCCTCGAAACCCAGATGCAACGGCCAGGCATGACGCGTCACGCGTCGCTGGCCAGAGGATCGTCTTACGGAGACGTGTTTGATCACCCTGGGCCTGCCGAGGAGATGCCTGTGTATCACGCCATGCCTCAGCAGGACCAGTCGTGGGAGTTGGCGGCGTATGACACGGTTGTAAGTAGTAGTGATATGTGTCCAAAGTACGCGCTGACGAGATTGCAGTACGCGGACGGTCAAGGGATTTCCCCAGCGCGTGCCCTCGGCCCTGCGCCTATGCAGCCCCAACGCTTCTCACCCCACCGCGACAGTCTCCTCGTCACACCACAGGGCAAGCAAACCAATTACGCAGAGCAAGTCCCTTCGTCTGCCGTTTCCACCGCTACCGCCGCGTCCACCTCTTCCAACTACTCGATCGGTTTCCGTCCCGCACACCGCGGGGCCGAGTTTGATAGCAGCGACGATGAGGTGGATGGTAGAACGCGAAAACCTTTGCCGACGCGTACTATGAAGACGCGTCAGAACGACAAGGCGCCGCCCATTCCTTTGGTCCTGCCCAAGGCCCCGCCCAGACCGCCTGCTGCTGGAGCTGGCAGGACGAGCTCCAAATTTGCCAAGGTGGCCGAAGACCCCGGAGTCGAGGGTATTCCTCCCGGACCGCGATCTCACGAGCGTCCCGGGCCCTCTTTTGCCTGCATCATCGGCCAAGCTATCCTGTCTTGTAAAGCCGGTGGTCTCTCTCTCGAGCACATTTACCGCTACGTCGAGACTGCCTACCCCTTCTTCAAGTCTGGCGACAATGCTTGGCGAAACTCTGTACGACACAACCTCTCTATCCACAAGATGTTTGAGACCATCGCCCGTACCGAGAAATTCCCTCCAGGCAAGGGTGGTATCTGGATCATCCACGAGGACGAAAAGTGTCACTGGCCCGAGCCGGACAAGTTCATCAAAAATTTTCCTCCGGGGCACGCACACCACGCCGTGTGTCGCCAGACATTGCATGAGAGGCAAAAGGAGAAGGAGGCTATGGAGAAGGCGCAGCGCGAAGGGAGAGTGTATGTGCCAAAGAAGGGCAAGAAGAGAAGAAAGGGAATCGACATGGATGTCTTGGTGGAGGTGAAGAAGATGTCGACGACAGAGCCCGTGGCTAGCAGCAGTGCCCAGATCGAGGAAGAGGAAGAGGACGAGGAAAAGACGCCGCCGCCTGTGGGACGACTTGCGGCCATGGCCGGTGAAGATGTGGATGACGAGCCAGAGCAGAAACCTGAGCAAGAGTCGATCCCTGAAAGGCCAAAATCGACTGTGAATGACGAAAACAGCGTCAAATGGGCTCTACCGCCCCCTCCCGTTGACCCCAAGGGCAAGCGAAGGCAAATATCCGAGGAAGACTTGACGTCCGCAAAGCGTGTTCGTCTGGCGGAGCCTCTTGCTCCCATACACCCCTTCCCCCAAGAGCGCATCGAAAAGCTCGATTCCTCATTCATCACCCCCGAGCGAGAGCGACCCATCCCAGGCGGTAGCAGGCTCATGTCGAGTGACTTCAAAACTCCTGCCCTCGTCCAATCGTCATCTTCCCCGGGGTCCCCACCCATGCCAGCCACTGTCACGCGCTCCACCCATCACCCTAGTGCTCTCCAACAAGCTTGGACGCACGACGACATGTCTCAAACTCCTCCTCGCGACTCTTCCCCTGCTCGCCCGATGCTTGACGCGGCTTTCGACCTCAAACCCAAAGCCATCCGTCCCAAAGTCGTCACTGCTCAGGAAGAAGACTTTGCCGTCCCCAACTCGCCTCCCCAGCCCCGCGCTCCGCCAAAGACACCCGTTACGAGATCGTCTGCGGCGGCAGACAAGACTCCCCGGTTGCAACATCGCAAGACGCCGGGCATGTCTACTCCCGTCATTTATCGTGGTAGCCCCGGTATGCCCCCGCCAACGGCGAGCGCGCTGCTGTCGACGCCCATGTGGGAGATTGGAGGGTGTCTGGATCGGCTGAGGGAATCTTTCCAGCCGAGTCCGACGGGCTTTGGCAGTATGGACGGGCGAGGGCCGATAAGGTCGCCGGCGCCACCAACTAGCCCAACACGTTATTCCATGATGTTGCTGGATAGCGGGTCGCCGAGAAAGGGCAGAGGGACATGAGGTGTTCGATGGCTCTGGTCCCATCCCGAGCCGTGACGGCAGGGCGGATCTTGCAGCGGCGTTTTTCAAATCTCTTTTTGACGTATATGATGACCCAATGATACCTTCTCTTGTAGCTTAGCGCAACCCATATTTCTCTCCTTTTCTCATCAATCACCATCCACTTTCCCCATCCATACATCTGCACACGTTATTACATCCCCCTCTTCGTACTTTTCCCGATCTTTTCTCTTTTTGCTTCGTTCTCCGCGCTCGAGTCTTCAGATACCTAGTATCCGAGTTTATAGTTTTTCCGATCCCCGGACAGTCAGTATTCGAGAGTGTGTGTTGTTTGATATCCTTGTTCAAAATAGTAGTAAAAGACACGAGTAGTCTCCGGATTCTGGTCCCACAATTTATGCATAGAAGTCTTATGAGATGAGTTTCGTACATTATCTGTGAATCAGATCGAGAGAAACTTGGAACGTTTCGCTATTCTCCTGCCCCGGGAGCCAATCCTCGCAGCCTTTCAGACGAACAATCAGTCACTGCTTGATGATTGAAAGTATCCAGCACTCACTGTACTCCAGATTTGGACAGCTGCCACCCGGGTTCGGCAACAATGAGGTTCTTGGCAGTCTCAGTCTCCAAAAGAGCCTTTCTCTCTGGGGTGGTCGAGTTTTCAGGGGAGAAGGGGAAGTCGGTATAGGCAGTTTCAGGATCAGGGAAAGGTCCGTAGAAGCGTGGGCGTATGTATTGAACGAGAGGTTGCTTGTGTTTGAGGCGGTACACGAGCTAAAGACGGCGGTGGTCAGTCGACAATCATATGAAAGACGGTCATGAGCACCGAGCTGTGTCAACTCACATCGGGGCTGAGCAGTTGGAACGAAGAATAAAGTGTCAGCATGTATCAAAAGGTCTGCCTTTATACTCACTTTGAGGTAAAGTATCGACCAAAGGCAACGACGTCCGCTCTCTATCGATATAGTCAGCTCAGTATGTACAAATAGGGGACGGGGGAGCTCACTCCTTCCTCCAAGACCTTGGAAGTCCGCACATTCTCGCAATCATATCCTCCCGCCACGATGACCGGCATCCGACCTCCCAATGCCTCCAAGAACGGCTTCAACGACGCGTCGCCTCCCAACTCGTTCAACTTGTCTGACCCTGAACTCATCTCATCATAACGCGGCTCCATGAAATGGATGTATGCCCAGTTTCGTCCGCTGATTTCCTGGCAAAGTCGTGTCCATTGGGTGACTCGCTGTTCACCGCGCGCTTCGTTGAAGAAGCCAAACGGCGAGAGACGGAGAGAGAACTTGTTGGCCCCCACAGCCTGGGCAATGGTATCACAAAGCTCAACCACAAAGCGATTGCGGTTTTGGAGAGAGCCGCCATAGGAGTCGGTGCGCTTGTTGATGTTGGAGTGAAGGAAAGCTTCTGGTAGATAACCGTTTGCCGCGCTGACGTTACGTGGACGATCAGCAGTGTATCTCAAGAAGGTCGGTATGGTGAGGGCTTACTGCAGCTCGACAGCATCAAACCCGGCTGCAATACAATTGGCGGCGGCTTGAGCATACTCTTCTTTAACCCGCTCGATGTCCTCGATGGCCATGGCCTGAGGAACGACGCCAGGCGTACCCATGAAGGTCTTGGTCATAGGTATGGCAGAGGACGAGATGATCGGGAAATCATTCTGTACGACTCTGGTACGACCAGCGTGCCATACTGACAATGGCGTCGGTGAGCCCGCTTCCTGTTTATCCCCGATGGAGAATGCAACTCACACTGAGCAACGAAGAGCCCTCCGAGTCGGTGTACTGCTTCCACAACAGGCTTCCAAGATTCGACTTGCTCTTCAGTAAAGATACCAGGTACAGAGTTTGGGTCGGACGCCTGAGAAATCACTATATCAGCAAGACTAGACGGTCACCAGTTCCCAACAACTTACCTGCCTGGAAACCGGTATAGCCTCGCTGATAAGCAATCCTCCTTGCGTAGTCCTTTGCGCGTAGTACTCTTCCATGAGAGGGCAGGCTATGAAGGTGCCGGGGTTCTTCAAGGAGGCAACGCCCCGATTCCGGGTCATGGGCGCCATGGCTATACGATGGGAGAGACGCATATCGCCCAGTGTAAGGGGTGAAAATAGGATGTCGGTGGAGCCCTCGGAGGGCGGCTGGGTAGACATTCTTGGTCTCGAGAAGATTTGAGTAGAATTGAGATGATGAAGACGTGGGCCAGCACAGATAGCAAAGAGGGCTCAACTCATATCAGGACTAGTAGCCTCTTTTAGCGAGCAGCAGACGATGATGCTGGAAGTTACTAACCAAATCCTGCTGACGGCAGTCTGCAGTGAGCTCCACATGCATGCCCGGATATGGAAAGACTTTCCTCATAGTCGAGAAGGTTGCAATTCGGCTGACAGGGAAGCTGCAGAGATTGAAGTTGAGTGGAATTACAAAGGGCAATCTTCATGCTGTGTACAGGCTTCCAGACCGGTGTTGAAGCAGTCGGGTCAATGTTCAGATATGCCCAAGCTTTGACATCGTGGTCTCTCGAGATGATGCGCTGCAGTATGGATCTGGCGAGCTCTTGCACGGAGAGCTTGTTGGAACTGATCAGTGGCACGATTTGGGATGCGGTGAGCAAGTAGGGAGGATTGGCTACATAGGGTGCGTTAATCGAAACGAGAAGAGGCGCCGAGTCGTATGTAGACATGAATGTGAGCTTCCAGCGACAAAGATGATTGGAATGGCGATCGATGTAGAATTGAGCTTCTGGTCTGTGAGTAGACGTTGAACAAAGGAAGATTAGCGAGGAGTCACCCTTTGAGTATGCTTATAGTCTCCGCGGATGGTCTCATCTCGGCAATCGGTCTGCCCTCTACAAGATATGACTGGTGACCCGCGTTATGGCGGTGAGTTGTCGAATGGCGATAAGCTTGGCATAAGTTCATCAAGTATCAGAGAGGGCATGATAGCGGGATTGTGTCTGAATCGACCGTTACTCGTTGTGCCATAATTATGCTTGATCCATACAATCCTCGGCTCGAGGCCCCGCAAAAGCCGCTTCAACCCCGTCGTTTGGCGAAAGTCTGAGATGCATGGTTAGCTGTCATTCTTGGGCAATATCGACCGGCCAGACCCACGTCCAAGTCGTCTTTGGTGGCGACACCCAATACCCATCTGCGCTCTAAATCCGTCACTACCATTGCAGCTCCATCAGCTCCTGCCCACACATATGCGCGTACGACTCACCCAACGCAAAGTCAACGGCCCGCTTCTCAAAGAACAATTCCAACTCTTCGAGGGGGGTAAGAGGAGAGATGACGGTGTAGGGGTGGGAGGGGTTGGAGATGGTAAAGTAGTTTGTGAGCTTGGCTAGATATCGCGCAGAGGCGGGGTCAGCATCTAGTCTCTGATGAGCGAATCTGATGGGTACGGACAGACTGGGTCGTGCTCTGTTACAGCGCCAGCACCAAGCTTTTGCTTCAGAGAAGGAATGTCTAGGTATCCGATGGGTTTACGTTTGTGGTTGAGGATACTGGTCACGTATTAGCGCTAGTCCGGTCGTGCGGCGGTCTTCCTGTTCTTGGTTGCACTCACGGAAGATGGTCAAATTCTCTCCCATACGCAGCCTCCAGGGCATGGAGGACGATCGCGTCTTGGGGCAAGCAGAATGCTGGGGAGAGTTGGAGGTCCTGACACAGACTGAAATCAGCTCGTGCGCTAGGACCGCAGTGATGTACAGTTGTAGATGACAGATAGACGTACTTCGACGCATGCACCTCTGTAGTCCCTTGGCGCTGGTCTGTCCTTGTCGAAAACCATGTTGGGATACGGGAATACCTTGGGAATACCAAGCAGCGACTGAAACCAAACATAGTCGCCGCCATCACGTGCCGCCCACGTGGCTGTCTCTCTGGTATGCAAGTGTAGATTCAATCATTCAATGCACCCGGCAACAGGAACAGGCTGCAGGACTCGACTGTCTGCCTCAACGTGAACACCTGCTGGGTGAAACGTGTACTGTGAACATACAGTCTTGACGCTATTCAGACGCTTAAGACGGGCAGTTGGCCACCCAGACGGCCAGACGGCCAGACAGAGCCCGATACTGTTCCCAGTTGATGGTACATACACTTGAGCTCTAAATTTGCGCCTCTGCTGGCTCTCCAGTGGTCCCCTTGTGGGCCAAAACCCAATCGAAACCCTGCTTCCCGATCCCCGCGTTACTCTTAAATCTATCAATGCTCGCCTGCTCTATTCTTCGTGCTATGAGCCGAGTGGGGAAGCCAGAGATGAGCATGGCCCGTTGCTTAAACAGGGTAGAGTTTTCGTCGTGAGGGGTATATGTGATGAGTTCAAGACAAGAGCTGCAATGGGAGGGTTGCGTGAGCGTCGCGAAGCGGGGACTGGTACGGTGACACGTACACGTATTGAGCAAGGTTGAGGTTGACAGACATGGATGTGGCTGCAGAGTTTGAAGGGTCGACAAATACCACTTCTCTCACAAAAGCCATAGGCGGGAGATTAAAGAGCTTGAGCAAAGTCAGCTTGGTGACAGCGATAGACCTCACTGGCACGTAGACTCACTTTTGTCACCCACTTTGGTGCGCCTTGCTGGACCCCGATGAGCCTCTCTGACCGCAGAATACCTGTTTCTGGGTCTACCGATCTGTCTATGGTGTCTACTGAGAAGACATGGGTTGCGAATGGATTAGGATATTTTCGATGGAGGCGATTGATGGTATGGATTGCTGGGTAGCTGTGGGGGTGAGCAGGGGCAGGGCAGGGAGGAGGAGGGAGTTGAGGGGATGCTCACCTATAGACAACATCATTCTCAAAGAGCTTCATGCTGCTTTTGCATTATGGGGTGGATTGACAGCAAGGCAGATGGAATGATGCCCCGTTGACGTCGATATTCCCTCGGCTGCCGGCGCTGACCTCCACCCGACTCCGTAAGTCTTAAGTCATGGATTATTCTGCATGATAATTTTGTATCTTGCATCGGATCCCCATAGACACCATGAACAAGCAGCCCGGAACCCAGATCAAGTACGCCCCCTCAATCCAGATAGACAAAACTCACTACCCTCTAGATTGACGAATGTCAGTATCGTCCGCATCAAGAAAGGAGGCAAGCGTTTCGAGGTATGTCTTCACTGTGGCGAGGATTTTGACCGACAGGGTTGCTGCAGATCGCCTGCTATCAGAACAAAGTTTCGGAATTTAGATCTGGAGTGTGAGTTTCTGTGCGACAATCCGAGCGACTCGTATCTAACTTTTGGTGACAGAGAGACCGACTTGTCTGAAATCTTACAGATCGAGCAAGTGTTTGCCAATGTCCCCAAAGGGCAGGCTGCCAAAAAAGAGGACTGGCAGAAGGCTTTCGGAACGGAAGACATGAACAAGGTCATTGAGGAGGTATGTCGCCATGTGCATCTTCAAGGCTCGAGGTTAAACTTTTAAAACAGATCCTCCGGAAAGGCGAACTTCAGATCAACAACCTCGAAAGAACCCAACACTTGTCCTCCCTTTCGCGAGAGATTGCGACCATCGTGACGGAGATGACTGTCGACCCCAACACTTCCCGGAAGCATACCGTCGGAATGGTGGAAAAGGCGATGGCGGAAGTTGGGTTCAACGTCAAGGCCGACAAGCCCGCCAAGGCGCAGGCTCTCGACCTGATAAAAAAGCTCAGTGAAGGGGAGGTTCTTCCGGTGAGGCGAGTAAGGATGAGAATCAGGATTACTATGCCTGGAAAGGACGCCAAGAGGGTCAAAGAGAAGGTGATTGCCGAGGTGGAGGAGGTTGAGGAAGAGGAAATGGACATGGAGTGGGAAGCTGTAAGTGGTGCTTCCGGATTTCAGGCGCAACATCTTACTGATGATGCGACAGATTGTGCACATCAACCCCAGCAATTTCCGGACCCTGACAGATTTGGTAAACAACGAGACAAAGGGCAAAGGGAGAGTGGAGTCTATGGGAAGCGCCGCCAGCTGAGAGGATCCGTCCACAACTGTCATTGTCCATAACGTGATGAAAGTCTGTGGTAGAGTTTACCATGTGAAGAGTCCATTAATTGACAGAAGATGTTGAGCACCGAGCATCACCGCGGACCCACGTCTCTTGAGAGTTGAGGCTGTCAGGGGCCCATCTACGCTGTATGGACTCGTAAATTGCCACGGGGTGTCCCTAACCACTAAGAGAGCCAGTCGGACAAGTCACATCACAAATACAATTATAGATACATGATGATGCCCCCCTTCTACTCTGCCCCCTTGACATTGAAAAAGACCTTCCACCACGTTCTTTTGATACCCTTCTCAGCATTGTGTATGGCATTTCTCGTTCGAGTATAGAACAGAGGATCGTTGACAGGGGTGACAATGTGCTTTGATAACGGATACTAATGAGGATGAGTAGAGTTCTTATCTCGAAGCAGAGGAAGCGACATACTTGTCGCATGGCATTTCCAGCCTTCAATCTTTGAACAGCGGCTCCCGTTTGCGCAATCTTCTGCTCCTGCGCTTTCGCCCGAATAACTTCCACAGCGGAGGCCCCAGCCGCAGCCCCAGATTGTGGTGATGATGAGGAAGCTTTGGTGGCGGCGAGAGCGCGGTTGAGGATGGAGTCGAGGGCGTTGGACAGCTGGGCTGGGCCGGAGAGGGGGGTGGAGGGGAATGCGCGGACGAGGAGCCTGACGTGGGCTATGCGGGCTGCGATGGCGGGGGAGGACATGGCGGGGGTTGCTTACTGGATCGAAATGCAAGAGAAGATGGGAAATTTCACCGACGGCGACGGCGAATCGATGGCTCCATTTTTCAGCGACAAATACTACTGAACTGGAATTGGGATCCTCCTGCCTCGATACAAATATATCCAGCATGCCCCCCTCCATCGCAGACATCGCACAGCGCTCAGTCGCACTCACCTCCGTCACCCTCTGTGTAGGTCCCAGCCCTGCTGCATCTCTTCCCGCCGCTGACTCCCCTAAAGGTCCTCGGCGTCGGCCTGACAGCGCATGGTATTGGATACAGAGCACTCAGAGCACGAGGCGTACGTTCACATGCGCTCTACAAAACATGGTGGCAGCTAACATATGCCGTAGTATGTGGGAGGTCCTGACGTATGTGGATCGCTCAAGCTCGCCAGGGTACGTGGGACAGCCGTTGACATGACTGTAGGAACCAAAGGCTATCGATTCACCATCCGGCTCCCCTTCAGCACCTCCATCATAATCAGATTAATCCAGCTCTCGTCACCACATGCATCGCCTTTCTATATTCCCTTCCGCCCTCCTTTCTGACACGAATACAGTGCAAACGCACCTTCCTTCTTTGACCCCCTGGACTCTCGCTGTGTATAGCAGCATTCAGGAGCTATGACACTTCCCAGGACTGCTCACGATGGGCTGAAGGATAGATCCTTTGTTGCCATCATCAAAGGAGGCTTTTGTGCCCGAGTGAAATGGGAGGGGGTCGAACGACCTCTTCGGGCTAGTATCGCCCCTCTGCTGTGGATGCGGCCTGGGGCTTGACTCTGCTGCCTTTCTCAATCATGACTTTCCTCCTGTTTCTACATTGACCTTTTCCCCTGCGCCATATTCTCGTTAGTCTTCAGCAGCAATGTCAACAATGATTGACGATGTAGATGGGCGTATCGGCTATGTGGGCACTTCATGGTGAGTCTCCTCCGACTGTCCACAGCATTCCACATACATGCTAATGATATTTAGGAGCACCAACCATACTGGTAAACCACAGTGAGCTCGCTCTAGCATAACATATCTAACCATGTGCATATACAGACGACTCATTCACCGAGGACTACTATGATGGTGTACGTCGTCTCCGCTTGTTGCTTTGTTGTCCTGCTGACTTGTGGCCTCTTAGACCTTGTCAGTTTTTAACACAATGTTCCAGGTGACAGCATGCTGACTCCTAGCTCACTCCTCAGTCACTCATCCACCACAAACGTCTGTCAAATGATCCCTTCTGCCACCCATCCTTTTACTGACACCGATGTTGCAGGGAGATTACGCAATTGTTGTATGGTATGGCAAAGATGTACAGATCATAGGGGGAAGGCGTTTAAAGTGAGTTCAGTTGACCATGATCTATTTGCACCAGATACTCATGCTATATTCCTAGTCATGTCAGTCAATCCAGGCATTTCAGAATCACCCAGCTTGCAATTCATAGAGCATCATTGACATTGTTTACAGGGCATCTACGGTGTTGTTGTTGACTCTGGAGATATACAGTACTACTCTGGCTATTCAAAGAATTCATCACTGCAACAAGTCTTATACGCAACCAGTGGTCTGGAAGAGGGAGATCACACCTTGAAGATCAGCAATGAGAATTCAAGGAATGTGGATGAGTATCCGACTTACATCTGGCTAGACATTGATGCTGTTTCTGTCAATGGAGAGCTGTGGGTTTGCTGCTTTAATCAATTCATCATGTGCTGATCAATATCTCAGTAAGAGTGCCACCACCATATCCACCTCAAGCAGCTCCGGTTCTGAGACTGCTACCTCTTCCGAGGTTAGCAGTTCGAGTTCCAGTGTTGCCACCTCAGCAGCTGTTTCCTCTGCTATAATCTCACAGACAGCATCTGCTTCTGGTCAAGTGACATCAACTAGTTCATCAAGTATCTATAGGCAAGAAACAAGTAGCAAGACCCTGTCCTCATCCAAAATCTCATCACCAACTTCACCCTTGTCCAGCACTTCTGTCAATATGGCCCAGTCATTTGACCCCTTACAGTCCACAGGGACACCTGCAACCCAATATATCTCTACAACAAGTGGCAATCAGCCTGGGACTAGTGATGAAGGACCCACAACCCACAAGTATGTTTTTTTTTTTGGCTGCAATGTATGACTCCTACTAACTTTATCTAAGAACAACAACTGTAGCTGTTTCAGCAACTGTGATTGCAGTTGCTCTCATTGTCATCATTACCATTTCTGGGCTGTGGTTTTGGAAGAGAAGGAGAAGAAGATTTCAGGCTGAGGAAGAGGGTAAGCTTAAGGCAGAGTCAATGAGCCATGCCCGTACTGACATGCCGGTCCACAGACTATCTTCAACCTTCCTGGCAGTAATTGAGCTGCATTGGTTTCACAATGTGATGTGCTGCTGGCAGCACCATCTTTATATATATTTTCTTTTGACATAATCTACTTTCATCTTACTGAAGTATGCTTGCTATGTACTTTTCATATGTACTTACTTTCTTGTTCTTGCTCTTGCCCTCTTACAAGGTGGCAAACATACTACTGCACCATATCTTCATACTCTATTTGCTGTTCCCTTTTGTATTGCTCTTAGCTTTACATACAACTTACAGGAGAGTATCTTCTAGTCATGAGTTGCGCCTTTGCAACATAGCAAGATGAAAGGATTGCCTGTAACATGCCAGCTGACTACATTCTCCGTGGCCTATCTATAGTGCCCTCACATCTATTATGACATGGCAAGGTTGTACAGGGAGAGAGGTGTATGATGAGCTAGTGTTGGGCAAGTGTCACGGCAAGGCCGGGCTGGGAGTGAGGTGTAGGGCGGGCCAGGTTGTGGGAGAGGGTGTAGAGAACTGTAGGGTCTGTGACATCTGTAGTAGGGTCTGTAGACTGTGATTTCTATAGCTGGTGGTGTCTGTAGAGGGACCTTGCCCAGGTATGAATACATTGGATGTGCATTGGAAGGTTGGTAAGGAAGAAGAAGAGATCAAAGAGTAAAGTTACAGTACAAAACACCATCCCACGCACAAGCCGCCCTCGATGCACACAGAGTAATGATCAGCAGTTTGGACCTTGTGCGTGGTATTTTTGGTCCTCTGTGAGTGAATGCTTCCCCCCAGAGCATATAACCACTATGAGAGATAGTGATTGATGTGATGTTGTACAAGTGTACTTCTACATATCTAAGCTACTACAATTGTGTCTCTGCGTTTCACGGATGATTGCTTACTCCTGACAATAAAGAGGGTCATGGAAGGGTTGAGCATCTTCGGAAGAGAGGTTCCTGTTGAGTAATTTTTACGGGTGAAGTTGGGTTGTCTCCTCTTGGCTACTGAGCCATATGCTTTGTGAAGAGGACAAGATCCCTAGAGATAGACTATCAGTTTTTGCTCCAAGGGTGCCAAAGGGGGTGATGAGGATAGAAGGGGTCTGAACAATGAAGAGCAACAAACAGTTCAAGTGATGAGAAGTGTACCTCAACACGTCTGGCTTTTCTTATCTACATAATCTTGGACTTACCTGTTGAAAGTTGGACCACAGGTGTGACACCATACACTTTCTTGCCCAACATTCATCACCCTTACCTTATGCTCTTGCCAGGACACCTGCCTCCAGCATCCAGCAAGACGTTCTTCCTCACTCAACAGTCAGATGTGTTTGGCGTCCTTTGAAAACATTGCCCTTTATTGCTTTGTGTCAATGCAGCCATGTCCACTTGACTTGCTGTCATGTAAAAGAATGCCTGGTGGGCGGGAGGTGGGCTAGATTGTAACAGTGGTCAACCCTCACCCACTTGATAACTTCAGTTTCTTGGTTCGGCTTCGGCAAGGCAACCTCCACCTCACCTCCACTTGCTGAACACCTTCAACACTTGAGCCTCTCCCTCTTCCAAGATCTGTTACATTTTCTGTTGTTCTTCTTTGTTGCTATCTGTTTCTGTCTCCCATCTGTTATCTTTACTTGCTTCTCCTAATTGATTTGTATAGATTTCTGTCCCATTCATATACATAGGAATGGTGTGCCTGTCATGAACCACAAAGGTTTGAATCAATCCTGTGCACTAGTGTGCAATCCTGTCCAATACTATGATGATTGCAAGAAGATTAGATACCCTCTGTCTGCAAGCTCAAGTCTGAATTGTGTATCAGGAGATAGCTCTGTTCAAAGGAAGAAAGGATATGTGTAAAGCAGTGTAGTCTAGTATAGAGTCATCAGGATCTTTTCGAGTAGTGAAACAAGTGGAGCGTCATGTTGAGTCATTTGTAGAGATTGTAGATTAAGGTATATGTAGGGAGATTCTTTCCATAATACTTGCCTTGTAACAATCTTACATTGAAGGGTCACAGGATCCAGTCTAGACATCTTGTTGTCCCTTTACTAGTTGACAACTTGGCACTGTCCTTTCCTTTGGACAAATCACCAGCTCAACCCAAACAGTCAGTGACCAGCCCCGTGACAGTGCCCCAATATCACCCGTATCCAATAGCTTCTGTGATGTTGAGAAGGAATTCCTCTCCTCACCAATCTTACTTTCTCCCCTTTTACCACACCACTTCCACTCTCCAAGTCAGCACACCACTACTACCAATCACTCTACTTCTACCTGAACCCACAGACAACACTATTTTAGCCATACTTTGTAAACTCTATCAACTGTAGTCCAAGCTTCATCATTGAAGCTGCACTCTCTCTATACAAGCTCTTACATCTCCTTTAGTAGTGCACCAGCCTCTTATTGGTGAGCTCCCTTTTCTTTCATTCAATGTCTGTGCTCCTGTCCATTGAGTTTGTCACTGTTAGCTGGACTTTGAGTGGAGATGTCAAGCCTTTGGTTGGGACTCGCTGATCACTTCAAGCAGGCTGCAACTTAAATCAACATAAAGGTGTACATCAAAGCAGTAGTAACAACCAATGACTGTATAAGGGTTTAGCCTTCTGTTTCTGAGTGATCTTTGTATGATAGTCACATAGTGAGAGTAGTACTGAGCTTGATACAATGTTGTATCTTATGCAGCTTTTGACCCAGATTGAAAGTTGAAACAGCCTCACATTTGATGCTGAAACTACCTGGATCTGCAGCCATATCTACCATGCTCTAGAGTTGTCCCAGCATAACAGTTTGACCCACTTTCAGGGTAGCATTGGGTAATCAAGTAAGAGGGCCAAAATAACCCTTTGCGGGGCCCACAGTGCAACATGTCAATTGTCTTCCCCAGTGGCTCTTGTAAGAATGCATATCCACAGCATCAGATTAACAGCATATTTGAAAAAGGTCCTCATTGAGTCCTACTTCTGACAATTCCTCCTGAGTCCAATGCAAAGAAAGCATTGCAGTTGGGCTTGGGCCAGACAACATTCATCCTGCACTGAACATGAAAGTTGGGCTTCTGGGTTTGTTCACAGGACAGGCATTGGTAGGGTCTTATCAGTGATTTTGCAGGTCAAGCCAATCATTGCATGCGCTAAGGTACTTTGCTGAACAAACATACAATCAAGTTAGTGTAATCTAGTTGTTTTCACACCGTTGGTGAAATGGTATCATGCAACTTTGCCATAGTTGCGGCAAGGGTTCGATTCCCTTACGGTGTATTTCTTTTTTTTGCCCTTTTTCTTTCTTTTTGTCATTTTGCATGTCCATTTGCCATCCAAAAAGAGTATGTTAGGGCTTATGATCACTAGCAGGTTTCCCCATCATGGGACAAGGTCAAAGTCTAGGTGTGACATTGAAGGTGTGACATTTGATGAAGATGACAAATTCTGGGAAAAGATTGGGCAACAAGGTCAATAGTGCGCTTGATAGGAACCCTTGAGGGATATGTTTGGCATGGCAAGAGGGACTGACTTGGAGGATGGCATCAAGGAGAAAATAGGGAGAACATGACACATCTGGAAGTATTGTGGTCAGCTTGGAGGGAGCAGCACATGAGTGAGAGATATACTGATTGTGTGTGTTTGTGGTAGAGAGAATATCTTAAACCACCAACTGTCACTTTGGAATATCTAAAACTGCTAACTTGCCTCTTTGGGGCATTCGGAGCATTCTGGCCGCCCTACCCCGGCTCCTTCCCTGGCTTACCCTGGCAAAGCCACATGCACCTTGACGTGTCGTTGTCTGCTGCGGTGCTCAAGCTTTGCATCTTGTGTTTCATGTCTTGCTGTCCTTTTGAGCTACGCCCACAGGGGCTCTTTCGACGTGGAATCCCCAGGACATTCAATTTGACCGGTGGTGTACCTTCTCTGTTGCTAAGGTGGATGTGCCCTCTGGAATTTATTGATTTTTATTTGTTTTCAATCTATGGACTGTACTGGCCTGAGGACCAAACAACACAGCCATGGTCTGGCAACTGCTTCCACATTTTTGCTTTGTCTCTTAGCTTTTTCCGTTGTTGCAGCCACTTTTCTCCCCTTTTTTTGCCAGTCCCTTGCCACATAACCCAAAACACGGCGGGACTCCACCCCAAAATTCTAAGCGATTACGTACAATGATGACCGTGAAAGGCGCGCCAACATGTAGGCACATGTTGAGCATAGAGTTGCCGTGGTCCGGTCCGGTCCAGTCTTTGCCCAAATTTTCAGGACCCAAGACGGGACCGATGGGTTTCGTCCCAGATTTTTGGGATGCCGGACGGGACTGGCAGGGACAAGGACCGGACTGGACGGAGGCCTTCCGGACGGAGGCCTTCCGGACGGTCCGTCCTCGGTCTGGGACGGTCCCACGAAGTTCCTCTTCAATTTAATCTAGAAATTCAGAATTCAAGTCTATTCTATATGCTCTCCTTATTCTTACTCTTCTTCTGGACATCTCTATCGTCAATGAAGGTCGACACTTTCCTTTTGCCCTCATCCTGCACTCTCCTTTCCTCTCGATAGGCAGCACCCAGGGTCTGCAAGTCGCTGAATGTCCCCTCTGACATGCAACGACGCTTCACAGTGTCTGCCAGTTTGGCATATGAAAAGAGACGTTCGCACGGAACAGATGAGGCCGGTATAGCTAGAAAGTCCCTCGCAATCCCTGATATGATGGGAAATGCGAACTCGTTGCGCTGTGACAGTTATCAGTCTTGTAGCAACATTCATGGCCAAGCGTATGACTTACCTTCCACCATTGAAGGACAAAGTCGGGCTCGATCTTTGCTGGCGTAGCTGCTAGAAGGGAAAGGGAATCATCCTCTTCAAAAAAGCTGATATAGCGGTCAAACTCATCCGAAAGATTCCCGCTACCCCTGAAGGCCAAAGACGCCTTTTGCAGATCTTTGATCTTGTGTTGCATCTCTGTCAGGGGTGCTTGAGGACATGATACATGGTCGTCAGATGTATTGGACGAGCGCTTCGCGATAGCAAATTCGTCATACTGTTGTGCAACATCAGCAACGGTTTGATGAAGGTTACAAAAGGGGAATATGAGTTACTATCTCACGAAAGATATCATTGGCTTCAGCAGCTAGCCTGGTTCCTAGATCCAGTTCAAACCACCAATTCTTCATGAGTGGGTTCAAGTCTAGAGGAGATGCAATGAGTACATGTTGAGATGTTCAGCAATATACTCACACACTGCAATCACCGGCGTTTTGGCTTCGATAGCTTTCCTATAATACTTCTCGATTGATGTCAGACCCTGGCGGATTGGTCCGTGCAGCATGGTAGGGATTTCCGAGTCCGCTAGCAATCCTTTCCATCGCTTATGGAGCTCCACAAGTCTGGGCAGGACCATCCACAGAGTCGGATCAATTTCGGCGCCAAACAGAGCCTGTATCGTGATGGCCAGCTGATAACAGTGGTCAGTTCTTGTCTGATACATCAAAGGATAGTGTTGTGCTGCTTACCTCGAGCACTGAGTGAACGGAGTCAAGCATCTTCCACTGCTCCTCGGTAAGAGCAAACCAGATGTAGGGCTTTGAGTTCTTAGCAATCTTCGGTACTGTGGGCTCTGCATCAGCAAAAGCACAGAAACAGGTATACCCCTGACAACAAGAAGTCAGTCTTGGACACCGCCGGTCAAACGAAATATCAGAATGACATTCGCAGCCAAAACCGTGGAAATGTCCATGCGACATTGGAGATTTTCTGTTTGGGATGTCATTTTGACATTTTTCCCCATTTTTCAAAAACATCTCACAGACATTCCGCGACCAGAATATCCCACGGACGTCTGCAGGGGCCCGAATGTCCTTGTGATATTTCTCCAAGGAGGATGAAATGTCCCTGTGATATTCTTCGGAGGATACCTTTACATACATAACCACCATATGAAAAATGCTATATATATATGGTTGCTTGTTATGGCGCTGCTTTCTAAAACGGGTTTCCCATGCATTTGGTGGGTATATGTCATGTACAAGACTTTTAGATAGATATGACTACACCCTACTGCTTTAACAAGGCCCCTCATATGTGATCATATCCTCAATGTCGTTGTCTGCATCTTCGTCCTCAGTCATTACTCCGTCATTGTCGTCGTCCGATTCTACTTCTCCTTCCCTCCCCTCAACTTCGACTTCTGTTTGCTGGACAAGGCTTCCTTCATCGTCCGACGAGTACTCACCTTCAGACAAACCATCAGAAACAGAACCGTCAGCTCCTATTCTTTTCCTTTTTATAGACCGGCCAGATTGAGTCGTCATAAAGACAGGGAACCCTTCTCTCCTGGCTAAGGGCGGTGCCGTGGAAGGCCTGCTCTCCATGACAGTATCCTGAGTTGTTGCTTGTAACTCCTCACGGCTTTCACCTCTCCCACGGCCACCTTCTTGCCTACGTCCTCGTTCTCGTCCATACCCTCGTCCTCGCCCTCGTCCTCTGATGGCGCCACAGCCACCTTGGCCTCCACGGACATTCCTTCCCCCATCACCAAAAGACCCATCTCCTTCCTCCGCATCTCCATCTTCATCCTCTTCCTCTCCATCTCCCAAGGCATTAATATTCTTGAGTGCTTCCCCCCTGGCGCAGCGCACAGCCAATGGGTCTTCGAGCAAGCGGCGAGGTCGGCAGAGGTCGGGTGGAAGGGCAGACCAAAGAACATCGACATTGTGAAAGGCGGATAAGTTGATAACAAAGCAGTCGTCGTTAAGATGGCGCACAGTCCGAGGAAATCCCCCGAGTGCGTGCAGAAGACACATCTTCAAAGACGATTAGAGTGATGATATGAGACAATCTGGTCCAGAACTCACCATCTTAGATTTCCAAGGCGCCCATTCGCTCTTTCTACTGGCTGATGGGAGTTGCGATCGGCTGTGTTTGTTCCATCTTGCAGCTACACAAGGTCAGCTCGAGTCCCAGAAACATGAAAGACACTCACGATGTCTGCTATCTTCCACGGGATCGAAGCCCTCCATAATCTCTCGCTCAATATCTTCATCTTCACATTGTTGCTGCAAGTGTGCGACATCGGCTTCATGCTCCTTGATTGTTATTGTTAAGAGAGTATCTTCGAATACCGGTTCATCGTCCGTATATGGAACAGGCTCCTGAGAGCTGTACGCAGGCTGCCCAGGGCTCAGGTCTTGAGAGAACACTGGAACTCGTGTCGCGTCGCGTTGAAACACTCCCTGCCACAACCGCGATTGTCTTTCTGTCTTTCGGCCTTTTGTGTGTGTGCCTTCACCTCCTCATTAGTATGTTTCAAATATCAAAAAATCGCCGCGGGTGATTTTTCACCTGGGACGATATTTGCTTCCGTTGAGGGGAGGCTTTGGCTGGGGATTTTTACCTCGAACGATTTTGTATTTGAAACCATTTTTTGTGAGATGCGGGATCAAAATGATGTTTTTCGAGACGACGTTTTTGTGTCCCTGCTGGCGTCCTTATCCTTGTTTCTACTTGCTCATCTTTCACTTGCCATCTATCTTTGACCACCCACGCAACTTGTCCCCGATAGGAGCAGGCATGGCGATAGGAGCAAACGGAGTTATGGGGCTTCTGGATGTAGATTTGACGAAACTACGGATGAAGTGCAAATGCACGCGTACGCGTGGGGGCGAGAAGTCAAACACAGAAACGGTGACCACGTGGTAGACATGTGGTATGCACGTGGTATGCATGTGGCGTTCCTGGCAAAAACCATCTCCGGTGATTTTTCAAAAATCACTTTGGCCTGAAACCCGCCAAAGTGATATTTTCGCCCGCGACGGTTTTGCTCCCAGCCAAAAACGCCCGACGGAAGCAAATATCGTCCCAGGTGAAAAATCACCCGCGGCGATTTTTTGATATTTGAAACATACTATTGTGTTGTTACTTGTTTTTGTTGTTGTTGTCTCTTTTGCTCCCTGTCCCATCCGCTCTTTTTCTATTGTTCCAAGCGCATATACAAGCTGTAAGATCTGTCTCTTTTCTGACAATATCCCCACCTTTGCTCACTTCAACTACCCAAGATCACACTCACCATGCACCGCTACCGACCCCTTTGCTGCTGACTATAACTTGGATGACTTGAGCGATATTATTGAGCAGACTAGGGGAATTCAATTTGGCGTTTAAGAGTGGTCTTAAACCATTTGGCTCGCTTAGGTGGTCAGGAGGTGGTCAGGGCTCAGGCACATGCAGATCCTACCCTGAGCAGAGTTCTTTTTCGCATCTTGACAGCTCCGATTCGGACCTTCCTGAAGAGGCAATTTTGCCAGTTTAAGACCGCAAGTTTAAGAGTGGGTCTGGAGCACTCTTAAACAGAGTGGTCTTAAACTTGAGAACGCGCTCAATTGACAGAAAAATGCAACGCATTGTCATTTTATTTCTCTTCTCTATCCATCGCAAAATCATCCCTTCCGCTCCCCTTTCATCAAACACCAACCACATTTATCCACTCTCAACATGCCAACCCACGCCCGTTATGTGCTTTGAGTATGAGTGATGTACTTTAGCCCTATTCATGACTGTGTGACCCGTCTCTTGCCCAAGAGACCTTCATGCAGATCAAAGATGCACATTTTTCTTACTCTCAACAGATCTATAGCTTCGATATCGCACTATGAAGAAGAGGCAAGCAAGTGTCGCAGCATAGAAGGGGCAACCAAAAAGACAAAAAGAAGCCTCCGGCGGGGCTCGAACCCGCAACCGCACGATTAACTGGGGCAAGAGCAGAAGAAATACATTCGACATCACTGTCGGACATGGCCGACGCATCGAGACGGACGGGATCTAATCGGGTCCAGACGTTCCCAGGGCCAGCCACGTGCTTATCTCTGAGCCCTGCCCTGACCCTGAGGCCGCCAGTTTAAGGCCGCAAGTTTAAGAACGCCAAATTGAATTCCCCTACTGATTTCCCTGCCACTCCTCTACGACGCAGCCCCAGAGGGCATCAGAGATCATCTGATGTGTCTGTAGAACGTCTTGGAACCTCCAGCGCCCAACGTTGCCATGCTGGTAAGTTCCATTTGTGTGACCGAGACGTGGCTGACTCATGACAGCGGGGCCTGGTTCAAGATCTCGCTGCTCAGGAAACCCGTAGACGAAGCTGGGAGAGGTGACGGGCCTGTGAGTAGCAAGCTTTTTCTTCCAATGCTATGTTGAATTGCTTCGATACGTACTTATGCTCGATAGGTGACTCTGTTGGCCAGCTCGTCGACCCCCGTCCTCCTGGTACACACATAAGTCTCTCAAAATGATGTCTACTAACCAACGCGTAGTGGATCCACAAGCTTTCTTGCCGGCACCCTCGCCAGGCGGAAGGCAGACGAGATGCGAGCTTCTCAAAGGGCCAGTAGCACAAGGGACGAGGAAGAGTCAGGCTCCGAGGAGCAGGCTGCAGAGGGTCCAGCTGCCAAGAGGGCTCGAAGCAGCCAAGGAGGGACAAGCGGGCAGGCAGGCAGGGGCGGGCGGGGAGGGCACATAGAGAGCGCAAGCAGGGAGAGTAGTGCATGCAATAAACGTTCTGTAGATGTCTGATGGAGCGTGTCCGAGTGTCATTTTGATATTTGTAACAGCTGCATACAATGTCCACCAGACATTCTACCATACCCTTAAGAATATTGATATGATGTTTTTGGTACAACGTCCACCAGACATTCTGACATACCCTTGAAAATATCCATATGATGTTTTTGGAAACTGCATTAAAATATCCGCGCGACATCTTGAAGGCCACACATCAAAATGTCTGTGTGACATTTGGACGCCAAAATGTCCGCGCGACATCAAAATCAATTACTTAGATCACATCATACGGACATCCGCGCGCGGTGATATCCGCAGGACATTCAAGTTGACCGGCGGTGGAAGATACAACCATTAACTGTGTCTCACTTTTCGGACTTTGAGCAGCCACTTGATGACTCCGTGCCAGGATCCCCACCTGGTCTTGCAGTATAGAACGGGGGCTAGAGGTTTTATCCCTTCGTCTGTGCAGCACAAGCGGAAATATTTTTTTGTGTTCAGAGAGTTGCTGATCTAAGGGGTCGTGAGTTTGGAGTCAAGTCTTAAGTGAAGGACGATACTTTAGCAGTGATTTTTCGGATCTTATCAAAGAGAGGTGGCAGGTTGCTGACGCTAGTGGGCTCAGAAGCGACATCTTTGTCAGGCAAGTTCTCTGCCTCTTCTACTTCTTGCCTAGTCTCAACTTCTTGCCTAGTCTCAACCACCTTCTCCACCCTTCCCTTGTCAAGCTCCTCTGCCGTCATTGGAGCGGTGTGTTTTTCAATGCTGTTCAAAAGGTGGCCTTCGGCAAGCCCCAGTATATGAGCGTAGCAACTGTATCATCATTAGTATAAGAAGGCCTATTGCAAAGTACAGAAAAGTGGCTTACCGGCTCCGCATCGGACTGTTGTCTGCATCAATGAAATGTGCATCAAAAAGTATCTTGGCAAGACTTGTCATTGTTGCATCATTGACCGAAGCGTTATCAGAGGTGCATGCTAGAACCTATAAGATATCAGCTGATGGTATCATGTGTATTTTGTTTGAATAGACTAACCTTCTCGGCGATGTCATACTTGCACATCAAATTGTACAACATGGTTGCCTGATTAGTCCCATTATGGCTACCATCAATAGGTTCAAAGCCAAGCACATCGGAGTGGAGGGCCCAGTCCTCGTCAATATAATGAACTGTGACCCCAAGGTATGAAGTCATCTGTGAGGAGCTCCAGCCGTCAAATGTGAGATTGAACCTCCCAGATTGTCGCTGATGTCTCGTGTCAGCAACACTTCCATGAAAGTTTGCTATACAGCCCTCACCGCAAGTTTCGCTTTCAAATCCGCTTGCTTCTCTCTGGATAGCGCTCTAATTTTGGTTGTGATTGCAGTGCGCTTTCGTATAGCATCAGGTGTGAAAGGATCCATTTCGCTAACAGCGCATAGCATTGATATAAATGACCTTTGTTGAGAGGCCGTGAATGCCTATACTAATCAGTACGGTATAATTTGCTAGATGTACCTCTAGTGACATTGATACATACTTGGTTTGTCTCTGCAGTCCATTGCGCAATGAAGGTGGTAAGGTCATCGAACGAAGGCTTCTTCCTTGATGCTGGTTTGAGATAATCCTGTATGGTCCTGTTGGAGGCATCAGCAGAGTCGGCATTCTGAAGGCGGCCATGCACTTACGAGCCATTTTTGCCAACAACATTCTCATGCTCGCTTTTGAAGCCATCCAAGATCTTGTGATGTGGTGCTAATGTCTTCTCCTTGCACATTGAAAAGTACTTTTCACAGTGAGATGCAGTGCGGTTGATGAGTCTAGACAATGTTGAGGTGCTAGAATTGACACTGAATGTTGTCTCCTATTACAGAATTAGTCAGCGCTGATTTGAGTTCCCTCTGTAAAAGAGAAACCTGGCCACTCACTTGCAAGCGGCGCACGCTCTCTTTGAACCTTTGGTTGGAAAAAAGGCATAGAGACCTTCGATAGTGTTCTTGGATTTTGAGGTGCTATTATAATCTACCTCCCCATCTCCATCCTCGTCTTCGTCCACATCCTTACCTCCTTCATCGTTGCTATCATCATCAACAGAAATGACACTTTGACTAGTACTGGCCAGGGTTGGAGGGAGATTATCCTCATCATCTGATTCACTTCGCCCTCTGGTGAATTGACCAGGGGGGAATGCTGCTTTAGCATCTTTGATGGCTTGAGCACTGATATGTCTCTGACTCATGTCGGTAGTTGGATGCTGCCAATGATGACGGGCCTATGTGATGGGTAAAAAATGGCCTGTCCTGTGAGCTGCTTCAATTTCATGCTCTCGGAGTTTGAAGTTTGAAGTGTCGAAATGATTTGTGTGGCACATATGGTCTGGGACGGTCCAGGACCGTCCCAGAACCGTCCCATAAATATATATATGCGCAGGACCGGGAACCGCCGGGCATTGGACCGTCCCAGAACCTTCCCATGTTCGGCGGTCCCCAAAGGTCCTGGACGGTCTGTTCCTGGGTCCGGAACCGTCCCGCGGTCCTTGGCAGCAACTCTAGTTGAGCACCCTGATTGGACGTTGATCGCCGACTTGTCCGTAGTTCCTCCCATCAACACAACTGCCCCTTTTGATTGCAATCATGATCAATCATGAGGTTTTTACGAACACTTTTTGTTCTTGTCAGAAAGACCTTGTTCCATTGAATTTCTCTTTGTTATTCAAGCTCATCTTACCATTGTTCCCATTGTTCACATCGTTCACATTGTTTCAAAATCATGTGCTCACATTGTTCTCATTGTTCAAGTTGCCCCTTGATATTGATTCGAATGGACAGAGCTCTCTATAAACATGGACAAGATTCCTCTCCTTCCTGAACTCCAATATCAAACTTACTCTCACTGACAAGCTTGAGTACTTGCCCCCTTGCCTGATCAACCATGATACCAACAACTTCGCCCAATTCACCTGGAAGTCCTCTACATGAGCAAGTAGGTTTCTGTTCTGTTGTACATCCATCTCATATGCTTATGCTCGTTGTTGCAGACCTCATATAGAGTGAAACGCAAGTATGACGATGAAGAGGAAGACCCTCCTCCTCCCACACCTCAGCCTGTTGAGCATGCAAGAGTGTCGCACAACGCACAGCTTCTGACCCCCCCTAATTCCTCCCCATCGCGACCCTCGGCGCCTCAGCCCGACGAACCCCTGCCGCCACTGCCTCTCGACATCCTGCACTACATCATCGCTCTTGCAGACTCTGAGACTCTTCAAACCATTGCGGGAGTCTCGAAGATGTTCCAAATCAAGGGTGAACGGTTCAGCAAGAAGTTGGTTGAGACGGCGGCGGATTGCTGAAGTTGTCAACCTCTGCCTCAAAACAAAGGCGTTGCTGGTTCCCGCGGCCGCCTCCTTGGTGATGAAATCGTCGGCTTCTTCTGGTACGTCGACCCGAGTATAGGTGACGTGAGGCGCGGCATGTTTGGCTTCTACCACAATTCGACCTTGGGGAAATAGTTTGACAACTAAAGAAGACCCACAGTGGAACCTGTCCATCCCTCGTCGCCCAGGTCGACGTTTCTTGACGTTGTCCGTAAGATCTCCTGAAGAAGTGGGGGCATGTCCGTCGGCTTGACGCTCATCCTGACAGCAACGGAAAAGAGCACTCAGGTGATCCTTAGAGGGCTGTATATCATGATACCTATTGCTGCTCCTGAGCTTCACTGTTGAATGGATCCTCAGTGCGATTAAGGAGCTTACCCAAAGTGATGGATTGAACCAGAGTCTACACCCTCCAGAAAAATTCCCAGTCGGCGCAAGTAAGTCTTTCCTATCTCGTGGTCGTCACTCTCAGGTCGGAGGCCGTCATCTATAACGCATTGGCCATGGAAATGAAGGCTCTCGATGGGATGACGCTCTGCAGGTCGCTGATGAGCATGTTCCTCGGTCCTCCCAGTGATCATATTGTATCTAATAGTCATAGCGTCAGTCATGATCAGGCATAAAGAAGCGCAGGCGACATACGATAGGTGCTTCAGGTTTCTTTTTGCTTCGGGCATAGTGAGCTTTTTGGGAAGCCCTACCGGCCTCCTTGCAGCGATCACACTGACGAGTAGTGCAGTCAGAGGGGAGGACGCGGCTACAGCGTGAGCATGATCTTGGCTGGACAATGTCGGACATGCTGGCTGCTGGTGACTGCTGCTGGGCGAGAAGTATGGATGAAGAAGAACAGTTGACATGGCGAGACTGCTTGACGAGTCGGTGAAGGGTGACAGGGCACAAAAAAACACAGTACACTCTGTGGCATATCTGTATAACACAAAGAAAGGCACTGGTCATGGGTGCAGACACCAAATTCTCCGGCACACCGGCTTTTAACCATCGCGATGCACGCCTATGCTGTACGTAATCGCTTAGAATTTCTGGGTGGACCAACACCGACAATAACCCAAACCACCATGGAATCACTTATGACTACGCCCACTTATAGTGCTGGCAAGGAGAGGATAAGGGAGGAGGAAGAAGAGGTTTCAAAAAATGACATGGGAAAATACCTCTACTGTCCAGCAGCTCTGTATAAATATACCCTTGAGTCCTCGACACCCCTTCAACCACTGACTACAATCAACATCAACCTATAAACTACAACTAACCAACAACTATCCCAATATACAATTCCCATATCCACAGTCCTAACCTGTCCCTACCCCGTTACAGTGGCAAAATTTCAGTGAAAGCAGAAGCAAAGGAGGAACCGCTAATGGGAGACAAAGTAGCCAAGGTGCGGCTGGCAGTGGAGGAGCATCAGAAGCAGCCAGCTGCTTACACCCTCTCCCAACTGTCACAAGACCAGGGGGTAAGGCAGAACTGAAGGAAACAAGGAAAAACAAAGGAACAGGAGATGATAGAGCAGAATCAAGAAGGGAGAGCAACAGAAAAATGTGAAGACAAAAGAGATGAAAGGGAAAATAAACATGTAAGCCACAAGCTTCTGCTCACAACAAACTTGATTGTGCACAGCAGTATTCACTGCCTATGTTCTCACTATTTGGTGTTGTTGGCATTAAGCTGTAAGACCCTTGGTCTGGGTCTTCACTGAGTAGGGGAGAACGGTAGAGGCAAACAGAAGAGCAGGCTGAGAAGCTCACTGGTGACAAGCGGGTTGGAAAACATGGTGGGAAGCGATGACGGGGTGGTGAATCCTGCAAAGCAAATAGGACCCCATTACATTTATTTGTTATACAAACGGAAAGAGCAGTGACCTGAGCAAAGGTCAATACCTGACAATAACAATACCACACACAGACACCTCGGCATTACACACCGTTGGGTGCCAGACAAGGGGAACAACAGGCAAAGACATACCTGGGACAAGGTCAATATCTAGCAATAGCAATCTACCCAGTTATCAGTATAGTACATTATATGAAGGTGTGCTTCCATGGTGGTAAGCTTGAAAATTGTGGACCAAATGCGCCTAAATTGTATTTCAGTTTCCCAGTCACACCAAAAAATGCAGCAAAAAGTTCCATATCTCAAGGAAGTGTGGGGCTATGGCGGTATGGGCCCGTATGGCCTACGCACAAGAGAGGCAAGCAGCAAGTAAAGTATACATAGCAATTTGAGGTATCACATACAGGGTACACAGTGTATAAGACATGCAGAAGACTCCATACTTATGTATACAGGCCCAGCAACCATTATCCTACCTCAACCCTCAGAGCTGGTACCATTGCAACTGACAATGAGCATGTGTTAATTTTCATTGGTGATGGAGAGGGCTTGATTCCAGCAATGAAATGTTACTGCAGCCATGATTAATGATGTTTTGGGAGAGATTACACATTCTGAGCATCTCAAGGACCAACGGCTCACTGGTAAACAGTAGGGCTTGATGAAAGGAGAGGGGAGGCCAAGGGGTGTCAATGAGATAAACATAAGTTATTGAGCAGCACTGCAGGGACAATATATCCATGCCTCAATTTGGGTGCCACATGATGTACAAACCCATCATACATGGCAGACAACACTCTTATTACACTGCGGGAACTCCGGGAGTGGATTGGGGTAGCTCCATTCCCTGCAAATGTGAAGTGTTGGGTGATAAAATGTTCAGTGAGAGTGACCTCAACAAAGAGGAGAAGTCACGACGGTAATGAGAGTATACTCTATAGTGCACAAGGTAGCATTCTTGTAAGAGCTCTGTTACAACCTAGCCCACCTTCCACCCGTCAGGCAGTCTGTTATGTAACAGCAAGTCAAGCGGAGATGGCCGACCCACAGCTCAATGCTCGCGGCGGGTGCAACTTTGGCATCATTCAACATGGCATTTGGCATGCTTCATGACACCTTATTGCACCATTGTGCCCCTTTATCACATACCAGGACATTTATCGGATACATATCCGCTTTTATCATATTACCTTGACTATTGGCCGGCCAACACTGGAAGAGCAATGCAGGAATCTTCATACTGGCGAGCACATGCATTGGGCAGCCTGATAAAGTTGTGTGTTGAGACTCTGGTAAATGAGAAGCACTTCTGCATGCAGAAGGTGGCCTGATAAAACCAGAGTCGAGACGAAAGAAGCACAGCAAGTGAGAAGCACCTTTGTATGTGTTTACATAACAGGAGATTTGATGCCGCTTGACCATCAAACGCCACCTTGTGTCACACACAAGGCTTGAGGAGTCACACCGGGCTCTTTCTTCTTTGTGTAAGGACCGAGCGTACAGTCCTTCACTGAGTTGATGGTGTTCTGGTTGCGGAGAAGGAAACAAGACCCCTTGTTGCCTTTAAACTGTGTCACGACCGCGGTCCAGCTTCCACGTCATCGAGCAAAAGACTTCCTGCCACCAAAATCAAGTTTTCCGGACACAATGCAACCATATTTTTTCTGGCCTGGCCATAATACAATCATGACGTCATATGCACTTTTCCCAAGACACAATATAATACAACCACAAACTTTTCCCGCGGACACAATGCAATCTCTCCAATCTTTTCCAGTCATAACGCAACCATCCATTTTTCTAATGTGAGTCCGGGATTTCCGGCCTCCTAAATATGATGCACCTTTTGTAAATACCATTGGAAGTTCCAGGCCCTGTTAGTCACCCACCCAATCCCGGCTGATGTGGCATTACACCATCAGCATGAATACACTGAATTTGCATTTGTTTCTTGTCTTCTTTCTATTCAATTTTCCACAAGCCATACCTCTCTTCCCTTCCATGCATTTCCCCCTCAACCTCAATTGCACCCCCATCGTCGCTTGCCAACCACACCTCCCCTTCAGCCTCTTCATCTGTGCCCACGTCTGCAAGAGGCTGCCTACAAAGCCCCAGCACATAACACAATAGACCCATGCGAAGTCGAATGCTGTAGTCGGGTTGGTCCTCTGAAGCGCCACCATCGATGATCTCTGACACAAAAGTCTTCGATGGGTGTATGCCTAGAAAGGCTGCAACGGCCCATGCAACGCTAATGGGTCCGCAACTGTGTCCGTTGTTTTGTTCGCACCACTCGGTTGCTAGGCAAGTCATCTTGTTTTCTATATTCAGCTGACTGCTTCGCATTCGTCCTAGTACTCACCTGAGACGGACCAGCGTATAGCTATCCTTGATTCGCGGCATCGTCTACCAATCCTCTCCGTCTCTCCCAAGCAAATCTCTCTCTCCACACGTTCATGAATTTCTAGACACAGTCAGTCAGAGTCTGTCTCATCGAAGAAAGAGTGCTCACCTCGTCGAATTCAGAACCAGCACCAAACCGCCCCTCTGCCCAGTAGACCGTGACGATAAGCTTCTGCTGGGGAAAGACGCCAACGGGAATCCAATGTAGATTCTTTGCATTGACGATTCCTGTGACTACGTTCTTACCCCTTGTCGAGCTTTGGGTCATCTGCACACCGGTTTGCTGCTCTACCAGCGAGATAGCAGTCTTGCTTTTTGTTTCCGATTCGACTCCTGAAGATTGAAGCTATGAGGCTTGTCAGTTGAGCTATCATCTCAAGTGTGGAGATCACAACATACCTGATGCTCTCTGAACTGGTATCTGAGCGCTCCAACCCGAGGGGCTAGTACTCCAGGCTGACAACTGTGCTTTAGTTGCAGCCCAGTGATAACCCACACATTGGGCACACCTGAGGTGCGCGCTCTGACAATATAGTCACGCTCAGTTTTCTTGGCATGGGGACAAATGAGGCTACGATATTTTTTATTGCGAGTACTTCACCTACAAGAGGCCATGTCCTGTTGCGCTGAGCGATGCGCAACCTGTGCATACAGCGTGTCCCTGTGGGCGAAGACTTGATCCACATACAGCTGGACGGGTGGATGAGGATCACAAAGTGATTCCCCTTGGGTGGCAGGCACACTGCAACGAACACATCAATAGAAGTAAGGTAAGGATGTGACGGGAGGAGGCTCTTACGTTTCGCAAAAAGACAGGAGCCATAGTAAGACTTTAAGTGGGCTGTGTAGTTTTGGTTGAGGTGTTGGGTGGTTCAGAAACTGGGAGTTGTCTATCAAACGACGCAAGAGAAGGTTGCATTTGAGCGACCACAAGCAACAAAGCGCGTTGCCTGCTACTAGTCGCGTCACGTCTGAGCCACATAGCATTACCTGACGGACGTGTGCCGCGCTCCACGTGGGAATGGGTGGGTGACTAACAGGGCCTGGAACTTCCAATGGTATTTACAAAAGGTGCATCATATCTAGGAGGCCGGAAATCCCGGACTCACATTAGAAAAATGGATGGTTGTGTTATGACTGGAAAAGATTGGAGAGATTGCATTGTGTCCGCGGGAAAAGTTTGTGGTTGCATTAGGGGTGTTCAATTTTGCGTTAGAATTGTGGTGTTAGCCACCCCAAGTCCAGACTCTTCCCTGTGAATTCAGGGTAGCCCTCAGGGTTGTGCCTGACTGGCCACGTGGCATATGCATTTGATTCCGTTTTCACACGAGGGATGGAAGACACAAGAATCTAACATAAAAGAGCGTGTTAGAAATCTAAAGGTGGCTCTGGACCTACTGTTAGATTTTTGCGTTAGACGGACTGTGTTAGACCCAAAATTACCCAAAAAGGCAATTCCGAGGGACCAGAGGCCTTCAGGCGGTGTTAGAGCAAATAAGGGTCCCGGAGGTGTTTTGCAGGGTCTCAGGCACTAAATCCCTGAACCCTGAGGCCTCAAACTGCGACAGAAAGTGTGTTAGAAAATCTAACGGTAAAATTGTACACCCCTATTGTGTCTTGGGAAAAGTGCATATGACGTCATGATTGCATTATGGCCAGGCTGGAAAAAATATGGTTGCATTGTGTCTGGAAAACTTGATTTTGGTGGCAGGAAGTCTTTTCCTCCATGTCATCACACATCTCATTATGTATTCCTTATTGAGCTGGACGCATCACAACCCTCAACACTTATCACTCAGCACGCATTATTACTTCCTCGTTTGTGGCACCCCTCTTGCTTATCCTGTTACCTCACAACCATTATATAGAACCAGGAGCTACGCATATCTAGGGACATTGCTATCACCACCCTTACACAGCAATTCACCTCCAAGATACAACCAACTCCGACTCAACCTGATACCTATCTCCAACCAAGATCTAGACACCTAAGCACCGTCATTCTTTTCACCCCAATTATGATCCAAGAGACACCCAATGACCTGGTAACATAGAGACACTTTCTATACATAGAGAATGCTTCCAAGATATTGTGAATCCCCACTATTTTTTGAATGCTTCCAAGATATCGTGAATCCCCACTATTTTGAGTAAGCCGGTAGGGCTCTGGATGTCTATATAAGTAGATAGTTTTACATTGTCAGAAGGTTGTGTTGAGTTGAAGCTTGAGCAAGCTGTGTCGCGTGGCCAAGAATGCCTATGTTGCATGGTTGGCAGACTATGTTTCTATGGACCTATTTATATGTCTACCTAAGGATCTTGCTTACTCAGCCACTACTAAACTATTGCCAATTGCCACTCTGATATTACTAATCAATACTAGATCAAGGAATACCATCACAGCCACATCACAGCCACATCACAGCCACATCACAGCCACATCACAGCCACATCACAGCCACATCACAGCCACATCACAGCCACATCACAGCCACAGCATAGCCACAGATCTCCACAGATCTCTTCTTCCAAGATCCAGATTGGATCGTTCTTTCAACATACATAGATTCGAGGATCCCAGCGACCTCAAATATGTCTGACTGTCAGAGTCTTGCCTCATACCCTTCCTGACATACGACCCATCGACCCTTTTGGCTGCGACTCTCTGTCTTGACTGTTGGACTGCATACAAGTAACCATTAGCGGAGGTGTAAGAGGCTTGCCTCGTACCCTTCCTGATATACGACCCGTCGACCCTCTTGGTTG